TCACAGTGTAAACAAGGTAAGACCTGTTAATTATACTCACACTTGGGGCCCCCTGAACCGTTCCTCCCGCGCCAGGTGTATAACAAGAGGGGGGGGGGGTGACCTCGGAGCCCGGTGAGTTGTTTACCTTCATGTGAACACCTCCCCCTCCTCTCTCCCTCCCCCTCCCCTCCCCCTCCCCTCTACTCCTCTCTCCTCCACACTTGACTGAATTACTCAGAATAGGCAAACTGTACTCCAAGTTTTGTCAATAAATACCCTCTTCTGCCTCCTCTCCTCTCTTTCTCTCCCTCTCCCCTCTCCTTTCCTCTCCTCTCCTTTCCTCCCTCTTTCGTCCCCCTCTCCTCTCCCGCTCTCCATTTCCTCGACCATTAACTTGCATCTTGTGTCCCCTTCCCTCCCCCCCATAACCTTCACCCCCTGCCTCTCTCCTTCCCTCTCCACAAGTGCTTGGACAGATGGGCCCCGTCCGTCCAAAGGGGCCCTGTTGACCTATCACCGCATCCACCTCGTCTCCTCGCTCACTGCTACACAATGTCAACAAATACAGCCTCGACACAGACTTCCTCACACCCACACTACCACCCACCCACACATACCTCCTCCCACACACCTCCACACATCCCCTCCCACACACCTCCCCACACACCCCCACACACACACCCACACACTAATCGAACCCAAACATTGTGGTCTTAACTCCGAGAGAATCCTTTGTGATATAAGATGGCGTTTATCGTACGGTGTTAAGGTCTTGTTGTGGCGCTGTGTGAGAGAGAGAGAGAGAGAGAGAGAGAGCATCAAGTGTGTTGTTAGGTGTGATGACCGCCCTCAGCTGCCACACACAGACAGGCACAGATAATTCGGGTGTCCAACTCTCATGGGAAATATCCAACGTCTCACTAAGATGTTGGCGGTGATGGTTCTCTCTCTCTCTCTCTCTATCTATCTCTCTCTCTCTCTGTATGTGTGAGAGAGAGAGAGAGGCCATATATGAGTTATTGTTGGCAAGTGTTCATGGCTGGTCGAGTGTGTAGCGTATCAACCAATAACCAAACTCAAGTCCCTCTTAAATGTCTCACAATCAGGGGTTCAGACACACTTTTATATACTTAGATCTTACTTATAACGTAAATACCTACTTATAAATGCCAATGTTTACTTATAATATACCCGTTACTTAATGCTTACGGTTGGATCTTAGTTAAGACTTAAAATTTATCTTACTTGGTTACAAATTCTATCAGTTGGGTTAGAAGAGGCAGACGGTGTGTGTGTGTGTGTGTGTGTGTGTGTGTGTGTGCATGAATGTTATGTCTGCTCTGTATGTGTGTGTGTGTGTGTATGTTATGTCTGCTCTGTATGTGTGTGTGTGTGTGTATGTTGTGGAATGTGCGTGCATTTGTTTGCGGCAATACGTTATCGGTCATGGGGTGAAGGATGTTGTTGCAGAGGCCAAAGTTGAGTGTGTGTGTGTGCAGTATGTGTGTAGCAGCTGGAGGTTGTACTTAGTTACACACACACGCACACACACACACACACACACACACACACACACAATACAATAAACTACAAGAACTAAATCCCAACATCACCTACAACTCATCAAATTATATAAAAACATCACTAATATACACAACTATATAACTGGTCGCCATTATATAGAACACTAAGATTCTTATTATCACAACTATTTATTTTTAATCTTCGTTCGTGTTTTGTTTTTATTCGTTGTTTTGTTGTTGTATCGATGTTGTTTTGTTTTTTGTTTTCTTATCTTTTCGTTCTGTTTATGGTGGTGTTATCTTGTTGCCGTGACCTAGGACTTGGAGGGAGTGAGAGAGAGAGAGAGAGAGAGAGAGAGAGAGAGAGGCTGACCTTGTTACGGCTGGGGCGGCTGTGTGTGTGTGTTTTAATGGCTGACACGGTGTTAGTGAGATTAGATTGGTATCTGTAACTTCCTTTGTAATTGTATCTGTACCTGGACTTGTATTTTGTACCTCTCCCTTGTGTACTTACTTGTATCTGTATTTGTTCTTGTACTTATATTTGTGAAACGAGTTGAAGTTTTATATATACAGTGAGTGAGTGTCCCCCCTACACTCAGCCTCAGTTTAGTCCACTGGCGGAAAGGTCAAGGAAATTGTGTCCAGCGCCCGGAAGTTTTGTCGCAGTTTCCACCCCAACGCCTGCTGTGCCACCCCAACGCCTGCTGTGCCACCCCCAACGCCTGCTGTGCCACCCCACGCCAGCTAAAGCACCTCCAACGCCTGCTGTGCCACCCCAACGCCTGCTGTGCACCCCAACGCCTGCTGCAAAACCCCCACGCCCGTGCCACCCCAACGCCTGCTGTGCCACCCCAACGCCTGCTGTGCCACCCCCAACGCCTGCAGCCACCCCTAACGCCTGCAGCCACCCCAACGCCTACCCCAAGCACCCCCACGCCAGCTGTGCCACCTCCAACGCCTGCTGTACCACCCCAACGCCTGCAGCACCCCACGCTTGCTGCAAACGCCACCCCAACGCCTACTGTGCCACCCCACGCCAGCCCACCCCCACGCCAGGTTGCCACCCCACGCCAGCTGTGCCACCCCAACGCCTGCTGTCACCCCCAACGCCTGCTGTGCCACCCCAACGCCTGCTGTGCCACCCCCAACGCCTGCTGTGCCACCCCCACGCCAGCTGTGCCACCCCACGCCAGCTGTGCCACCTCCAACGCCTGCTGTACCACCCCCAACGCCTGCTGTGCCACCCCCACGCTTGCTGTGCCACCCCCAACGCCTACTGTGCCACCCCCACGCCTGCTGTGCCACCACGCCTTTTGTTAATTACCTTTTATGGCTCACGAAAATTATTAGTGGCTCATGTGTCTCAGAAGGACAGGTTTTTATTGGCTCACATAGCTCAGCCAATCATTAACTAGCTTGTAATTAACCTTTATGGCTCCCCAATTGTGTTATGGTGTATTTATGGCTCACCTCTTATGTTATGGTGTCTCAGGGTTACCATTCAGGCATTAAATCCCCTTAATCGTTGACCTTTATGGCTCAGCAGACATACGTGGGATTTCAATGGCTCTCACGCTCTTATTACCCTTTATGGCTCATCACCTCCGTCACTGGCTTAATGGCTCGCACGGAACCCCTAAACTACCTTTATATTATATTTTATTGCTCACACTACCTCCCTTATTGGCTCATCTCCCCACAGGTGTGACTCCCAACATACCTGTAATTATAAACCATACCTGTATATCACACCTGAAGATATACCGATATATCAGAATATATTTTGTTCTCTTACAGTATATCGTATATAGGCCAAGAGTGCACCTACCTGTCATCTCCTGTTAATTACTATACCTGTATTTTGTACCTGAACTTTTGCTGTTACCTGTAATTTTCAGTATTTTTTTTTAATTATCTCTCGTATCCGGGCTGTTGTCGTGGTTGTAGTTGTAGTTATGATTATAGTCTTTGTGGTTGTAGTAGTTGTTGTAGAATGAGTTTTAATAGTTGTAGTGATTGTTTAAGTTCATTAGTTATAGTAATTGTTGTAGTTTGGATAGTTGTAGTTGTTGTAGTAGTATTTGATGTAATAGTTGTAGTGGTTGTTTAAGATCATTAGTTATATTACATGTTGTAGTTTGGATAGTAGTAGTAGTTATTGTTGTTGTTATAGTAGTTGTTGTAGCTGGTTGTGTTGTCTATATAAGGACGTGTTGTTGTGGAAGAGATGGGAGATTTATGTTGTGTGGAACATATGAGAGTGTGGCGGAACAGAGTGGTGGTAGGGAGGATGGTGGTAGCTGTGGTGATGGTGGTAGTGGTGATGTTGGTGCTGACTGTGGTGTTGGTGGTAGTGGTGATGTTGGTGCTGACTGTGGTGTTGGTGGAGGAAGCTAAGGTGTTGGAGATTGCTGTGTTGATAGTGGTGGTGATGGAGGCTGTAGTGTTGGAGATTATGGTGACGATTGTGGAGGCTGTGGTGTTGGAGGTAGTTGTGGTGATTGTGGAGGAAGCTAAGGTGTTGGAGATTGCGGTGTTGATAGTGGTGGTGATGGAGGCTGTAGTGTTGGAGATTATGGTAACGATGGTGGAAGCTGTGGTGTTGGAGATTGTGGTGGAGGCTGTGGTGTTGGGGACAGCTGTGGTGATGCCGTATGTGTCACTTTCACTGTTTTCCCGGCAGGTGGCAGGACGTTCCACCCCGGTCATCTGCCTCAGGAGCGGGTGAGGAGGAGGAGAGTGACCTGAGGGAGAGAGGGAGGAAGGAAAGTGGTGAGGGAGGGAAGGGGGGGGGGAGTGGTGAGGGAGGGAGGAAAGTGGCGAGGGGGGTTGGGGAGTGGTGAGGGTGGAAAGAAAGTGGTGAGGGAGGGAGGATATTGAGGGGTAGTGAGGGATGGTGAGGCGTAGTGGTGACCTCGTGTACTATATACAGTAACCTTTTGAGAGAAATTGTTAAATTGACGCGTGTAACATCCCCCTCACCCCTCACCGTCACCCTCACCCGGCCCACCCTGCCTACTGATGCGTGACTACCATGTGAGAGGCTGAACACAACGAACCTAACCTAACCTAACCACCACCTCATCACCCACCCCTCACCCCCACCCCTCTCACCACCCCCACCCCTCTCACCACCTCACCACCCACCACCCTCACCACTTCAGTATGGACAAGCGCTAACGTAAACAGTTCAGCCTCCGGATACACACACAGTCCTAGAGCCACAACACTAAGTCGATCTAGTTAAGGAAAGATTTACAGTGTTATTCTTGTTTGGGTTTACGAGGTGACCAGCGAGTGTGTGTCGGTGAAGCTTCGTGTTTACACCGACGAATACATCAGTTTATTTTCGTTTGTGTATTTGATTTGTTTTTTTACAGTTGAGATGTAAGGAAAGGGAGTCTGTCTGTCTGTCTGTATATCTGTCTGTCTGTATATCTGTCTGTCTGTACATCTGTCTGTCTGTATATTAAGTACCTCACCTTGTTCCAGTGTGACGGGGCAGATGTGGTAATCCAGATCCCGCCAGAGCGAGTACGTGACCAAGATGGCTACTACCGCCTGGACTACTGGCCGCCCCAGGGTAACCCACCGCCCAATTCCACCTTCACCCCCGCCCAGGTGTCTCAGGGGGTGGAGCTCACCAGGGCACTACCGGGCACCAAGTACGACTTCCAGCTGTACTACACCAACGGCTCCATTACCGACTACCCCACCTGGACTGCTTCTATCACCACAGGTACGACTTTTGTGTGGTAGTGTCAACTCTGTTCATTCCTTCCATCTATCCATCCATCCCTCCATCCCCCTTTCTCTCTCTCTCTCACTCTCTCTCCCTCCATCTATCCATCCATCCCTCCATCCCCCTTTCTCTCTCTCTCTCACTCTCTCTCCCTCCATCCCTCCCTTCATCCCTCCCTCCCCTTGAGAACACCACCACCTCCTTCGCTCTAGACACCCTCCATCTCTGAGTCTAACGGACCCTCTATATAACGGACTTTCACCCCTATATAGTCCGTTAAATAGAGGGTTTCACTTAGTTCCCACAGGTGAATGATGTTACCTGTCCTGGGTGTCAACTTTACTGATTAATTGAATTTGTTTTGATGATGAATAATGTGGTGGTTGTTGTTGTTGTTGGTGGTGGTGTGTTATTTAACCACTGAAAATTACCCAAGGGAAGTGAGATGATGATGATGATGATGACGACGATGATGATGATGATGACGACGATGATGATGATGATGACGACAGAGCAGATGGCACCAACAGGAATTCTCTCTCTCTCTCTCTCTCTCTCTCTCTCTCTCTCTCTCTCACAGTCATCTGCCGCCTGTAGTTAAGATGTGCTCGGGGTGTAAGACCATTTAAGGAGGAGAGAGGGAGGGCGTCGTCTGGTGAAAATTGTGCTCACCGTCACGTCTTGGTGAACTGACTTGTGTGGCGTGTTGGCTTGGTGCTGGTGCTGGTGCTTGGTGGTAGTGGTGGTGGTTGTTGAGGGGTGGTGGATAGACAGAAATGGTGAGAATGGACAGAGAGACAATCAGAACAGACAGAGATAATCAGAACGGACAGACAGACAGTGGGAGACGGCGCCACAAGGTGAGGGAAGGTGCGAACAATGGGTGATGGTAATTAATGGTGCACATCTCCAGGTGACGCCAATAACGTGTGTATGTGTGTGTGTGTTCCGCCCACACATACAAAAACGGCACACAAACAAACAAAAATATGACAAAAACAAGAACACACACGACTCAAACTTAGACACAAACAAACAAACATACACAAAAAACGATACACAAACAAACAAATAAAACACACACACACACACACGCACACACACACACACACACACACACACACACTGTATACATATCATCTCTTAAGCCAAAACTTTCAATTTATATTCAGTAGCACCCGAGGCCAGCTGAGGTGGGGGGGGGGTAGGGAAGGTGTCTCACATGGAGGTGTATATATAGGCACCTGGGCCGGGGATTTAACCCACCCAGGTAATTGTTCATTTATTTCTCACCTGTGACGTTAAGTGTTGGTGGTGATGAATATTTCTTTAATTCTCTCTTTCTCTCTCTATTCTCTCACTCCCTCTCTCTATTCTTTTTTCTCTTCCTTTGTTGTTTCTCTATTCTTTATCTATTATTTCTTTCTCTATGTTCCTTCTTTAGTTCTTTATTCTTTCTCTCGGTCTATTTCATCTCTCTCTCTCTCTCTGTCTCTCTTCTATTCTCTCGCTCTCTCTGACTTTTGCTAGAGAGACTGAAGACGAGTATTTATTTATTTATTTTCCTTTTGCGTGTGTGAGGGAGGGGGAGGTTTAAGAGGAGACAAGTCACCTAGTACACCTGTGGCTAGAGTGTACCTGTGTCAGCCTGTGCCTGCGTCAACCTGTACCTTGGTTAGCCCAGGTATTCGAAGTACTGTACCGAGTGGCCTGTCTCTACAAGGCACCATTTCTATCTGACTTACCCATTAGACCTGGGACTTATTTGAACTGGGACCTATTAGAACTGGAACCCCCTTTAAAACTACGACTAATTACGACTCTGGCACCTTTAGAACCGTCGTGGTCACGCTCTAGGACCAGGGTTGTCGTTCTTATCCCCCCCCCCTCCTTACCCAACCCCTCCCCTACCCCCATCCACCACCCTCCTCTGGTCTTCACGGTCGTATTCCTTGCTCTACCACCTCCAAAGTACCATCCGTCATGACGTTGTGCTGTGTCGTGTCGTGTCGTGTCGTGGGTGATTGCTGAAGAATGACTGGACGGATATTTACCACAAACTTGGGCTAAATATTTGTTGACGTCACCCTGTTGCTTGGTAGTGACGTATAGCAGCCCCCTGGTGATCGTTTTGGTAAGTAATTTCGTTCATTAGATGATGGGGGGCCTTTGGATTCCCGTCAGTAATATGATAATGTTGTGACCGATTTATGTGTGTCTGTGTGTCAATCAATTTCACTATTATTTGATTTATTGTCTCATGCACCTCTCTTGTCCCCCCCTTCCCCTCCCTCCTCCTCCACAATACCACCACAATAACCATCCTTTTTTTCTCATCTCTCTCCCCTTACAGTTCCACCACCACCTACCAACCTAACCATCCAAGTACGGTCGGGGAAAAGCGCCTTGGTGAGCTGGGATCCTCCAGTAATCGGCGGGTACTCTGCCTTCAAGCTTAAAGTGATCCCTCTCTCGGAATCCCAAAACAGCAATAGAAATGTTGTTATCTCAGCAGCTCAGTTACCCTTCAACCTCAGAGAACTTAACCCCGGGGCATCCTATGAGCTACAGCTATACACCGTCTACGAGAATAAGGAAAGCGCTGCCTACATCTCCTCTAACTTCACTACACGTAAGTTGGTTAGAGGGTTCATAGCTCGATACTTTCCCTCGTATGGTGTCTTGTTTGTTTATATTATTGTTGTGATGGTGATGTAATGGGGATGTGTATGGTGTATGGACAGTGTCGTAGGTTAGGTACTGTCCTTCACCATTCACTTAACACCCTGGTACTGTCCTTCACCAGTCACTAACACCCCTGGTACTCTCCCTCAACAGTCATTAACACCCTGGTACTCTCCCTCACCAGTCACTTAACACCCTGGTACTCTCTCACCATTCACTTAACACCCTGGTACTCTCCTCACCAGTCACTAACACCCTGGTACTCTCCCTCACCAGTCATTAACACCCTGGTACTTCCTCACCAGTCACTAACACCCTGGTAATTTCCTCACCAGTCACTTAACACCCTGGTACTCTCCTTCAACAGTCACTTAACACCCTGGTACTCTCCCTCACCAGTCACTAACACCCTGGTACTCTCCCTCAACAGGTCCCAATGCTCCAGGTCGCTTCATCGTCTGGTACCGCAATGAAACTACTATGTTGGTACTGTGGCAGCCGCCCTACCCTGCCGGTATATACTCACACTACCGAGTAAGTACTGTTCTGTCTGTCTGTCTGTATATGTCTGTCTCTCTGTCTTGTGCATTGATATATTGGTAACTGTGTGTGTGTGTGTGTGTGTGTGTGTGTGTGTGTGTGGTCAGTCTAAGCCAGTCAGCGGTATTCACAACCACATCAACACGAGGAACCAGCTGTCAGTCACCCCACCAGCTGTCAGTCACCCCACCAGCTGTCAGTCACCCCACCAGCTGTCACCTCACTGTTCCAGCAGTCACCTCACCACCTGTCACCTCACCACTTCAGCTGTCACCTCACCATTCCAGCAGTCACTTCACCACTCCAGCAGTCACTTCACCGTTCCAGCTGTCACCTCACCACACCAGCTGTCACCTCACCACTCCAGCTGTCACTTTACCACCTGTACTCTAGGCTCGTTAAACTCCGTGATGGGTAATTAACGAGAGGTAGATAGATTGATAGATAGATAGATAGATAGATAGATAGATAGATAGATAGATAGATAGATAATTAACTACTTACAATGATGGATAGATAAAGGAAATGTAATTAATGTGTGTGTGTGTGTGTGTGTGTGTGTGTGTGTGTGTGTGTGTGTGTGTGTGTGTGTGTGTGTGTGTGTGTTTTTCTCACCGCCTTGTAGTGCCTTTTCCCAGGCTGGTCACTGACGCCTACTGTGCCACGCCTCCCTGCCTCCGTGTCCAAACCCCTCCACGGACATCCCTCCCGCTATGTCCGTATCGCTGCTGCCGCTACGCCGTGCTAAATGACCCGAGTCGGTCCAACACCTTGAAGTGAAATTGGGTCGTTTATATTCAGTATTATAATGCTCTCTCTCTCTCTCTCTCTCTCTCTCTCTCACACTTCACAGAGGGCGTGGCAACTATTACCATAGACATATATTTGCTCCGTGCAGACATGGCGTGTGTGTGTGTGTCGTGGCGTGGTGTGATGGAGAGGGCGTGGCTGTCTCATTGCCCTAGGATGGTCACTTTGACCTCTTGCAGCGAGTGGAGGTCATGGTAGAGGTAGAGGTAGTGGTTGATGCTCTAGAGCCAGTGATGGTGGTAATTGTTGTTGTAGTTGGTGGTGGTGGTACAGGGATGGTGATAGGGAAAGGAAGGGGACAGGAAAGGGAAGGAGAGGGAAAGGGAAGAGGAGGAAAGGGAAAGAGAGGAGGGAAGGGAAGCGTGTAGGAGGTAGGCGTCTCCTCTTCTCTGACCCTGAACACACCCCCACCTACCTCACCTGCTACATAACTTACCTGTAATTACTCACACTGCTGGTGGCTCTACGTGACGCTGGCACTGATGGATGAAACGAGAAAGAGAGAGAGAGAGAGAGAGAGAGAGAGAGAGGTGCCCTTACCCTAGAGGAGAGAGAGAGGGAGGAGGGGTGCCCTTACCCTCACCCAGGCGTGGGGGAGGCCCCGTCAGGACCCGGAAACAGCCAAACAAGGAGGCAGGAGGAACGTATAACGGCTGCCGTCTTAATTACCTGCTGGTGGAGTGTAGGTGGTGGAGTGTTGGTGATGGTGGAGTGTAGTGTGGTGTTGGTGCTGAGAGAGAGAGAGAGAGAGAGAGAGAGAGAGAGAGAGAGAGAGAGAGAGAGAGAGAGATAACTCGCCTCGCCTCGCCTCCAGCCAGCCAGCCTCTCACTACCTCCTACCCCGGGTGTTGTGTCTCTACTTATCTACCACAGTACTTATTACTTATATATGTATTCTACAGGAAGGAAACAAGACCGTGTAGAGTACTTATGTGTATTACTTATAGTCTGGATGGTGGAGTCGGTATTATGTGGATTAAAAATCATGTTATTTAAGTATTTTTACGTATATACAAGACCTCCAGTTTACCCATAGTTGTACCATACCATATTGTACCGCGTGGTGTACCGACTACGAGTGATTTTTTTTGTACCACACCTCATAACGTACTGTAAGTGGTGTACAGTTAGCGGAGTACAGCTGGATCACTGTACCGGGGGGGTACCGTGAAATCTCCGTGGCGTGTGAGGGGAGTGACACTATGTGGTTTTGGTGACACAGTGAGCGTGATGTGTAATACTGTGTGCTGACTGGTCATGTGGGCCGTAGTCAGTTCTAATAGGCCCGGCCCCCTAGTCCCATTACGCCCCAGTCCTATAAGGCCCTAGTTTTAATAGACTTGACTCGTAGCCTATTAGAGGTAAGGGACTATTACCAGCTGAATAAAATAGCCTTGAATGGGTTAATAGGATTCATTCTTAATAGGCCCCAGAACTAATAGGCCCCAGCACTAATAGTCCCCAGTACTAATAGTCCCCAGACAGACTCAATGGCTAGATTAGGGGCCTGTTGGGACTTGGTGAGGGAGGGGTCCAGGTGACTTGCAGCACGGTGGGTAACAGTGACACACTCTGCTGGTGGTCCTGGTGAAACACCTCAACCTTGGTGAAGACGACCTCAGGTGACGGTGGAGGAGTTGCACACAGCAGCTCTTGACACTGATTCTGGCCCTCTGGACACGCTCTCTACCTGACCAGCCCCCTCCCCTCTCTCTCTCTCTCTCTCTCTATCTGTCTACCTGACCAGAGACCACCTCCTCTCCCTCTCTCTACCTGACCAGCCCTCGCTCTTTCTCTACCTGACCATCCGCTTCACTACCTGTCCATTTCACCTGGTTGGACTCTCGCTATGTTCAGCCGTCCATCATTCCTCTTAAACACACACACACACACACACACACACACACACACACACACACACACACACTTGGAGGTCACACGGCCTTAACGGTGTTGTGGTGGAGGAGGAGAGGCCACAAACACATTACCAAGATACAGGAAAATGCTAATACTACTGTGTGTTAATTTAGTGAGGGACAAGTGGTCAGACTCGTTCCTCCATTCACCAACACCTAGATGGAATGCGTATGCCCGGTCCGTTTTGGGTTCGTGTCCATTCTCGTACCCCAACCAGCATCAATGGACACAGCCACTCATCATCAGCCATTGTCAACACACACACACACACACACACACAAGATATACTCCACCATTTCTCACCTGTCCATTCGTTCTTTCATTACCTTTATTAACATTTGGCGGGATTGTTACACTGGACTGATACACTGCCTATACCACCCCCCTGTGTGTTACTGAAGATATCATAGCTACAGAGTCACTACTACAAAGTCCTCAAACTGGTCCTGTAGAAATAACCTCCCTCCCCCCCCCTTCCTCCCCTCACCTGTGCCATACCCATGAAAATTACCTTACCTATGATGACGTGCCAGTGTGTGTGTGTGTGTGTGTGTGTGTGTGTGTGTGTGTCATTCGTCGTAATGTAATGTTGCTGCGTAAATCATCTACAACAGAGTCGATGTTTCAGTACTTCTGATAGACAGCCCCGGGAGGTAGTATATTCCACAAGGACACCCACTCAACCTTCACACCTTCCCTCTCCCTCCCCCACTCAGCCCCTCTCACCCTCCCTCTTCCCTACCCCCCTCCTCCTCACCTACTCCCCCTCCTCTCCCCTCCCTCACCCCTCCCCCTCACGCAAAAACCTGAGCGAGACTTGTAAAGGTGTGACTCTGTTCGACCAGTACACCTGGGGGCGACGCAGGTGCTGATGACTTCTACCTGTTGGTGTGGCCAGAATGATGACGTTTAGGGTGGTGTAAGTAGAGGGTGTGGGTGGGTGGGTGGAGGAGGAAAGGTGGGATGTGGGTGAGTGTATGGAGGAGGGTGTGGATAGATTAAGGGAGGAAGGGAGAAGTGTTGTGTTGGTGGGTGGAGAGGCGTGGTGTGGGCGGAGCTGACGTCTGGAATGCTGTCAGTAGTGGGTGTAGGGGGGTGGGTGGGGTACTGACTGGCTGTTTTGGTGGTATGTGGACTGTGTGTGTGTGTGTGTGTGTGTGTGTGTGTGTGTGTGTGTGTGTGAGGTAGCATTAATAATGAGGTTACCACACATCAGTCAGAGCGAGTTTTTCTTGGGTCAGTTTCCAGCTTTACCTAACCTAAAACGTGTGCAAATGTATACACGTACATACATACATGCATACATACATACATACAAGCATAGTGGGTGTCTTTGTGTGTATTTGAGCATGTTTGGTTGGGTTGAGTGTGTTTCGAGTGTATTTGGATCTGTTTAAGTATGTTTGGGAGCGTTTCAGTGTATTTGAGTGTGTTTAAGTATGTTTGGGTGTATTTGAGTGTTTCAGTATGTTTGAGAGCGTTTGAGGGTATTTGCGTGCGTTTTGATTGTGTTTGGGGGAATCATGTAGCACCTTTGTCCACGCGCCGCTTCAGTGTTACCTTGGCAGACCGACCAAGATCCTGAGTGTCTGAAATCCGTACGGTAATTGGTCGAGTTTGTTATTTATTTTTTCCGTCCGAACCTGAGAACGTGAAATCATAGCGGATCACCTGAAGATTAGACACACCTGGATATTTCACCTGAAGATTAGACACACCTGGATATTTCACCTGAAGATTAGACACACCTGGATATTTCACCTGAAGATTAGACACACCTGGATATTTCACCTGAAGATTAGACACACCTGGATATTTCACCTGAAGATTAACCAATCTAACATAATTAATCCAGGTAAAATAAGCTGGGAGAGTCTAATCTTCAGGTGAATTAACATATGTAGTTACATTTAATTCTCCTGTGCACAGACAGACAAGCACAGACGGGAAGACAAACAGACAGATAGACAAACACAGACAGACAGAGACATATAGACAGCTTCACGGTGAGCAACTGACCCAAGAGACGCAAGGTTTTTTTACCAACCGGTGACTGAGGCAGTTCAATAACGACTAACACTCAGAATTATTTTTTGTACGTGTCAATAATATAATAATTACGGTTATGAATTTATATATATATATATATATATATATATATATATATATATATATATATATATATATATATATATATTACACACTATACCATAACAGCACTATAGAACCTTTACATCTCATCACTCCCACAACACCATTACAGAACCATACCAGACCGTTATACCACGCCATCACCACACCACACCGTCCCCCCCCTCACCTCCCCTCACCTTGACAAAACTATTTCAAGTCACCGACCAGAAAATCGAACGAGGAAAGTTTCAACAAAATGGAATTATTGAATAAGAAGAATGACTCGGCTTGTGGCCCTGTTGTGGTCTGTTGCCTTCACATAATGGCTCTAATACTCTACTGGGGGGGGGTGGAGGGGTTATTTGGTTAGGTTTAAGTTGATGTGAGTCATACCTTACCTTGTTTTAATTAGTTTTTTTTTGTGTTGGGTTTTAAGGTGTGGGTTGGACTAGGTTGGGTTTGGTTGTTGCGATTTTGGATTTATTTCAGGAGTAAAGTACAGCAATAGTAGTAGTAGTCAGGTAGAGTAGTAGTAGTAGTAAAGTAAAGTCCTTAAGGGGATGAACCTGTTTTTACCTGATCTCTCTTCCTCCTCTTCTCCATGACCAGAGTTGACCTCCTTTGGCACCCACACAGTCGACCTGACCCCAACGTGCTCTCATCAGGTCACCGCTCCTCTGGGTCGAGAGAGAGAGAGAGAGGTTTTGTGAAAGACATCATCACTGTTAATTTAGTGTGTGTGTGTGTGTGTGTGTGTGTGTGTGTGTGTGTGTGTGTGTGTGTGTGTGTGTGTGTGTGTGTGTGTGTATCATTTACCTGAGTGGCCGTCACACAAAAGAATTTCACCAGAGTGTTATCAAGTCACAGAGAGTGAAAGTGACGCCATTGGTGAACTATTATTATTATTGTTGTCCAGTAGGTATAGTTATTATCCCCCCTCCCCTCCCGCTCCTCTCACCTCTCAACCTCCCTCCCTCTCACCTCTCAACCCTCCCCTCACCTCTCAACCCCTCCCTCACCTCTCAACCTCCCTCACCTCTCCCCTCCTCTCACCTCAACCCACTCCTTCTCACCTCTCAACCCCCTCCCCCAACACCTATCATCATCATAATGTGTATGTATGTATGTATGTATGTATGTATGTATGTATGTATGTATGTATGTACGTTGTTCACTAGCCACAGGTGTTAAGGTCTTCGTACAGTGGCTAGTGATAAAGTCAGCTATTGAGAAACGACCACAAAACACCTCCTATTATATAACATTCAACCTGGAGTGATTTTGTTTATTTTTATATATTTTTTTTATCATTTTTTTTTCTTCCGTTTAATAAGTTCAAGTCCTAGTTGTGAGGCAGCAGAAGGGGGGAACTTTCAACTCCTGCTGGTGGGGCTGAAGGTGGTGTTGTGTGGAAGGTAGAAAGTTATTTTAATTATCTTCGCCCTCCCCTCTCTTTAACTTTCACGCCCTCGATAATAAGAGGTATTCGGTAATGTCGTTTTATTTCACTCGTTATTCTATTTGTTGCTTCACTCGTTGGTCTACTCGTCACTTCACTCGTTGGTCTACTCGTCATTCTATTCGTTACTTCACTCGTCACTCCTCGTAGGGTTGACTGATGTAAGGTTTAATGACGATGGTGGGGTGACCCGAGGCCTTTCCCATGTACTCATTGTAATGTTTGTGTTTGTGTATGTCTATGTTTGTTTGTGTTTGTTTATGTCTATGTTTGTTTGTGTATGTTTTTGTTTGTTTAGTTTGTGTTTGTTTGTTTGTTTGTTTATATTTGTGTTTGTTTGTTTGTTTATTGATGATATGATTGAATGTGACACAACTCTGGGGGTGTGTGTGTGTTAAAGCTGTGATATTATGTATTGTGTTGTGATTGTGTTAAAACTATGTTATGTTTGTGTTATGTTAAGGCTATGTTATGTTGTGTTGTGTTATGGCTATGTTAAGGCTATGTTGTGTTGTGTTGTGTTATGGCTATGTTAAGGCTATGTTATGTTTGTGTTATGTGTGTGTTATGTTATGTTAAGGCTATGTTATGTTCTGTGTTATGTTATGTTATGTTAAGGCTATGTTATGTTGTGTTGTGTTATGGCTATGTTAAGGCTATGTTATGTTTGTGTTATGTTATGTTATGTTAAGGCTATGTTGTGTTATGTTGTGTTGTGTTATGGCTATGTTAAGGCTATGTTATGTTTGTGTTATGTGTGTGTTATGTTATGTTATGTTAAGGCTATGTTGTGTTGTGTTATGGCTATGTTAAGGCTATGTTATGTTTGTGTTATGTGTGTGTTATGTTATGTTAAGGCTATGTTGTGTTGTGTTATGGCTATGTTAAGGCTATGTTATGTTTGTGTTATGTGTGTGTTATGTTATGTTATGTTAAGGCTATGTTGTGTTGTGTTATGGCTATGTTAAGGCTATGTTATGTTTGTGTTATGTGTGTGTTATGTTATGTTAAGGCTATGTTGTGTTGTGTTATGGCTATGTTAAGGCTATGTTATGTGTGTGTTATGTTATGTTAAGGCTATGTTATGTTCTGTGTTAAAGCTATATTATGTATTGCTGTGTTGTGTAATGTTATATATATACCACGTACTGATGTCCCAATGTTGTTTCAGGTGAGCATTGAGCCGAGCGACGCGACCAACAGTGTCCAGCAGGTATTGAAGGAACAGGAGCCTCCAGGACCCGCCCAAGCTGCCTTCCTTGACCTTGTCCCAGGTAACATGGCCCCCTCCCCCCCTCCTCCTTATACCTGATCTCACCCTTATATTTACACCCAACCTCATCCTCCAATCAGAGTAATAACTTAAAACTATGGGATCTTTAAACTATTCATCCTGTTATCATGTGTTATCGTATGTATATTTTATCAATAACTTGTAGCTAATCTCTTTATGTTATCACGTATCGATAAGTTATAGTAGAGATCCCTTGACAAGTACCTCCTGTAGAGTCCCCAATGTGTATCTTTTAATAATAACTGGAATACCTTTTAAAGTGGTCCCCTTTGTTTACCTGTGGGTGAGCAGGTCGCGCCTACAACATCACGGTAGAGACGGTAAGCCAGGATGAGATCTCGGTGCCCACGACCGCCCAGTACCGCACCATCCCTCTCCCCCCACGCAACATCACCTTCGACGCTAGGACTCTCACCTCCCACTCCTTGACCGTCCGCTGGGAGGCTCCTAAGGGCAAAGGGTAAGTCCTAGCACTGTTTGTAGGGTCGGGATAAGTCCTCGCAGGTTTAGCAGGCAGGAGGATCGCCCTAGGAAGTCCTGGGACTTTTGTAAACTTTTATCCGACGGGGGTTTTGTTCGTCCACCCCGCCCCGCCGTCGGTATGGGTCTCCGGGCATGGCGGCTCACGGGCAGGTATGTGACGTAACGCTCGGGGGCATGTGAGTGACGTCATCCGGCCCAACACCCACACACCTCCAAAGTTTACCCACACACATTCTCAGGTTTACCCACACACCCTCAACTCTACCCACACCCCCCCCCCAAGTCTGCCCTTACCCTTTCTTACCCTCCCCCCTCCACCTGCCCTTGGAAGTCACCTGTGATATACCTTGTGACTCATGAATATATACAAGTTATATCCGGGTTGCTTATTCGGTCACAGATTACGGGTTACGTAATGGGTCAGCTTCTCCATTAATATCCCGGCCAATTAGTCATTATCTCTCTCTCTCTCTCTCTCTCTCTCTCTCTCTCTCTCTCTGTGGTCTGGGTAGTGCTGTGTGAAGTAATTCGTTCCTCGTAATAAGTCAATTATTTTTTTCGTAATAGTTGAGATATTTGTTGAGTTTTTCTATTTGATTTATTTTTTTTATTATTGTTTTTAGTCTAAATTTGTAGTTATTACGTTATATAATTTGTTTGTGTGTATATTTATTAGTGTAGTTTATTTGTGTATATGTCGTGTACGTTATAAACACGGTGGTGATGACGTCATGGGTGGGGTGATGACGTTATGGGTAAGGTGATGACATTCATGGGTGAAATCTGGACCGAGCGTGACCCTGCAGTGCCTGTCTCCATTGCGTCCATCCTGCTACTTACGCTCACATTTACGCATTGTATCCGTGTATTAAGAGCAACATAAGAGCATAAGAATGGAAGAAACTGCAGCGGGCCTATTGGCCCATACTGGGCGGTCCCGTTTACACCCAACCCCTATTGCTCATATAAGCATCCAACCTATGTTTGAGGCTATTCAGCGTATTCGAGTTAATGATGATATTTGGTAACTTGTTCCATTCATCCACCACTCTGTTTCCAAACCAGTGTTTACCTATTTCACGTCCCCATTTTTTTATTTACGCATAATATATATCCAAATATTGTTTCTCCTTGTATTATTTACGCATGAGGTTGATTTAAACTAGTTCCGTCGTGTGTCCTGAGTTACGAGGCTGTGTCAATGCGGGAATCTCCATGAATCCGGATTGGCTATCAAGAACGGGTTCGCCAGGCGGCCACAGTCCACACTCACGCAGAGACTTCAACACGACAGTAGCTACCATGCCTTTGCCCTCCTCACCACCACCTCTATTGTTCCCTGTCACGTCTGTTACCCATGAATTAACCCCTACACATACCGAACCTTGAACCCATGAACCTGTTAATTTATAGTTTCGTCTCCCCGACATCAGATAAAGCCCGGGTTCGTTACTTAGAAGTGTGAACCCAGTATTTTGTAAGGGGTTCAGGGTGTGTGGTGGGAGGGTTCAGTCGTGTGTGTGTGTGTGTGTGTGTGACAGTAAGGGCGTGACATGACACTGTACACGGTTTCTGGCCCTCTGGCGTCCCCTACAGGCACTGCTGGTCACCTTTGTCGCAACTGTTGTCTCACCCGCTTTACTTGGGTGGCTGGACGGGTCGGTGCTCCTGTTGGCAACATTGTGGGCGTCCGTGGGCGTTCTAGGAGGAGTTAGGGATGCTGTAGGTGTTGTGGGTTATAAGGGATCGTGGGTCTGGTCTGGTCGTTCACTAATGCTTCCTCCTTCCCTTCACTGGCCGAGTTTGGGGTGAGGTAGAAGTGAGAGGCAAGGTGAGGCGTGAGGGGCCGAGGAGGGTGACGAATGTGAATGGAGGAAACCAGGGTAGGAAATGCCACTCTGTGTGTGTGTGTGTGTGTGTGTGTGTGTGTGTGTGTGTGTGTGTGTGTGTGTGTTTCATCGGTCATGTTAAGAAAGTGATCCACAACATTCACTCTTAACATCCACCTGAATCCACACCAAACCCTCCCCCACCTTACCCACCCCCTCCCACACTACCCACACACCCTCCCACACACCCTCCCACACTACCCACACCATCCACCACACTACCCACACACCCTCCCACACTACCCACACCATCCACCACACTACCCACACCACCCACCACCCTCTGCATCAGTTTTAGTCATATTTCACAACACTACCGTTCTCTTGTGTCCGCCCTGTCGATTATCTTAGTATTTTTTTCGAGTGGGGCTGACCTTGGCTAGTTAGGGCAGGATAGGGCAGGGCAGGATAGGGCAGGACAGGACAGACAGGACTGGTTGGCTCCTCCCGTGTACACTGTTACTTGTGGCGAGGCTGCTTGCTATATGACCCTCACCTCTCACGACCTCTCCACCTACCTACCTCCCTACCTACCTCCTCTAGTCTACCAGCCTCTTCTTCTTCTTTCTTCATTCCTCTTCTTCTTCTTCCTACAGTCAATCACTACCTCTTCCTCTTCCTCCCACAGTTCACCTCCTCCTCCTCCTCTTCCTCATTCACTCGTACTGATAGATAGATAGATAGATAGATAGATAGATAGATAGATAGAGATAAGATTAGATAGATAAATAGATAAGAAAGATAATACGCTGCCACTTGATACTTGGAACCTCGAGAAACTTGGCTAACTCCTTGAAGACGTTTGAGGAAGAGGCGCTCAAGATGCGACTCAAGGTAGGATATAATTACAGGTATAACAGGTATACTACGTGTCCAAGGTTAGGTTAGGTTCTTCCTCCCTCCCCCACCCTTCTTCTCTCCCCCCCCTCCCCTCCTTTCCTTCCCCCCCCCCCTTTAGGTAAGTGGTAGGGGACGGTGGAGGGGCGGGGAATTGTGGTAGGGGATGGTGGAAGGGGAGAATGTATTGACGGTATAAGAAGTGGGATGATGGAATGGAAGGAAGGTAATGGAGGGAGGGAATGGATGATGGAAGGAATGATGGAAATGGCGACTGGTAGAGAGAAGGAAGGGAGGGAGGGAATGGATGATGGAAACGGCGACCGGTAGAGAGAGAGGATGAGTCAACTAAGGACCGCCTCATGCCCCCAGGGTAAGTCATGGGGAGGTACACACGACCTTGTCTCCTCCTGCTGGCGCTGCTGGTGATCACACACTTCATTCTCCCCTGACGGTGCTCGACTCTTACTGTCTGTCTGTCATCACACACACACACACACACACACACACACACACACACACCAACACACACACACACACACAGCTTCTTCCTCCTCACACCAACACGTACTTAAGACACATAAACAAAGGAAAACAATATTAAGAAACAAAAACAAAGCAAGAAAATATATAAACAAGATGTATTAAAAAAACCCCACTCACACACGAGGCCACAAGAACCACGTGTCCCTCTCCTATCACTGTTTGGAGAGGGTAATGTAAACAAAGGAATAATGATAATGAGGTAGATGTGAGGAGGAGTTAACAGGGAGGGGGGGGGGGCGTAATGTGTTTTTCATCCCAAGGTCACTGTGTTGTTTTGTGTTCCTGTTTTATCCTTGTGTGTGTGTGTGTGTGTGTGTGTGTTTACATGCTGAACTGGTCACTGTATCGCCTCATCAAATATTCTAACACACCTTGAGAAAACCACACATATTTTTACCGTTTTTTTTACAGTATCATATATTTTTTTTTTACATTAACTTTCACTTTTGTTTTACGATTTTGTTTGGTTTCTTCGATGATGGTGACTTTTTGTTTTGCGGTTTTATTATATATTTTCGTGTTGATATTGTGGTAGAATTGTGGTCAAAGAGTGTGTGTGTCTGTGTCGAGGTGAACACTTAATAACACAGTGTTTATCTCTCTCTCTCTCTCTCTCTCTCTCTCTCTCTCTCTCTTGCACACACATGATATTAAAACAAGCAGGTAGGTGAGGGTTGGCGGCTCATCTGTCACCTGTGCGTGTGTGTGTATTTGCGTGTACGTGTATTTGTGTGGTGTGTGTGTGTAGTGATCAAGGTCGTTACCACACTGTAACCATGTCGGAGAGAGAGAGAGAGAGAGAGAGAGTGGGGGAAGGAGGGGCAAAACATCGCCAGCGCAGGCATACGTCCGTCTAGGCTAGGGTTAGCTTCCTCCAGAACCTGTCAGTGTATGGTAGAAAGGGAACGCCAGGCACTCGTGATTGCTGGAGGTGGCGCAGAAGAAGCTGGTGCCTGTGTCTTGGTGACTGTGACACTACGTAGGGGTCAGTTGAGGTCGGTTTAGGTGAGACAAGGTCATTAAGAGGGTCAGGTGAGGTTACCTTGGTGCCTGTTGGCTGGAGGCTTAGGGTGAAGAAAGGTAAGGGTGAGGGAGGGAGGGATAGGCTGAGGGAGTGAGACTTAGGGTGAGGGAGTGAGAGAGGGAGGGATAGGGTGAGGGAGGGAGAGAGGGAGGGATAGGGTGAGGGAGTGAGACTTAGGGTGAGGGAGGGAGGGATAGGGTGAGGGATGGTGGGAGGCTTAGGGTGAGGGAGAGAGAGAGAGGGAGGGAGGGTGAGTTACCTTGGTGGCAGACAGGGTGTGGTGCAACTGGTGATGACAGCCTTGGCCACACCTCCGCTATTGTTACGATTTTTTTTCCTTAATGATTTTTTACCATCCTTGAGTGGCCACAAGTGTGTGTGTGTGTGTGTGTGTGTGTGAACCATTTTTGTATTGTAATGTATTTTTGGGTTGTTTAATAATATCACAGTGTATTAATTAATTTCACTGTATATCTCATTATATTAACTCGTTGTATGGTCTCCGTGCATAAACCAGATGTATATCACAATGTCGGTGCATGAACATGATGTATTACAGTGTATGAACATGATGTATTGTGTATTACAGGGAGTTTGACAGATATCACCTGAATTTAGGGGTGAAGAAACAGTCCCCACTCATCATCAACGCTGACCAGCCGAGAGAGGCGACCTTTGATACCAACCTAGAGCCAGGCCGCACCTACAACGTCCACATCAAGACAGTGTCGGGGAACGTAGCCTCCTGGCCCACCAATGGCAATGTTACCACGAGTGAGTACTGCCTCTTGTTGTGGTACTGCCTCTTGTTGTGGTACTGACTCTTGTTGTGGTACTGCCTCTTGTTGTGGTACTGACTCTTGTTGTGATACTGACTTTTGTTGCCATGGTACTGCCTCTTGTTACCATGGTACTGCCTCTTATTGCCATGGTACTGTCTCAGATATAACCCAGCCCATATAATTTACACCTAAATGATAAACTTTGGTTGAGCTGAACTGTGTATATACTTGTATTACACTGGTGATATTCTTAAGGTTTAATATGAAATAATACTGTGTGATTGAGATTGGAGTTTGCTTATTTCTCACAAAGTTCAAGTGTTAGTTAGGAGTGAACATATAGTACCAACAAGTTTGCAGTGAAATATACACACACACACACACTGCAACAACCCAATGTGTTTTATACATAGTAACGTAATGTATTGTTACAGGGCCGCTGAGGGTGCTGGATTTGAAGGCAGAAGAAGAAGATTCATCCTTAGTGAAGGTGTCGTGGAAGCCTGACCCGGACTCTTCCCAGGACAGTTACAAGGTGATGACGCTGCTCTCTACACCAGAATTAGGATATATTGATAAAAAAAAAAAAAAACAGTCAGATCAGAGATGAAAGAAAGAAGAGGGTGTGAATTTTTATTTTATTTTTTCTAATTACGAGCTGTACTGGGTTATATTTTTATCAGTGTTTACTTTAAGTGAACTGATTTTCATTTTTATCTTATTTCGGTGGATAGATTTGTCTGATTTTTGGACAGTGGTAATCAAAGTAGAATGCTGATGAGTTTCACTTTTGACATTTCTGATTTTAATATCCTGTAGTTCCAGAGTTGGGGCGTATCGCACTTCCCTGGGAGGAGAAGGTTTAAAGATTGCTAGTATACAGTACAGTATTTGTCTCATTATATCATCAACAGGTGGTGTATCAAGAGGTGGAGACATACAACGGCGATTCCCGCACCAACCTGGTCACCGAGACGACTACTGTTGAGGAGCTGGACCCAGGAAGGAACTACTCCATATCAGTTGCTGCCGTCTCTAACCACGTGGAGAGTGACCCGGCCTCACGGATATATATTGCCATTGGTAGGTTAAGTTATGTGGAAGTTAATTTATAACTAGTGAGGTGATGAATTGATTATACTATATCAGCTTCTTCAATGATGACTGGTTAAAAATATTTCTCAGCCAGTCAGTTAGGGTTTGGTATTTAGAGAAGTGACTGATGCAACATAAAATAGATAACCAGATAAGGGAATTAATTTCATTATATAGTTATTATTTGATAGCAGCACTGAGGTTATGATAATGGTAAATAACTTATTCTTTCTACACACAGAGCCAGCATCACCCATCATAGAGGAGCTACAGCCAATACCTCGTGGACTGAACATCTCGTGGAAGAGCGACGTGAACTCCAGGCAGGAAAAATATGCCGTGATCTATATTAGAAATGATACTGGTAAATATATATACTGTACCTTACTTTATTTTGATCTATTGTGTAACTGGTGCTGAGAATTCAAAGTGGTGAATATCAAGGAAAATTTCAAAAGAATATCATAAAAAAAAGAACTTTGGGATAGAGTAAATAATCAAGGAAAATAATGACAGATACAGTAATGTACAGGGTATTTACACCATGTTTTATCTCTTGCAGGTGTAGAAGTGACTCGCAAGACAGCCGATGCCCACGTACTGCTGGAGGACTTGTTCCCGGGTGCCGGCTACGAGATAAAAGTGTATGCCATTTCTCACGGTCTCTGGAGTGAGCCTCATGTGTACTTCCAGGCAGTGTGTAAGTTCTAGTCACTTGAATATAACTCATTTGGACACAGAATACTTGTGTGTATTAGTGTACTGGTATGATTATTGGTTACCATCACCTATATAATTTTGAAGTGAGTCACGTAACATACCGTAACTAATGGAAGAAAATTAGTGTTTTTGCTTTGTTTTTTTTCAGACCCAAACTCTATACGGAACCTGACGATTATTGACACCACCAACACCTCTGTGAGCCTGGCGTGGCGAGTGCCCATTGAGTCCCTCTTCACTCATTATATTGTGAGGTGGGTGTTGTACCATTGAGTGTTATAACAGATTCTCTATTAACTTGACTACTGCAGAAATAGTCAGATATGTTAATTTTTCTTGAGATTTAAAGTCTACTAACATTTGTATGTTATGAATCTTGGTTGGGAAAATTTATGGTAATCATCAACCTACATGTTTACAAAGGAAATTCATGATTTTAAAAGTATTGTATTTTTAAATTATATTCATCAAGATAATTATTTATTTATTTATGGTCACTCGAACTTCAGGTATCGAACTGTTGAGACGTCTAATTGGTTAGAGTTACCAGCCATTAACACGACCTCAGCAGTGGTGGACAACTTACAGCCGGGAGAGAGGTACATAATCCAGGTTCGCTCCGTCTCTCACCGCGTGGAGAGTTTTACCCCGCAGGAAGTGGAACAAACTGTCCGTAAGTATCGAGTAGTTTACAAGACTCGTATCTGTACCGAGGATATTCCCAGGATAGGTATAACAGGGATGGGACGCATTATTATCTATTCTCCTATCCTTCCCACTACTATAACTGGACTCATTCATGTAAATAATTTTGTATATATTAGTTGTCATGTAAAATCTTGGTGAGCTCTCTCAAGACAGCTCCAAAATGTAGTCTTTGCATACTTATAAACTTTTTCCTGTGAGGGTGTTTAAACTACCAACTCCGGATCAGTTGACCCCTAAAATCCCACTTGGGTATGGGGTAAATACAGTAGTTTATTTGGGTGATAATCCCTATGTTACATGGGGTTGATGAAATGCAATTAGATGCAGCAAACCAAATACAGTCATCAGAGAAGCAGTGTATGGCAGCTTTGGTATTGTCAAGGGCAGTGTAAATCCCCTCGTCTGATTGTGTGTGTGTGTTTGTATTTTATGTTTACAGGGTATTTGTGTTTGTGTGTTTATTTATAAGAGAACTGCAATATATTATCAATATGACCGGGCAAGACATAACTTTTTAGGACTCAAAACCCAACATCCACACTGATCACTGGGCAGGTGTATAGAGCAATAGATGGGTGTGGCAGACTTAAACTTTTTTTCCTGAATAGATTATACATATCAGTAATTTATTTATGTCAGAGTTAGCCACGAAGCTATGTATAGATGCAATAATTTCCACAAACAATATAAATTTGGTTCCTTAATGATGATATTTCTACAGTCAACTTACCCTGGATAGGAACACTTGATAATATAATCACTCAGCATATCAATTATCTTTCATGTGCAGCATGAAATTATCTTTGGCATCTTTCAAGTAAGATAATCTGAGGATGGACATAAGTTTTTTTTTTTTTTAAGATGAGGTTTGATTCTTACAGAGATTATAGTTATTTCTTTCCTCTACAGCTCCTAACCCTGTGAGGGGGATTGAACATTATCTAGACTCCCAGAATATCACCTTTGAGTGGCCACGACCAGAGGGAAGGATTGATATGTACACTATTGTTTGGTGGAATGATCGCACACCAGATAGAAAGGTATGAACTGTTCTCATCACTCCTTCTGTCTCATAGCTTATGAGTGAATGTTGTACCCCTTCTTTCACAGTGTTGGGTTTTGTTACATTTCAGTTTATTACAGCACTTTGGACATTAGTGTCAATATTTTTCTAAAAATGAATATCTGATAACTAGACTTCCAGAACAAGACCATTCAGAGCACATTCTTTATATCTTCAGTGTGTCATACAATGTACAGTAGATGAAAGTGTGTGTTTTGGGAAGCAGAAGTCAGTCACCATTGAAATCATTTTTATTGTTCGTGCATTATACTAGATAGACTTGAGTCAGTAGTTGCCGTCAGACCTCGCAGTTAGGACTATCTTGCCCTGAATACAGTGTAGGCTTTCATATGGGTGTGTTACTGATAATACTCTAGTTAATACTCTAGTTTGATTACTGTATGTGAATTTTTTGCTCACAGAAATTAAAAGAAATACCTGGTAATCAAGCAACAGAAGGTATCAATCGTAAACTGACAGTTCTTATTGGAGAGCTGATGCCCGGAGAACTATACAACTTCCAGATTTACACCACAGCCCACGGGTTCAACAGTGAGAATGTGTCCATCTCCAGTAGGACAAGTAAGGGTGTTATATTTCAGCTCTATTTGATGTTCCTCTGTTTCAGCATTTTGTATATCTTATTACTGTCTCATGTTATGATAATTTGGAGGACCTGATTTCACTTAAAAAAATTCCAGCACATTACAGAAACAATGCAACATGATAGTATAGTTATAAGTCTTGTGATTACTTTAAAATATTAAGTTTCCCAAAGCATTTCGATTTGACGTTATAATTTGCCTGACCTGTTTTCACTTAAACAATGTGAAGTATACTTGTACAATAAACCAGCCACATTTTAATTTGGTTTTGATTTGCAGGACCTGTAATTACTTCGGATATGACGATTGTCAATCAGTTAGAAACGCCGTCCTTCACACTGCGCTACACACTAACTCCGGCAGATGTGGCGACCTTTGACACTTACAGGTTCATGTTGTCTGATCCAGCTATACCCGTAAAGGAGAAAGTGGCTACTGATGATGACAGGAAGGTAATAATATGTCAGCACTTATGTTAATGCTTTTGAATGCAAATATTGCTGAAAAAATTAGTTTCAATAATTTTGTTTGTTGTTGATGAATTGACTGTATTGTGTTGTGTTAGCTCAGAGAAATCTACTGAATTATACCTGAAAAGGGATGCATTTAGATGACTGAATGACCTGCCCTGTTGTGTAATTGGGCTTAGGATATTAGATATAGGATGAATCATGCATCCTTAGTTGATAATGCACACCTCAAAATGAATGAGAATAATTTTTTACATGTATGGGAGTCGTGTAATATCTGTTCTTTTAGCATATTGGTATCGTTTTGTTTTAACACCACTAAGAACAATTTCATGTTTTCAGATTGTTTTTAAAGACCTGGTGCCAGGCCGACTGTATAACATCACAGCCTGGACTGTGTCGGGAGGTGTGACAAGTCAGCCACTTGTACGCCAGGACCGCCTCTACCCGGAGCCGGTCTCAAACATCACAGCCACTTATATATCTGACACTGATATTACCCTCACCTGGACTAAGCCAAAGGGAGACTATAGTTCATTTGAGGTCAGTAATATATCTTAATTTCTTACATTCTTGTTTTTTAAGCTTCTGGTGAAGTGTGAATCATAAGAAACAAAATCAAGAAAAATCCAACAAAGAAAGATGCCTCACTGTTACTCCCACTTATTGCTGTACTTAATGGTGGAGATTCTCCTCATCAACTTATTGTTGCTTTTACAGGTACAGTACCTGATTGGAGATGAACTGATCACTAACCGCACCACCGACGACTCCATGACCTCCATCACCATCACGCGCCTTCGTCCCCATCGCAACTACACGTTTACCGTCCTCACACTTGCTGGCAGCCTGGACCGCATCATTGAGAGACGGTCCAAGCCGGTATCAGCCACATTCTCCACTAGAGAAAGCACACCTGGAAAGGCAAGAAAGACACTCTAGTACTGTGCTGCTCTGTTCACTTACTACCACCATATTTTGCCAACAACAAGATTTTTGTGTTTAAATTTGACTGTAATGTCACTTTACATTCTAATTACTTTTCACTTCATCACACCTCCACTGATAGTATTTACCTTATCCTTCAGCACACTTAAGACTTTATTCAAGAGTTATTATATTACTATAACTATAAAGATCATATTATTAACCTGTCAATAGTGTGAGAGACACAACAGAGAAAATCAAATAAATGGAAATTTTCTAGAATTTTGCAAATGATTCAATAAAATTTAAGAATATAATCAGTTTTTAAAAGAAAATATTTGTTTCTCATAGAAATGTACTGTAATCTGAATTCTGTATTGTAAACCAGCACTAAATGACATACTGGTATATGTTACAGTAATGAATAATATCAGTACTATCACAATAATATCCTTCATACTTTTAACTAACCTAACCTAACATGTTCTTTGTGTTTAGGTGGCCCAGTTTGCCGCAAAAGAAGTGAAGCCTAACAAGATTACCTTTAGGTGGTCATTACCTCCAGATGAACAAAATGGCATTCTCTTAGGTTTCAACATCAAATATGGAATAAAGGTATGACAATCATGACTTACTTTTTTTTTTGATACTTGGTAGAGTGTGAATGACATGTCGTACTTGATGTGAGAGCAAGTCAAAGTGTGTGTGACATCTGCAATCATGATAGAATATTTCTGATGAGAAAATACCTGGTTTACCTCACCTCGTCTAGAGTTTTATCAAGGTTAATTGTGTTCTCAGGTATGGCATTTCTTAATGCAGTACTAATTGCCTATTGTTTTCATTTCAGGGATCCCCAAAGACTAAAGATATTCACTTTGCTCCAGATGAACTTGAGGGAACTCTTACAGGACTTTCCCCTGGACAAACATATGCTTTTGAAATACAAGCAAGAACTAAAATTGGTTCAGGTCGTGTCAAGTACTTGGAGCAGGTGATGCCAATTTTGGGTAAGCAGCAGACAGCTTTCTTGATGTAATACCTTGAAATAAAAGTTCTGGTTCGCTGAGACGAGGAAGTCTCAGCAAATATATTTATACAGTGACCCCTCGTTTAACGAACGCCTCGGTTAACGAAATTTCGGTTAACTAACTGCCTTCCATAAGGATCTTCAATTCGGTTAACGAACAAAAATTCGGTTAACGAATTTCTTACGAACCGACCTCAACATGTTTTCGCTTGCACTGACCGGGCAACCAGCTTTAGTATCAGTCCGCCAATACATTAATCGGTTCTAGGGCTTAAATTCCTTACTATTTTAGTAAATATCAAGAAGTTTATACTATTCAATAATTTTAAAAGTTTAATATTAACTTTTTTAGTCATTTTAACAATTATTGAACATAATTGAAGGTAAAGAAACTAGTTTCTGGCGTGCCATCCAGCCTGTTAGTCTCTCTCTGTTTTCAGTGGAGGTAACATCTTGCTTGAGACTCTCTTCAACTAAACGCTTTTTTTCTGTGTTTTCAAGCAAATTATTGGTCATTTTGAAATATATGTTACATATGACAATATATAATGCAGTGCAGTGTTGATTTAAAGAAAATAATCTTGAAATACACCAAGAGAACTAAAATCTTATGGATGAAATGGTGCCATGGGGTGACTTCTCTTCCACCCCAATGCCTTTTCTTCTTCCTTCTCCTCCACCCCCATTCTAATTCCCATCATCATCATCATCCAGGAGCGTTCTACATACACACCTCAAAGTAAGTGAACTTTTCTACCATTTTTGTTGAATTTAGGAAATTTTCGGTGAGCTGGAACCAATTACCCAAAAACCCATTGAAACAATGGTTTCGGTTAACGAACGACCTTCTGGAATGGATTGAGTTCATTAACCGAGGGGTCACTGTACTACGTTTTTCTTTTTGATATGTTATTGAGTTTTAGGATTTAAAATTAACCCACATTAAACAATGACAGGCAGCTGTCTTGTGATAGTGCTTGTGAAGATTTTGCCCTTAGAAAGTCAAGGAGATACAGATTCTAAGCTTATCAGGTTATTTATGGTTTGACAAACATTGATGTTTTTTGTTAATTTTTCTAATCAAGTTTCCAGTTGGCTTCAACAATTATCCTCTATTTCTCCTTACTATCTTATTCATCATTTTATCAAACTACAGTGTCTATATTTAAACTTGTTGATTTAATTTTCTGCATCACCTTTTATTTTATCCGCTTTAATATTGTTTTACAGTTATACTGTACAGTATTATATAATTTTAAATATTTGTAATCCTTTAAACATTAAAAGAGAAACACTAACACTGATTTACCTTCCTCTTATATATGTGCAGTATGTTTTTGCATATATAAAGACAAAAGCTAAGGTGCTCCAGTGTTTCCCTTTTCCTGTGTGGTTTATATATATATATATATATATATATATATATATATATATATATATATATATATATATATATATATATATATATATATATATATATATATATATATATATATATATATATATATATATATTGTACTCAGGGCCGGCTCTAGTCTAGCTTCAGAAGCTAGGGCCGGCCCTGAGTACAATATTTTCTCCATTCTTCAGCCCCACCAGAACCCAGCCATCAAGTTTTCCCCACCGAGGTTTCTCGCACGTCTTCCACCATTCGTATCCGATATCGTAAAAATTACTTTTCCAATGAAAATGGACCAGTTATTGGATATACCATTATTGTAGCTGAGGATGACTCAAAGATTTCTAGAGGGATAGAGATGCCAGCTTGGCAAGATGTACAGAACTATAAAATTTGGCCGCCTTATCAGGTCAGTTAGTTCATATTGTGTTGTACTGTATATGTTGTTGATTATATATTGACTTGAGGGTTTTACTGTGTCTTTCTGTACTCTATGACTAGATAGATGGTTTGGAAATTATCAGTGGAAGAAAATTAATCTCTTTACAGTTTGACTTGGTTTTATTTATACTGGTAATGATGGCCGAAGGTATAATGCTTTGGAAATTAGTTTTTTCTGTTAGTGCCTTTTAAACTACATGATCTATAATAGATAATGAAATTTTACTTATAGGTATCTCAACCATACTACCCCTTCAACATCACATCTGTTGAAGATTTTGATATTGGCACTGAAAAGGATTGCACGAAACGTACTGACTTCTGTAATGGGGAACTCAAACCAGGAACCACGTATAAAGTCAAGATTCGTGCTTATACATCCAGGGACAAGTTTGCTGATACTTACTTCAGCCATCCCATAACTACTGGTAAGCCATTATTAATTACTTAGCTCTGAGTGTGTCTTAGGGTTTAATTATCTGTGTGTGTGGCATAGAAAATTAATGATTCTTTGAATGTTTTACCTTATGGTTTTACTGAGGAGTCACTGCTCTAGTGGGTGAATGGAAGGAAACTGCAGGTGTTAGTGAATGTGTTTGGAAATGTGTGCTTGGAAAAAGTTGATAAGTTGGTAGAAAATAAAAATAATTAAGGGAGAAGGTAAGACCAAGGCTATACAGTACAGTGGTCCCTCGGTTAACGAACACAATTCGTTCCAGAAGGTTGTTCGTTAACCGAAAATTTTGTTAACCGAAACCATTGTTTCAATGGGATTTTGGGTATTTAGTTCCAGCTCACTGATAATTACCAACAAAGTAAAAAAAAAAAGCATTAAAGTACACTTACTTTGAGGTGTGTATGTAGAAGGCTCCTGGTTGATGATGATGATGGGAATTAGAAGTGGGGGTGGAGGAGAAGAGAAGGAAGTGGGGGTGGAAGAGAAATCACCCCATGCTTGATGCCATCATTTCACCCATAAAATTTTAAGTTCACTAGGTGTAATTCAAGATTATTTTCTTTAAATCAACACTACACTATATATTGTCAATATGTTAAATAAATTTCAGATTGACCAATAATTGTACTGTAAAAACGTAAAAATACTCTGTGTTCAAGAGACCCACAAGCAAGATGTTTCCTCCTCTGAACAGAGATACAAACTGAGGCCTTGGTGGGTGAGTGAAGTGGCTGATGGGTGCACCAAAAACTAGTTCCCTGTACTGCAATTATGTTAAATAAGTGTTAATATGACTAAAAATTTTAATATAAAACTTGGAAAATTATTGAATAGTACAACCTTCTTGATATTTACTCCAATTTTAATGAATGTAAGCCCTAGAACCGATTTCTGTATTGGCAGACTAATCTTCCAGCTGGTGAGCAAGCCAAAGCATGTCAAAACATTTTCGTAAAAATTTCGTTAACCGAAATGAAGATTCTTATGGAAGGTAATTCGTAAACCGAAATTTCGTTAACCGAGGCGTTCGTTAACCGAGGCGTTCGTTAACCGAGGGACCACTGTACAAGGATTAGGTAAAGAATGTACCACAGGGAGGAGGAAAGACACTCTTGAACCAGCATTGTGTGTGATTTGTGGGTCAAGTAGGTTCTGGGGATGGGTAATTCAGGCTTGTGATGTGTGGGCTTGATGTGGAAGAGGAGGACCATATAATACATCTTGTAAAGTAGCAAGAATAAAAGATTGACAATGAAAGAAGGGAAAATATATAAACATGTATTTTCTCTCGTTTCCAACCAGCCTGCATTATGCGGGGAAAGGCTTATAAATGTCAAAAAAAGATAACCTGTCATATCTGCCTTAAACACAATACTTTATGTAAGTCACACATTTTTCGTCTCTGTACATTTACCATTACTGCATTTGTGTGTATGTTGATAATAGTCTTTCATTCATAAAATGTCTTACTAATTTTATATTTTTTTTTTTTTACTGTTTTTAGTAACAAAATTTCATAACATTTATCAAGAATCTTTTGGAAATTTTGTCATGGAAAGAAAATGCCAGACAACTATGGTTTAGGACACAGCCATTTGCTTTGGTTGCAGAATTTGAAAACGACTTGAGAAAGCCGTTGTTATTTGAGGAAACTTAATGTGTTTACTGTCTAGAGCAAAACATTACCTCTCTTGCAGAAACTGTCAGGTCCAATGTGGTGTTGGCGGTGGCTGTCCCTGTGCTTGTCATTGTGCTGGTGGTGGTGGTGGTGATGATCATGAGGCATCGCAGAGTGTGTCTCTTCCCCAAGAAGGCAATGGACACAAGTAGAAAAGATGGTGACTTGCACTCCCTTCCTGAATCTCTCATTGAAACAAGGTAAGAGCTGTACAGTGTTTAATGATGTGTACACTAGAGGAGGAGGTTACTCGTAATATATGGCTTCCCTGACCCCCCCCTCCCCTCTCCATCACAGTCTCCCAAAAATTATTAACTTCTGTAAAACTTAACCCCTTGTGTACGGGTGTATCTTTGTGCGGGATAAAATCGTCTATCATTACTGGGAAAATGGGAAGAAAAATGTACCCATAATATGTATAATTTAACTCACCTTTAATGTGCTGTCAAGGCCACCTACCCATTTTAATAACACTTTATTAAAACTGACTTCCACTGATGTAAACTAATGGTGATTTTATTCTTTCAGTCGACCAGTCAAACTGAAGGACTTTGCAGCACATTATAGGTTTATGGCTGCTGACTCAGAATATCACTTTTCTGAAGAGTATGAAGCACTCAAGCATGTTGGGCACGACCTCCAGCGGAATGCTGCTGATGTACCTGTCAACCGACCTAAAAATCGATTTACTAATATTCTTCCATATGACCATTCTCGCTTCAAGCTGCAGCCCACTGATGATGAAGAAGGCACTGATTATATCAATGCAAATTATGTACCAGTAAGTTTCTGTACATATTTGTATGTACAATACAGTATGTATATTTTGTCTGATGAACTGTATTTCTGGTATTCATTTTCTTTTTCATATTCCATCCCAATAAATGTCATGGTTTATTTAACTTACATACACTTTGTTTATATTTACACAGTGTCTTCATGTCTCCATAAGCTTTTGAGGTGTTTGATAAACATATCCCAATTTTATTTGTCATAACGTGTGTGTGTGTCTTTTCAGGGATATAATTCACCAAGAGAATTCATAGTGACACAGGGACCTTTACCATCAACGCGAGATGACTTCTGGAGAATGTGCTGGGAGAGCAACTCACGAGCTATAGTCATGCTTACACGATGCATTGAAAAGGTAGATATACAAGCATTGCAGACTTATTCATCAGAATCAATCAGGTGTAGATAAACTGGTGGAAAATGACCTTACATCAACTGAAGATGCTGACCTCAGGAGTGTCTTCTTTATATCTTGGATGGTGTATTCATCAGCTCCAGAATTTTCATTGTCATGTTCGTCCTGAATACTATTAGAGATGTGATCATAGACACTCATACTCACCAAAAGTGCTCTCAATCATCAACTGGTATTTTAGTTTAAGAGGACTTTTAATTTGTACATGTATTGTGATAGATGTTGGACTGTGTTTGTGGAATTGGGTCTTAATGTACAGCTATAATGGATGTATTCGCTCACTGTGGACTTTGTTATCTTTCAGGGTCGTGAAAAGTGTGACCACTATTGGCCCTATGATACTCAGCCCGTGTATTATGGAGACATTCAGGTGACCATCCTCAATGAGAGTCAGTTTCCGGACTGGAATATATCAGAGCTTAGAGTGTGCAAGGTAAGGGTTAAGTGGTATTAGGAAACCCAAGTAACATTCTCCTCCTTGTACTGAACCTAACACAACTCTTTTTTTTTCAGCCAATATTGTAGAATGTTGTTCATTTTTCTCTTTGGAAAAATATCTGATACTGTACTGTATAAGGTTTTATCTATTTTTAATATCTGAATTTCTCACTTACATAGAATCATAATTAAACACTTCCCATTATATATCTCTTCCATTGGTATGTGCCTTACCCTTGGTTGTCTTCTGATCCCATAAACAGCCTAAATTTAGTCAGTGAACAGACTGATAAGTGCCTTGAGCCATAACCCACCATGTTAATTTTTTATTTATAATACTGTATTAAGTCAAAAAGTTTTTATTATAAATTTTATCACTTTATTTGAATTAAATGTTGAAGGCATTTTACAAGCTCTTACTGTTATTGCTGTTGTCATGTACTTCATAATTAAGAAATGCTAATACAGTTTTTCTCCTGTAGGGAGACATATGTCGAGTTGTCCGACACTTCCACTTCACTACCTGGCCAGATTTTGGTGTTCCTGAGCCGCCTCAAACACTTGTTAGATTTGTACGATCATTTAGGGAGCGAGTCGGCCCTGACCAGAAGCCCATTGTTGTTCACTGCAGGTGAGTCATTGTGCTGTACTTGTAAGTAGAGTAGAGTAGTGTTGAGTAGAGTGGAGTAGAGTAAAGTAGAGTAGAGTAGAGTAGAGTAGAGTAGAGTAGAGTAGAGTGGAGCAGAGTAAGCACCTCACAGTACAGTATACTGTATATTTTAATGGTACCTGTAGGAACATTTACAAAAATCCTTCAGACTAATATTTTCTGTGTTGAGAATTAATGAACTGATATTAATATGAATCAACATTTATAAATATATTTTAGATCAGAAACAGAAATGGTCTTCGAATTAGATATTAATATGTTTAACTCCATCCAATGAAAAGAAGACACATCTCAAACTTACAGGAAACAAAGAAAGTTAGTGGTCCAACTCGTGTGACTTTATTTCAAGGTTCATTAACACAAATAATAACCTAAATGGTATCTTTTTCTCCAGTAGGTTGAGTAGTACAGTACCTATCCTCCTGTAGTTAAACATAATTCTAATTTTACAGGCCCAAAGTTTCTCTTACCATACAGTGTGTTATAGTATGGCATTGTTCACCTTCCTCTCCATTAAATATTTTTTTGCCTTTATTTCTTTTATTTCTTTATTATTTATTTAGTTTTTAATTTATTTTATTTATTTAATGGTAGTTTTTTAATTTATGTTATTTATTTATTTAGTTTTAAGTACATGTTTCATGGTAGTATTTGCCTGAATTTACAAGCCGTGTAACCTTCATGTGTATCATCATTTCAGTGCTGGTGTTGGCCGGTCGGGGACTTTCATTGCCTTGGACCGCATTCTGTTCAGCCTCCGCACCTGTGACTACGTGGATATATTTGGTATTGTGTATGAAATGCGTCGTGAGCGAGTATGGATGGTACAAACAGAGCAGCAGTATATATGTATACATCAGTGTCTTCTGGCTGTGTTGGAGGGAAGAGAAAATGAACATTCTGTGACTGAAATCCACGACAACCAAGGATTTGACGGTGAGTTCTGAAGAAGGTGTTGTACAGTGACTTTATCTTTCATTTCTTGGGTATAATCTCATACATAAAGATTTTATATAATTTCTGAATATTATTTTGATGTTTTTTTTTTTTTCATTCAAACAAATATACTATTACTGAGTATTTGAACATCTTTACAAAATGTGAAGAAATCAGTACAGTATTAAAGTTTTTGTAGAAAATAAGAACCTTTGCTTCACAGGTGCAGTAGTTATGTCTTTGTAGCTGAATATTAAGGAAATAGCATTGAATTATTTAAATATAAATATTCTGAAACTTGTTTCATTGGTAGTTACAACAAAAATTAGCATAACTTGTATTCTTGGGAGATTTTTAGACCACTTTCTTACCCGCTAATTTGCCCTCTGTACGGACGTAGGGGTGAATAGAATGGTGATGTCTGGAGTTGCCTCAAAGAAAAGATGATATTCTTTCCTTCTGCTGCTGCCATACCTGGGTATTTGGCATGTTTTGTGGCGTGTACCCTTGACTAGCAAATTGTCAGTGGCGCTAGATAGTTAACAATTATGTCTCGTTGTTCCCTTGATAAACATACTGTGTAATTCATAATAGATAGCTCAGTGTTATATCAGTTGCAGCTAGTCGCTGACGAGCACACGGTAGATGATTAGCGTTTACATCAAGCATCATTGTTCCCTCGCTTTTTAAACTGTATCATTGGCTGTGGTCCATTAATAGTTATGTCAAACTTATTGTTGTTATGACTAGCACATTGTGGCAGTGGATAGTTGACCCTTAAAAGGCAGCTATCATCAGTGGACGTTTGCTGTAGGTACGGTGGTCATCATCAGTAGATGGTTCATGTTCCTTCCATTCCATTTTTGTGCAGATGAGGTGGAGTAGGGAATCCTGAGCTGTCATTTAAGGGTTAATATTTTTTCCATCATTCTTGTAGTAAGAGAGCAATGTGGACGGTTGTGATGATGCTTGAAATATAAGACTGTTATGCTGACTTACACAGATGTGCTGCCGATGTTCACCTGATAATCTGTAGTGTTAACATGTACGTGTTCACTGTTGATAGAGCATAGTACACTATTAATAAACCATTAATTTATAGTTCCATAACATAACTTTACAGTGTGCTCCTAAATAAACTAAATGGATAAAAGAACTCACTTACCACAGCTGAAGTATTGTAAACACTTTATGTGAAGGCTTACAGATGTGACAGTAGTTGGTTGGAAATTGCATGTCCACACAGCATGAACTGTATCATATTTATTTTAGTAAGTACCCTGTATTTAAGAAATTGTAGGTAACTCAGTCAAAGTTTTTAATTGGTTTGTTTTGGGTTAACTCTGTATAGCTTGAGGTGTACTGTATCGGTTCATTCAGTAACATTATTTTTCAATCTGTGTTGGATACTTTTTAAGTGTTAAATTGTGTTTTGTTTATAATACAGTAATTGATGACATCCTGTTTAAACTGCAGAGGCAAAGTCCTCAATCACTCTTGATAGAGGTGGGAAGGTCTGACAGACACTTACCAGTAGTTTTTTGCTCACGGATAATTACTATATCATACAAAAATGCAGTGGCATAGGGAATTACATGAAATAGTCACCAGCATTAAGTAGTTCTCAACTTACATGGAATGATATCATACCTGTTAAAGTTATGGGATCATCATCAGTGTTTTATGGCCATTCTCCATGCTTGTGAGGGTTATCTGTGATTACTTGATTATTAAATGTTCAGGCTACAACCTTTGTGCCCTGTACTTACTGCAAACATGATTATTATTTGTGCCTTCAGCTGTTTTGTTCAATAACTAAAGAAATTAAGTTGTGAAACTCCTGCTTTCCTTTGAGATTTCTGTACTTTTTGACCGACTCCTTACAAAGTGGCAGAGACATAGTGTTAATAGGTAAATAGATTAGATTATAAAAAGAATGGCTTTGTATCAGTGATTTATGTGCAGTGTGTCTTACCAAGCATGGAATTTTTTTTTTTTAGTTTACACGTTAGAAAGACCTGTATGACAGACCAGTTAAAGATTTTTCCTTCATTCTAAATTTTTATTTTGATCTTGTATAAAAATAACACTTTGATGTTGTGAGAACTACTTGTAATGATTTGCATACTGAGTTAAAACTTCTTTTAGCATGAACAGTTAATGGTTGATCTCATTCTCAGTATTGTGTATGACACCTGACCTGTATTCTCTTGATACATAATTTATTACTCTTTCATCAGTAGATACACTATAATTTTTGGTGGAGTTTGAGTACAGTATACAGTACACTTGTTGTAAGCTGCAATACAGTGTTTTGATCTTCAATCACAAAGGGCCTTAATGGAAATAAGCTTCTGATGGTTTTGTTAGCTATCCTTGGTGAAATTGCCTTACTGTTTACCATTGTTTTTATACCCACACATTCCTTCATGGTCTCTGTACATATGGAATGTTCCTCGCCTTTCAGGCAACTCGGTACATGTGGCAACATTACAGTGATAGTCAAGGATCCCCAACTGTTCACGGTCATATTAATTGTCTCTTGTCTTTATAAACACTTCATAACAGTATATTTACCTATGTGACAATAACTTCACATTTAATTTTAATTTAAATTTATATATCTGTGTTATATGTTGTTGGACTCTGTTGTACCCGCCATCCCCTAGTTGGGGTACCTTGACTCTGCAGCCTTACCACATGTACTGAGTCACCTGTGAGGCAAGGAACATGTGAACAACTGTACATTGTATACCCACATTGTCTATATATATCTAAAGCAATTGTAAACCAGTAAGAAGATTTTACTGAATATGTATTATCAATCTTTCTTATTGTCATGCATGATATTATGATTCCTTTTTTATCCTCTACAGATGATGAGGGAATAGCAGAGTCGGGCATGTGACAGGAGGCCTATGGGCTGCAACCATTACCAACCTATGTAAATTTAGATTTAAAATGACTACCACAGTCTAGTTGCTAAGTAGCTCCTATGGAAAGTGATGTTTAAACTAACTTATGAACTCCCAATTAGAACCTGTAGAAATTGACACCTGGCATCCTGGGTTACGTGCCCTAGAGAGTAGTAGGATCTGGTAATACTTAACAATGATGGTTGTGTGTTAGTGATTAATCTAGTGCGAAAATATATGGAAAGAGAAATTTACAAATGTAAATACTCAACTTTACCAGTAGATTTGACAACCTGTACTGTATAGTACTATAGACAGATACATGCAGTGTTAATATTTAATCTCTACTGGTGCATGAAGGAAATTTTACCAGAGATATAATTTCTAGGAAATAACTCTACCTCTTTAAACATTGAAATATTATAGTGATGACTGATGCCACAGTTGTTGAGCACTTGTGGTGAGACGGGTGCATCACTGTATGGGTACAGTACTTACGTGAGGTGGTCACTTCAGCATCACCTGTGCAGTAAAGTTGCATCTGATGCTAAAAGACAATATATGATAAAATTACTGACTTGGTAATCATGGAAATAACATGTACCTCGTGCCATTTTGTCTCAGAGTTTGTCCGAGTGTTTATATGACAACTCACAAAGACTTAAAAGGAGAAACGTGAATCCGTCCTTATGTATTTGTAGTAATATTTTATTTTGTATTTTTTCCCTTCATATTATAGTTATTTTTTATATATACTTATATAATTTTGTCTATTTTGTATTTTATCTAGCTTATGGTGTTCTACATAGGTTGTTATAGAGACACATTTAATCTAAAATATACTGACGTGTGTTACAAGAGATTGTTGATAATTCTCTTGTATTTTTAGCTGCTGTCTCTTGCAGGTCTACCTGGGGTATATTATTCCAAGAAGCCATAAGTTGATGAGTAAATTATGGGTCACTGTTATGTGATTAAATTAAGAAGTACTGTACCTACAAGTACTGTACACTTCCAAGCATCTAAGAAATAAGTTGATCAAAGGACTGCCATCATCCCTTTATTTCTTTTTACACATGTTCTGTTTTCTTACACTCAACAGTTGATGACTCATCCACTTAAATAATAACTAAATCAACATGGTAAATCATTTAACTATTGTTGTGATCAATTCTTCCAGCTTCATTAATACATGTTGAGTCTTTGTACATGTTGTCTCAGACCTTTCCTGAAACCTTCTACACTTGTCCTGGATAATTCTCTTTAGTTATTTTCCCCTTTTCTTAGATGTTTTTGTATCCCTTGATTTATCTTCATACAGAGGAAGATGTCTGAAGATAATGGATGAAATAGAATAATCAAAGATGTGAAATAAACAAATATTTATTTTGGCTTGGTGCTCAAAATTCTGGGAATGATGACAACTACCGATAATATCTGTTTTATGATTCTTTAAATTTCATTCAGTAGTGATTGAATATCTTCGCTGAAATGCAATTAAACAATTTAGTAAATGTCATGACAACATATTTTGAGTGACATAATTTATACAGTGTGTCTCCATACCGTAAGTTGGCAGCCCATGTAATCATACCCATAATTGTATGTATTTTTAACTGGTGAAAATTTTAATGATAATCTCATGTGTTGGTGTAAGTCCTGGCTGGTGGCACAACTGCACGTGAGATGTTGATTTTTTTTGTGTGTATGGGGGGTGGGGAGGGGGTAATTTCATATATCAGTATCTAGTCCTTATGAGAAATGGTAAATGAATGGGACCATGGTTGAACGACCCTCTTTAGTTGTGCTGTACTCTTGCCAACAAAGGTCCTATCGTCCTATCACCTCACTTGCCTCTTCTTGAACCTAGAGTTTCAGAGACCTCACAGGTTTCTGAATCTCTAGGTTCATGAAGAGGCAGGTGAGGCAACATTACTCTTGTGGGTGAGTGTACATTATTTATAGAAGTATACGTACTTATTTTGTACATGAGTTTAATACAATGGGTTGACTATTGTATTTATAACTGGAACTGTAATTATTATTATTATTATTATTTTAGAATTGACTACACAGTATGTATGTATGTACTTTATAAGGCCCTTGAGTGAGGACAATGGAATCTGATAGAATCACTCATTAAACCACAATTTCACTTGAGATCAAAGGTTCCCAGTATAGTGGAGAGTTACTGGCCACAGCAACACAAACTGCATGCAAGGCGAAATAGGCAGAGGATGATGCCAACCTAGAAAAGCTGTCATTTTATTTTCTCTAGAACAGAAGGTTGAACTAATCAACCATTTAAATTTTCATGACAGAGCAGAGTAAATATCACTGCTGAGGCTTGTAGAGGGATGTGTAGTGTTTCTGGGTGTTGTACAAGTGTAGGATAATAATTTATGACCTTTAAAATCCCTTATTTCTTTATAAGAAAAATTTATTTTTGGGAATATACAAGAATGTCTTTGGAGCACACACACACACACACACACACACACACCTGTTTAAGAAGTTAACTTTGCCTAAGAATAATTTAGCAGAGAACATGAGCCTGCAGCACTTAATTGTGTTCTCTCTCAGGGGCCTACTGTATACAGTATTCACTTGAATTCAGAGGACACATGATTCATATAATATGAGGCATCCAGTGTAGCACGGACTAACTTGTCACCCCTTCGAAAATCTCTTTTCTATCTTGCTAAAATTTCCCAGGCTTTATCTTTTGATCAGACCATTGAAATATAAGGTAGTGTGTTCCACGTAATGTGGTTAGAAAAGTGCCAGTCTGTAGTGAAGTTGTAAAACTTTAGGTCGTTTACTCAAAATTATGTTTTCGTTAGTTTGTCTGTGATGCACTAGATGCCTTATATGCAGGTAATTTCTAGGGAACATGAAAAGATCTGAGTACTTTCATGATTTTTCACATCTTTGGGGAGTACAGTACAGTCATGTGCTCCCTAAAGATGTGAATAATCATGAGAACAATTGGATATTTTTGTTTATGGTTCCTAGTGGTTACCAGCCTTGAACATGTACTGTATATACTATATGGTACAGTATACTGTCGTCAAAATACCATCTATGTATCTAAGACTGATCAATGTCTGGATTGTTGACTGTTGTTGTAGGAGGCAATAGTTCTCAAGATTTTACTTTTGAATATTCTCATCTTTTAATGTAAAATGTCATATAAAATTCGTAGCATATATTATGCTTTAAACTGTGTAACATTTTTCATACTAAGTGTCAGATTACAATGTATAGAACTGATTATCTTTGCTTTTTTCTCTGATTTTGCAAATGCTTTCCTACCTTGCACCAATGTTAATTTTTGTATAGTTATAAACATCTGTCTGTGGACATGTAATAAAAGTAACAAAATTAAAGTTTAGAATCCTTGTAAATTTATTTAATAATGCAATTAACAGGTTTGCATCAGCTTACCTCATAAGTTCGCTCAATGGAAAAAGGTTAAACCTAAGTTTTATATTTTTCATATAATCTTAAAGTGAAGTGTTCTGTGTTGCTAAAATGTGTGTTGTATATATAGTTGTATTTTTATACACAATATTAATGTAAATATTTTTGTGTACAGTAAATTGTCTGGATGAAAGATGAGACATTTATATTGACTATGAATGACTTCCTGAACCTCACTGATATAAAGTTGTATTTCTTGACAATTCATTAAAATCAGATGAAATTTAAAAAACTTTGAAAAGAATCTGCTTCATTGAATGATGCTGATGATTGACTTAAAATAAACATAATGGTTTATTTTACATAAGAAGAGCTAATACTACTGTATTTGATAAAATTACTAGTACAGTATTTCAGTAAACTGTAGATGCTGATGCAGTACAGTATATAGGAAAAAAATATAATTTCTGATCCTTGACAGGGAAATCTTGCTGCCTCTGTCTCACATTGTGTATTGTTTTTAACTAGTTTAACTTATTTTTCATTCTGATTACTGAAAGTTATGTTTACAAGAAATTAAATGAATTTGGGTGTTTTTATGGTATATTTTATATATGACTCATTGTATAATAGTATATACTGTACTGTATTATCGACTTCACAAAGCCTGTCCATTATCTCTTTGTTTAACTCTGGGTAACCTAAAGTTGAACATATACTCACATGTATATAAGATCATATTTATAGATCTTGTTAACAATGAAAATGTTACTGAGAATATTTGTTTCTTTGAAATATCCCAAGTGTTTAAGTTGTTAACTCTTCATCATTTTAATGTGAGATTCTCTACAATATGAACCATGGAATGTAGAAAAAATTGCACCAGAAAAAAAGCCGGAAAAATTTTAGAACGTTTGTTACTGAGATTTACTTAGTTATATAAATGTCATAACATAAAACATTTATTACCTCTAACTAAAACATTCTACCGTATGTAGTGAAAACTCGTACATAAATGAATTACAAAATCAAAAATGTCACATTCCATATTATTGTTTAAGATTTCCAACAAATGTTATAGCCAGTGCCTTGCAAAAACTCTTGGACTGACTTGCGGTCCTGGCAGAGGGTCTTCAGCCTTGTCTGGAGGTTCTTGTAAACAAGTTTTTGGCACTTCCTGGGTGGCTCAGGTCAGCTTGGGTTCATTGGATGGAATACCAAATAGTTGGGTGGCTGTGCCCAACCAACCTTGTAGTAGAAGAAGTAAAGAAAGCTTTGAAAGGAATGAGTGTTAGTTACAAGACTAGCGAGGTCTTCACATGTCTACTGTTCATCTTGTTAAACTTATTGTGAATAATTACAACAGGATAGTTATACTGTATAATGTAGATATGTTTGGCATCTTTAAATCCACTGACAAATCCTAAAGTAAAAAATGAACATGATGTATTTTTGGTGTAATTAATAGATAACATGTATGTGTAATAAGACCCATAGTGCATTACGGTATTGAACATACGTATGGTACAAATATTAAAATGGCAATGTATGAAAACAAGAAGTTCGGAGGTGATGAAAGGAGATAAAATAGAACAAGATAAAGAAGAATAAGGAAGAGGATAAGTGAAAGAAACAAGTAGATAGATACAATAAGAATTAGAAGGTTAAAGAAGAAAGCAGAAGAGTAGAACTAAGAAGAAAATGTAGTTTCGAAATGGAACGAAAAGTGAAAAATATACAGTGTTAAAATAAGAAGCGAATAGAAGATATATAAAGATAAAAAGCAAACAAACAATTGATAAAAAGAAACAAAAACTAACTGAGAAAAAAATTAAACGAGAAGGAAAAATCAAGTAAAACAAATTAACCAGGAAAATTGTCTTGAAAACATTTTTTACAACTGTACAATAAATTAATATTCTCCACTATTTTCTTACTCTTTGGGATTCTTGTGTTGGTATTTTATGTTGTTTAAAAAAATTTCGCATTTATTAGCCAAGTGACATTATAAAACAGCATAAGAAAAAATTTACAGTATATATATTAACTCGTCAGAAATATATTGTAGAGAATATAATTTATCCAACTTTCTACATTGCTCTAAAAAACATGTTAAGTAACCATTTAGTATTGTAAAGTAATGTGTGGACTAAGTTTACTACAGTAATATGGTTCCTTGGAGCTCAAAACTCACCTGAAGATCTTTCCCTTCCCCTGACACTACCGGGGGGGGGGGAATCATCAGGTAATCCATTGTTTATTATTCATCTTGCCATTTTAAATTTTCGTTCCATATTTATTAATCACTATTATAACGTAGTGGTAACGGTTCTCAGCCAAACCCTTCTCGGTGATCCATTGTGGTCACGTCTTCGTAGTTGGGATCATCGTCATCAGTAGAGGAACGTGGTGACCGTCTTGCCCGATGAAGTGGTAATCAAATTCCCACTTATTTCTTAATATTTTGACCTCACAGTGACCTGACTCCCCCTACCTGGCCCGGGTCACGTCATGTCCCCCCGTGTGGTGTGCAGGTGTCACACCCGAGGAAGTTAATTAACTGACACGTGGCGAATATGATAAAAGTAAAATAAGTAATGCGGGATTTCTTGATTTTGGTTTAATTTAATACAAATCACTCAATATCTCGTATAAAAATTAATTAAAAAACGTTCACTATGATTCCGTTTGATCTTATACATATATATATATACATAATACATGCAGTATGGAAAATTTTCTTTTTAATCTGGGCTTATTGCCAAGTCTAATGAAGCATCACCCTCATCTGTTGTCTGGTTCCCGTTAGTTATATCATTTGGCGCCATAAGTCTCGTCAGCATGGTTATGGCGTCACAACTATCCTATCAATGTTTAGAGTACAGTATTTAAACATGGCCGCCGGGAGATTCGAGTTGACGTCGATGGAGGAAAGTAAGTGCAATTTAGTGTCTGGAGCAGGTGTTGAGCAATCAGGGGATGCCAGAATAAGAACATAAGAATGGAGGAAACTGCAGCGGGCTATTGGCCCATACTGGGCAGTCCCGTTTACACCCAACCCCTATTGCTTATATAAGCATCCAACCTATGTTTGAGGCTATTCAGCGTATTCGAGTTAATGATGATATTTGGTAACTTGTTCCCAAGTACAGTGTGTTAATTCTTGAAAAAGTTTGAGGTAGTAGGAGGCCTCTGATGTTATGTGGTGAGCTTGCTTGATGGTGTTGAAACCGGATGATACCATTATGCCTGTCTATTAACCAGCATCAGGTCCCTTCCCCCACTCTACTGCCCGGTGTGTGGTGAAGTGACGTAACCACTGCAAGAATCATAAAGATGTGGACCTGACACGGGGATTATTTTACCCTTCAAAAGACTGTTTTACCTTACAAGGCTTCCCCGCTGTGATGGAGGTTACATAACTTCCCTCCCCACCCTAATCCTATGCTCAAGTTAAACTCATTGAATATATGAAGAGTCAATTATGTTCTTTCCCAATTGTTATATAATATATTGATACACTTAAGGACTTTAATTATTGAAGTATAGAACACAACAAATCAATACTGTAAGTACAAATAATATGATTGGAAGTGTAAAGTAGTAGTATTAGGCCTATAATGTACATTCCGAGAAATAAATATTGTCATGCCAATCATACTTCTCGTAACCAAAATCAACAGTAATACAGTAATAATATTATTCTCATGCACCAATTGTATAAGATACTTGAGGTTATCACCGTATTCTTTGATGACATGTTTTGGAATATAAATTTCATTGATCATCTTCGAATTTTAACCTGTGGCTAAATGTTATACACAGGTAGGATTTTGTCTGGAAGGAAACTGAATGGCAGGATTATGTCCATTTTTTCTTTTTGTTTTTTTTTGCGTGGAGATAGACCGGTGATATTTTTTGTCCACTTATTTTCGTGATCGGATTTTTTAGGCCATTGGAGAAAACGTGTTTTATAATGTGTTAGTATCGGGACCGTTATGCATTTCTGTATGTCAGGTCACCTTAGGGATTTGACCCAGGACAGGTGTTGGTCAGGTCAGGTTGGAGATTATGAGTGGAGCTTAGGGTTGAGCGGCCAATCACAGCGAAGGTTGGACCCCCCAAATTTTTAACGTCTTTTCATCACCAGAGAATAAAAGGGGTCGGACGGCGATCACAACCATTCATTTACTTGGTGACCACTGAAGTAAGACATTTCCTCACCCCTGCTCTCTCAAACCGCAGTGATGGACTACGAAGATCTTACTCTCGAAGATTTGACTCCAGTGGCAGACTTTGGCGAGGTTGCTGACATAGATTTCACTGATGTGAAATGCGAATTGAAGAATCTACTACAAGAGACTACCCAGGTTCGGCATAACGTGAGGGCGGAGTTGGATAAGATGAAGGACTTTTCCAAAGTGTGCCCGAAGCCCACTCGAGCTTTACCCAAACCATGTGACGATGTGAAAAATAAGGTGGATGTTAGAAGTGTGTACATTGGCAGCCTTGATGGTAACATTACCGAGGAAGACTTGGTAGAACATTTCCAATTGTGCGGTGTGGTAAAGAGTGTTAACATTCAACGTAAAACCAGTGGTAAATCTAAAGGAAAGGGGTTTGCCTATATCCTCTTCAAGGACAAATTTTCTGTGGACTTAGCGTTGACTTTGAACGGGTGTGCGTGTAAAGGTGTTAAGCTGAAAGTGGAACCCAAGAATACTGACGCGAGCACAAGTGATCGTCAGTTCAAGTGCTCCAGCAAGATGAGACGACACAACCAATCTGCTGGGAACCGCAGACTTGCTCTTGTTCCCTCTCAGTGATCAAGAAAAACGGCCAGGCTCTTGTGGTTCAGGAATAGTCTTTGTCTATATATAGCTATAAAAGCGCTGCAAATTGTATTATGTGTACATTATTGTATGATTCATGGAATGTTATAATAGAATAAAAAAAATTAAGTTTACTACATTATATGTTTACCCCCCAAATCCCACACTCCATGCACGAAATTGGAACAATCTGCCGGAGCGTTGTGGTGGCCCCAAGTGTGAGTTCATTCAAAGCCGATCAGTGGCGAAAAAGATACAAGTACATTGTATGCCTGCACTGAGTAAGTAAACAAGGGCGGATCCAGAGAGGTCCAGACCCCGCCTTTTCAGAAAATTCCAGTACTTTAATGCAGTATTGTAAGCAGGCATTTTTGTAAATTAAAAAGTAATTTCCATTGACCTCAAAATATCCCCAAATATCAAGCGTATATGGCTTCAAAATGGCCTCAAAATATCTATGATATTGGTCAGATTTAATAATAATAATAAACAAATCTGGGGTCTTGCATCGTTCCCCCAGCTGGGTGGGTTCCCTCTGCTCGCCATGTCCCCCCCACTCAAAACTTCTTGGACTCCCCCTTTTGATATTCCTGGATCCGCCCCTGGTAGGGATACATAGTACCTACACTAACTACATTTTTACCAGCACTGTATGTTCATGCTCAACCATAGGTGGACTTTTGGTAAGATTTTATAGAAATTCTTAGCTTTCCACTTCTGATAGTAATTTACACACATGGTCCCTGATCTCTCAAAGAGTAGGTTAAGTAAAGTTTGTATACGGAAAATAAAAATCCTACCACTTCCTCTACAATATAAAACTTTTATTATTAACAATTGAAACAAAATAAAATTATATTGGTTAATAAAATTTTCAGTAGAGTAATGAATTGTTGTGAAAATAGGTGTTTTAAATTTGTAAAGGGTCGTAGTGCCAGCCATTGACACAGGATACACCGTTTGTTTACCTTCAACATCAGTGATAAAACTTCTTGACAGCAAGTCCCGTGACACCCATGACCACCCTTGACACGGCTTGACTTGTGCCTTGTCTGTGATGTGACGTGACCGCCAGGAACATCATGTCCAAGGGAGATGACGATGGGTGGAGGGAGAGACTTGGTATAGACTTTCATATAGAATTATCTGACTCCGACATCGAGGACGACCTCTGTACCTCCAGGGGTGAGGACAAGTCAACAAGGGCCTTCTTCAAGTAAGTGATTGTTCCTTCATATAATAAGTAATACTGTATATGTAGATTTCCATGTCGATAATACTAACTAGAAGATAATATAGATAAGAGTGATAGTCCGTATTTGTGGTAGTCAATTGGTCCTGCAGGTTCTGTATTTTGAAACTTTTTTACTGTGTAATTTGTGTGATAATTTATTGTTGTTGATGGCTGTATTAAGGAGTTTAGGTGAAGAACACAAGTATGTTTAGATGGAACAACTGTCAAACGTGTTATTATGGGGTTTGTCAGAGTGAAATTGTTGCAGTGTTGTAAAAGGATCCTTGACAAATACAAGTCACCATCTACTATCACTCTTCTCTGGGTATATAAGTGATGCTGTCTTTTATAATCAGTAACTGTATAATATAATGCATACAGCCTTAACAACATCAACCTAGAGAAGTCGACTTGTGAAAGAGACCTAGGGGTACTTGTAAGCCCGGACCTACGGCCTAGAAAACAGTGCGTTAATGTTCGAAATAAGGCAAACAGAGTATTGGGTTTTATATCTAGAAGTGTAAGTAACAAGAGTGCAGAGGTCTTATTGCAACTATATCTTGCACTAGTCAGGCCGCACCTCGATAATGCGGTTCAGTTCTGGTGCCCCTATTATAGAATGGATATAAATTCACTAGAGTCGGTGCAGCGAAGAATGACAAAAATGATTCCGGGACTTAGAAACCTTCCATATCAGGATAGGTTAAAGAAACTTAACTTGCATTCCCTAGAAAGACGAAGAGTGCGGGGAGATATGATAGAAGTATTTAAGTGGGTGAAAGGAATCAATAAAGGGGATATAGATAGAGTTCTTATAATATCCGAGCAGGATAGGACTCGGAGCAACGGATTTAAGTTGGATAAGTTTAGGTTTAGGAGGGAGATAGGAAGAAACTGGTTCACAAATAGGGTGGTGGACGAGTGGAACAAGCTTAGCAACTTTGTAGTAAGTGCGGGAACTCTGGAAAGTTTCAAAAGGAGGCTAGATAGATTCATGGATGATAGGGAGTGGTAGTAACTCTCGACAGGAGCTGCCATGCACAGGCCAACCGGCCTATTGCAGACTCCTTATTTTCTTATGTTCTTATGTTCTTAATATTCAGGGTAGGAGACAGTGCCACTTGTTACTAGATGGTTATGTAACCTGAATTGTTGCAAAATATATCTGTTCATTAATATTTACAGCTGTTTTATAACTTGTATATCACTTACATTAATTGCATCTCAGTATTAATTATAACAAATTCTTCCCACAGAATTATTATAGAATATTTCTCATTGCAGAAAAAGGTTTCAAATATTAGATTTTTTAGATTCCTTAGTCAATAGGAGAACTTTATCATTATTGATACTCACGTTAATTTCACGAGGGACAAAATAAACTGTATCACATTGAGGTAGTGATAGAAGACATCCTTAGGGCCAGGCAAATGCAAAATTAAGTAATTTTGTCTCTTAACCAACAGAAACAGTGGTACAAGCGATGACTTGGCAGCACCTGAAGATGTGGAGGGGCTGGAGAGCTTTGACTCTTTCACACATGAAGAGGAGGAACTGGCACATTACTTGAAAGAGTTCGGAAAGACTCCTCCACGCACGGCCCGGCAAAGGCGACAGAAGGAGAGGGATGCCTACTGGTGAGTGACGTCTTTGTATATCCCCAGACTCTTAATCACCTATTTATCATCTTACCCTCACTTTCACTTGTATGGGGTAGAGTAAGGGAAACAAAGCTTAAGATAAGTAAGTTTTGTCGCAGCTTGATTTAAAAGTTTTGACAAGAGACACACATCCTTTTCATGTATTACAGTAACAATATGTAGCTTAAAGACTGTACTGGGAGTGTTCTTTATATGTTTTACTATCTTTTGGTGGATAGATTTACAAGATTCCTTCCTTTACAGCTCACAAGCCAAGGAAGCAGCCAAGACAATAAAGGCAACTTTAAAACGTCGTAACACTGCGGAGCGATTTCTCTCTCTTCCTGGCTTCTCAGATCATGGCATCCCTGAAGTTTGTGAGTTCTATTTAGCATGCAGTTTTTTTTCTCAGCCTAGCAGCCTCTTTCCCGCTGTGGCACTGGGTTTCTGGAATCACGGGCAGCACAGACTCACTCTCTCTCTTCATTAACTCATTTGCTCTCTCTTAACTTATCATGAGTTCTGTTCTAGCATTCCTCACCTCAATCAGAATTTGATATTTTTTATAAACAAAGCTTGAAAGATCAGTGTTTGTTAAAGCTTAAGCTCTCATCCTCTGTGCTGCCTCCTTCAGTATCATAGGTTGGCGGCCCAGAGAAGGGTTACCCGAGCCTTGATGTGTGTTTGTTATTGTAAGACTTGCATCTACTTTTTCTGTTGCAGTCATTCAGAGAGGAGCAATTAGCATGTGCAACTGTAAGTGACTACATAATGAGTGTTAAGAGTTACATTAAAGTCTTTGACATTGATTGTAGAATTTAGTCAGTTTTTGAAAGTTGGATTCTTCCTGAGTACTTTGATAAGTAGAGTGAAATAAGTCAATTATGTTGTGTATTATGCCGAGGCTGTATCATAGAGCCTTCAGGTTTTATAGAGGCTCCGGTTGTTATAGAGGCTCTTAAGTATTATAGAACCTGCAGGTGTTATAGAGACTAGGTAATATAGAGCTTCCAGGTATTATAGAGATTGGCAGGTACTTTAGAGTCTATGTACTGTATAGATCATAAACTTAAGATATTATAGAGATCTTATATATTATGAAGAGATATTATAAAGACATAAGGTATTGTAGAGCTTAAAATATTTTCCCTATAATTAATGATGGTTGCATTTGTTTTTATTTATTTGATTATATTCAGCACACTTGGTTGGAGGTCATGAGATCTGAGACTTCATCTTGAACCAATAGTCAGTCAGTGTATCATATCTTTAAGTCAATGGCCAAATTTAGATGGAGCTTAGCCTTAGTGAGTGTCTTTATTGTACTTCTGGGGTTGGGGCAGCTCTGACGACCATGGGTATTTGTCTCTTGTGTTGGAGAAATGAAGTTGATTGAGTGTACTGTAATGGGTATTCAAGCCTGTGGGACCCACCTTTTGCATGTTTTCTTAGTTCTGTGGATGATCTTTGTTGTGGGGGTGAAATTTTTTTATCACAGTTTAAGGTCATAAGTATTTTTTGCATTCCTAGAACCTTTGAGCTGATTGAAGTCAATCTGGATAAATAATTTTTCACCCTAACCTGCATAAAGTTATAAGCCTCTATTGAAGCATTTTTTTTTAGAATTCTTTAATTTGTAGATGTACACTTGTGCCACATACTGACTTGTCACCTGTATTGTTGTAGTTTTATCATATACTGCATACTATGCTGACTATGTTGATATTTATATGTTCCTGTGTCTACCATCAGCCCCGGAGAAAACGAGGCAGCAGTACCGGGAACAGAAACGATCGAAGGACCGAGTGCGTTCCCAAGACCGAGAGCTAAAACAGTCAACTTTAGATAACCCAACTAATGCTATGAGCACTTTGACGACAGCTGATACTGATGAACGATGTGAGAGTCTGCCGCCCCTGTCACCAGCTGTTAAGGTATTGTGATAAATGACATTGTAAATATTGTACTTCTCAGGGGGACTAGTAAAGTCATTGATGTACTTTCACCTCATGCATGACAACTGTTTTTCTTTGAGGGATATTTATAGCACTAACTGATTTAACTATATAATTTTTTAGGAACCAACTTCCCCTAATATCTTGGTTGACCGATGGAGTGATTCTTGTCTCCTGAAGAAGCCCACAGAGGTTTCCAATCTTCGTTTAAAGGTCGTAGTAGATGGATCACAATTGCTGGAGGTATTGAGGGATTACTGTCCCCTTTTTCCCATTACTGGATCTTGCTTAAGCTGACACATTAACCACACAGCTGCAGTTTATGGCCTGCTATGTAGCTACTAACCCCAGGCTTTCTTTCAAAGATTCATACTGCTTTACAGTTCTCTGCCCTCGAAACTTCTACTTTACTCTCATATTACAATCTTTTATAATTTTTACTTGTCTTCTCTTTCCTCTTGATGGTCACTGAGGCATTTCATCACTTTTCATACTTCTTATTTCACTTGCTGTAAGCAGATGGTATTTGGTTCACTTACGGTACAGGAAAGTGAAGTCAAATGGACAATATTTTTTACCAGTGCTGTCAGCATTATAATTCAGCCATAATCTTGTTTGAATTTAGAAATGGTTAGTGGCTGAAATCTTTGGATGAGAAGGTTTGAAACATTATTCATGGTACTTTGCCAGTATGAACTGATCTGTATAGAACAGTTGTGAAACAGGAACAGGAGAGATCCAGCTATGTGTAGTGGTGGATTGCTATGTTGTTTTCTATGTATTTTTCACCCTGACTAGTGCAAGCTTTTTTTATTATTAGTTGGAGTGTTATATGAAGGCTGTAGTGCAGTACTATGTGTAGGAGGTAAACATCACCAAAATAGATAGTGTTATTAGTGCCTGGAGCTTGACCTCTATTAATGGATTCGTGTTTAAATGAGTTCACTTTTACGTGGCTCTTCTGGGGATGTAACCCTGTTGAAGGATTAGGGTTTACTGTATGGCTTATATCGATGCATTTTCATATTGAATTTTGACTCATTTTCATATTAATAGGTTTCATACTCACATATATTTAGTGTTTCTCTCTCACATTAGATTTTCTTTGTGTTTGTTTGTTGCTCAGAAGCCATGAATGAGTGGTTAAAATAATCCTCTCTGTTTATGCCCAGGTTGACTCTAAGTCACGCTATATGAGTGTGTCGTGTAGGAAACTGGGAGATGGGGCCGATGCTGATCAAACTGATGACCGAAAGGTGTCTACCGCAGAACTACCCCCGGAACGTGTTTGTTATTTTGCCCAGCTACAGAGTCTACTCAAAACTGGAAGTCAGGAAACTGCCTTTAATCATCGCCAAGTAAGATTTTTTAGCTTTTCTTTTGGGGGGAATAAGATAAAAAAAAATTGTGTTTCATAATTAACATGGTCTTTTCTTATCCTAGTTTGAACATTAAAAAGTATTCAGAGGTGAGGTATTGTAGATAAAACTGAGTAACTTCAAACATACTGTATGTTTATAGAGTATTGACATAAAACTGCAGTGTGTCTTGTTGATGTAGCTCATGGCACTTGTGGTACTAGGTTTAAGAACTCCTTTACTTATTTTTCTGACAATATCAGCACGGCTTCAACCGTTTCATTTTTAAATTGGTTCACATTTTTCTTGATACATTGTGATGTGTTAATTTGTGTTTTTTATGGGCTTGAACATAGCAAATTTTCAATGCTGTTTCTTCTTTGTATTATTTTTTGTTTCTGGACAATATCTTTACACAATAAAACTAATGTACAATTGACATCACCAGCAGAGGAGCGAGGAAGAGGTGCTGTACCAACAGGAATTGTATGAGATGCTCTGGCTGGAGCTCCAAGCATGGCAAGCTGGTCTGGACTCCAATATGTTCGACATTGAATTGATTTCTCGGAGACATGAGGTAATGAATGAATAGATTATTGTCTTTTGTATTATTTCTCATATTGCTGAATATTGACCCAGATGCTGGAATACTGTATACAGATGGAGAGTAAAACAGCAAGAAAATAATTTTTATTTTCTTTCTGTTATTAATTTGTGGCATAAAAAAAAATAATAAAAAATATATATATATATATATATATATATATATATATATATATATATATATATATATATATATATATTCAATTATTTCAGGTTTATGATATAATACAGGAAGTTTTAAGCTTCAAGTTTGATCCTAATAAACATGAGAAACATCAGGACAATGTTGAAATCCCCTCAAAAATGAAGATAACCACAGTGGATGAACTGGTGACCGCGGGAGAACTGAGGATCGCTGGGATTGCTGTGAGTTCTGCCGACGCGGCGGACGGTGTGGGAATAAGTCGAATGGCTGAGGGAGAGGATGACTGTGTTGGATGCCTCTCTATTTGGTGTAAAGGATGCCAGGATAAGCAGACAGAATGCCTCATCCAAGTTGCATCATTACTTAAGCGGCTAGATTATGTGGAGTCTCTTTTTCCTTCTACCAAGAAATTAGCTTTACATTTCCCAGAGTGGGAACAAACAGAATTTGTTAATAGATACAAGGCTCTGTGTGTGTGGTACAATACAAGTGTCCAATTAAGAATGAAAATTGAGGTCCTCGGTAAGCTACTTGGAAACATGACCAACACCCTCATACCGTGGCCCACATTTAGCATGTGCTTCACTGGCATGGCAACTCCCACCTCAAGTTACGACTCCGGTGCTCCGTTAGCAACTGCCTACGAGGAGTCGCCGCAGGAAACAGAAACACAAGCTTGCAGTACGACATCTTCAGTCCGCTTTGTAATAGACTACGATAAGACTGACGCCAGCTCTAATCCATCCGATTCCAGTAACTCAACAGACTCTGGACACACTACTGCCAGCACCAACAGTGGCCTTCTGATGCCTCCTGGGCACATGTCTGCTCCTCCTCCAGGTGGACTACGTCGCTGCCTCAGTGATATCTTCATGGAGGCCAACCCTTACAGGTACTTATAGCTCCAGTTAAAATTATATCCTATATAAGGAATGTTCTTGAGAATGTACACAAAAGTATCAAATAAATTCACAAAACCATTTTTGTCATGTTAACAGGGCAATTTATTTATGTCTTGTAATTAAGCTTGGTGTATTTCCCATGAACTTTTACTGTCATCAATTTACAAAATAATTTCTCATATGCAAGGTTAGAAATGAAGGGTAACAACTATAAAAAACACATTACTGTACTCAAGATGCACATTACTGAACCCAGGCACAGTGCAGAACCAGAGGACTACTGCTCAACAAACAATGATGTGTTTAAGACAACGGGAGTTACTGTATCTTATGGTTCATGTCTGGGTAACTTTTGAGGACATTACTGTAGCCGATTCGTTTTTGTAAGATAATTTACCGTTTTACAGGAAATATGTTGAGAAGTTATTACGAAATAAGGGAATGAAGAAAACATTTGATAAAGTGGCAGAAGTGATTCGTGATGTAATGTCCCGTACAATGTGTATCCTGGAGGAACCTCACAGGACACTACGAGGTGGAAAACTGCACAGGGTACGGTACTCTTATCATATTCTCCTAACTGTCCCTATTGGTGAAACTGTAACAGATTTTAGCTTTGATCTCCCAGTCATCCTTCTGTCTACATCCTTTACATTTACTTGGATTATTTTATGATTTCCCATCTCAAGTTGTTCCTCAAGAAATTTACACAAAACAGATAAAGTGGCTGATCTTTACTTTATTTATTCCTTGCAGTTCAGTTTATATATTTGTTCCTTATGTCTTAAATTCTCTGATTCATGACACATTTTCCCAAGCCACGTCTGTACTTTTGTCGTTATCATTAGGCTGTAGATAATTTCCTGAGTTTGGGTATGAGGAGTCACTGAATGGTGTATGTACTGTTGATGAGACTTAAGTTCCAGTATTCCAATTTTGTATGACATATCTTAATGTTTGAATAATAAATTAATGGTAATTAATACAGGTACAGTATCAGTAATTAAGAATGTCATTTAAAGTAAGATTATTGTGACTACAGAGGTTGTATGTATGTAATTTAAATGTTGTGTTTCTATTAGGATTTGAAAGATATTGTGAACCATTTATATTTCAGCATGGATCTGATGTCCCTTCTGTAGCATTGGCCGAGACCTTACAAGAATTGAATCGATTTGGGCCATGGACTCCCAAGTTTGAATCTATGGAACTTCCTCCATTCTATGCAATGTTTATCTTCTTAGCTGCAGTGTCCCTTCAGATGATGAGGGAGTGTTTAAAACTGCGATTGGAACAAATGCCAGAGAAGCCATCACGACTTAGTATTAAGGAAGTAAGTGTAGATAAAAAGATTAGGTAATATACACTTGCCGTTCTTGTTACAGGTGTGTGTAAGACCTTGTGGTTACCTGTTGCTTAAAGGTATGTAAATTTTAAGAGTATAAGAACAAATCTGTATGATAAGAACTGTGTTGGATGCAAACAAAACTTATCCATCTTTAACATTTGTATCAATGTCACAATGTTTTCAAATTTGTGATGTTTTATGATTATTTATATGTGTTTTATTATTGTTGTGCAGCTTATGAGAGAGTACAAAGAAGGGGTGAAGTTTGCTGTGGTAGTAAGACAGAAGTACTTGCGGTCGTGCCAGGCGCTCTTCACACACCTCACCCAGCAACTACGGGAAAACTTGGAACTGCGACAGAATCAAGCTATAGAAGAACTTGATGCAAATATCAAAAGACTGTTAGAGGTGAGTGTGAGAAATTATTATGCAGTGAAAGGTGTACAAACCCCATGCGTGGCTAATAAGTTGATAAGTGGTTGAGATAATGAGTAATTATGAGAGTACAGTATGTGAATATCAATGTTCTATATTATCCAGTAACAGGTTCCCATTCAGTGATTTGTTTAATATAATGAGATAGCATAAGGATATCAGGGCGAACACAACTTAGACTTTTCCATGTATTTTTTTATCCCAATTCATGTTAACTACATCGCCAGGTGTACCTAGAATGGTTGGATCAGTTTGTGTGTATGTTGCATCGAGAACCTCATGCTTCAAGTCTGCAGCGCAATTTCCTTCAAGAAGAGTGGCGCTTTGTTCAGGCTACTTGTCCTCATGTTACGGAGGGAGACAGCTTGGCTGCTACACGTTTCTGGTAAGATTTTTCATAAATAGCTTTTTATTAAGCCCTGTCAGAAAGTTCAGGAGCATACAGTAGCAGTTAGCTGTTGAGCCATCTGACTGTCCATTGGGCTATCATTGATGTTAGTTTAGGTGTGAACGATATATTAAAGCTTGTGTTTGCATAGAAGCATTAAGTGTTTTGCTAGCTCAAGTCCTTTTACAGAGTCATTATCCCTTAACTTGATACAGCCAAACACAGGCTTCTCTGTTCCAAGAAAAAGTTATACTGTATTTATAAGCTTAGTCCACAAAAAAGCTTCTTTGAATGTAATACAGTATATTAATTTATTAAAGTTTTTCTTTAATGTTTGTCTTAAGTAAGAGAGGCAATAGTGATGTTTATATTACAATTACTTTTCTTTCATTCCCTCTTAGTAACATAGCGTGTCACATGCTGTGTAGTGTGGGTGATTTTATTGATACCGGAATTGACGATCAAATGGCAGCCTTGCAAGACTCCACCTTGGAGAACCTCGATGACCTGAGTGATGATGACGACTTGGAACAAGATGATATTCAGAAGTGAGTGATGCAGTGACTGATGGTTTCCTCTGTAATGAGTGAAAAATTGGAAAGGTCACAGGCTTAAGTCTTGTATTGTTATTCTTTAGTATAGTATCAGTGTTGAACTTCTTCCTAGTACTGTACTGTACTCAAGTGTATGGCTCCTGGTTGATATGTTGGTGTAATTATCTTAACATTTTGTATTTTGTAGACTATAATGTGTATCAGTTGTTAATGCTCTGGGCTTACAATGCATGAGACAGTTGAAAATCAATCCAAGGCCCAGCAGGTCTGATGGAGTGCTATTTTTCTATGGTGTCCTGGCTAAGCTAATTCCTCTCATCCTGGGGCTTCTACCTCACAAAATATGGGAAGCAGGTTAAAGGATACTTATGTCTTTGGTGTAATAAGTGCTTTGTGAAATGTTGTTTTCTTTTTGAGTAATACAAAAATAAAAAATAGTATTTTTCATTAATTCTCTCAGAAAGCGACTTTTGCAAAGATGTAGAGCGTTGCAAGTCCTCCTCGCAGAGACTCGTGAGCGAGCTTTACGAGCGGCTGGACTGGCTAAAATGTTGCGGAAGGATCTAGAGGTTGCTGCAGAATTTTGCCTCCGTGGTGAGCCTTCAGTTGTTTTGGATAAGTTGCGGGAAACGGGTCACATACGTGTCATCGCTCCGCACAGCCAGAACCACTTCATCTTTGTCCCAGGTGGGTTGTTATCTCCCTGTTTCTTATACATATACAGTATAGCTATGGTTATGTGCAGATTATTCCACTGGTTCTGACCTTTCTTTAATGGGCCTTTAAATTAAGACTGTTCATAGAGGTGTGTGTACTGTACTGTATATTTTACGGTTTTAAACGTTGCAAATCTTCCTTTATTAGTTACAGATGGTGGATATATAGTGGTGTACAAGTTCATTATTCAGTAACATTTCTTTTAAATAGCATCAGTGTATTTAGAAGTTAAAGGTAATTCAAGGTCTTTCACTCCAAGCTTTACATGTAACACAGAAGTTGGAGATGAATGTAGATGAAACAGTTTATACATCAAAATGGGGGAGACAGACATTTAATATCAGAATAATTAAATTACTGATTCTAAATTTAACCAAAGAGTAAATTTTTCCCCTATTTTCATCTTATGTATTATCTTTGGCAGGTCGCATCAAGGATAAGAGAGAGTATATATGGCACCTGTTGGACATGCGTGTAGGTGGTATAGGATTGGAGCACGAAGATGACGATGGGGGCGGCTATATGATTTTAATGAGGTGCGATGAATATGATACTTTATCAAAACTCTGGACTGGTAAAGTGATAGAGATTGAACCTACAGCTGACTGCACCATTACCCTCTCAAGAGTCATGGTAGGTGAAGCAAAATTATAGACTTAGCATTACAACAACAGATATCTAACATCATCTTAATCCAGTGACAATAATTTTGGAATTACTCTCTCAGGTTGATGATTTCCAAGCTTATGTCCATGTGTTAAGGTATTCAAAGCTTAAAAGCAACTGGCACCTGGTATTTTTATAAGTTCAGTCTAATTGCTGGTACTGGGTGATGTGTGAGAGCCTTGCCCCCAGACTCCCAGCTAGACTTGACAATTACATCCTGAATACTGTCAAGTCTCTACTGACAAACTTTCCTCTGGAACTGAGTAAAATGTTAGATCTTTGCCTGCCAGACCCACAGCCGTTCTTGAGAAGTAACCGTTGATTACTCCTTCTATAGGCTTCTCCTCCGTGTTGTATGGCTGTAATACTCAAGGATGGGGACTCAAAATCCTGCTGTTGGTCACCTTTTAACCCCTTGTGTACTGTTTTCCCTCTGAGCTGAATAAAATCATCTGGCATTGTCCAAATAAACTATTAAAAGTGGTGTCCCTATAGTGATGGGGTTAAGCTTGACATTCTGATCACGTTATTTTAAAGTAAAACTTAATATCATGTATACAAGATATTCATATTATAATTAAATTCTAAATTAATATGAAATGTCTTAACATACTTTTATTAATGATGTTCTTCTTATGATTATTCAGGTGACAAGTTTGTTGTTGGTTGTATCAAGTGGCACAATATTGACTCCAGTGCGTCGAGAGTTCCAGAGATCCATGGGTAATACTGTGGCCCTCATACATGACCAGACGGCACCCAACAAGGCAGTTACACATTCCATTGATGAACTTAAGGTCAGGAAACTAACTAAACTGTCTTTTGCTTGATATGGATGTTGTACCTATGTTGATGACTGTAAAGTATGTGTATATAAGACATTGCTGGAATGTGGGTCACTAGGAGTAGAATGTCTAGTTTAATGCTAATAGTTGAGGAGTTCTCTGGGAAATTGATGACCTAGTTTGAGAGATACAATTATATGAAAAAGGGACATGGAATTTAAAGTACAGATTGAAAGAGAAATGAAAAAGGAATTGAATTATATTATGTTGAAGCAGTTGATTATAAAGTCAGGAGTTGAATGTTGAGTTAGCTTAGACACATGAGAATGATTGCAAGATGAAGTTAAATCCTCATCATAAACTGACCTGTAGTTGAAGGAGGACACTAACTCATGATGGATAATAATATTTAGAAATTTGTTACTTTAACTTTTGGACTCCATGATCAACAACAGTATGGGTTGTCACGATGAATATATACACCAGGTTTAAACATTGTAGTTGTTCATGTTCTCAACTTACTCTGCCAACATACATAGTTAGTCCATTAGATACAGAACACACTCACCATGTACATGTAATTGCTAGTGGTCAGCCATTTTGTAAAAGGTGTATGGATGGTGTGTTAAGTAGAAGAGAATATTTATAAGTTTACTCTTTGTTTTCAGGGAGCAGCCCTTGAGCTTTGTGAGAGTCTTCTTCAGAACATTAAGCAGGTGGAGAATATGACAGACCTTGAGCAGACCACACCTGATGTAGAGGATGGAGAACGTCGTCAGCTCCGTCTTGTTACTCGAGATGTTGTCCACCAGTACTTTATGTTTGGGTTTGAGGTGTGTTACCAGTGTAGTAGTTAACTAAATGATTTATAAACAACATAAACTTTTGTGGTTTGGAGATTTAAGTATAGTATTCTGTGTAAAGAGAGAGATTAATTAAGTTTTGCTTATGAAATTTTTTAATACTGTAATTATTGTATGTTATTGTAATTTTATTTAAAACACTAGATCACACATATGTACTCCTACATGCCTGCACATATGTACATAGATATGATGTAGAATGTGAGAACAAAAAAGATTCAGCTGGGTTTTTCTTGTGATTTTCATTTTAAATATTCAGAATACCTTCACATTACTATACTGTACTGTACCGTACTTATCAGCGTACAAGATGACTCATCACTGAGATGACCTCAACTTTTCAGCTGTATGGGGAAATAATATTCACAAACATGACCCAAGTTTTCATTTTTCAGTACCATAAGGAAGTTACTCGACTTGTCACCGGTCAGCACCGTGCAGACGTTGCCCCGCTGTTGGTGTCTCTAGCCAGGATGTGGATGACGTTTATAGAGTCACATTATTCACATGGGAAAGGCAGTCGACCACGGTGGGCAAATGCTGGGCTGGAATTCATCGTGTTTGTTTGTGATCCACACAATACAAAACACCTAAAAGAAGAAGATTTTCAGGTTAGTGTCTGGATGGTTTTGTTAACATTAATAATATTGTGTTTTATGAGACCTAATATTTTTACTCTTTTTTATGTAGCATGAAGTCCAGCTTGTGAGATATAGTGTGTTGTTTACTTTTTACTTCACAAATATCTTCTTGTTCAGAGTTAAAAATCTTCAGATCTTGTGCATCATAGCTGGTGATTGTCATTATTTATGTGGTGGTGTTAATTTGTATGTCACCTTGGTGCACAGTAGGGAGTGAGGACCTATGTGATGGGCCCTTCTGGCTCTCACTGGTTTGCTGTCATCTTGGGTACTTGATTGGTTGCATTGATTGACGTACAGTAGATTGATCGCCTTACTTATTTTTGACTAAATAAATAGTATCTGTAAACTTTGCATGTAGTTATCCTATACTTAACTATATTTACCAGTACATAAAACCTCCTACTTTGCATCATAAAGTTAACCTGAGCTTGGTGCCATTTTATACAGGATGGTACCTTTTTATAAGATTACCTTCACTTTTGACCCATATCCCTTTAAAACAAAACAGCTTCAGGGTTTATTATGGTAAATATATACATCAGCCAAGCATGAACATTATAACTTTTTCTATTGTAGAGTTACACTGGATATACATAGTCAGATAGATAGATGCAGACGGCATACACCGTACTCGTAACATGACCCCGTAAGTGTGAGTTGCAGTGCTGTACTCTGCTTTGGTCTTGCTAAACATTCATGTATGACACTCATGACACGGGTTCTTTTGCTGTGGTTTACGAGGAGTCAGTTTTGGTACGGTGTTGATTAGTGGGATTCATCTGGTTATTTATTAAGCTATGTGGAGATGAGTTCTGGGTGTGGTGAAGACAGATGTATATTAAAGATGGGAAGTCAATCAAATGAAGAGAGTGAATATGTTCATAGAAAATTAGAGGTTACCTGACATCCAAGAATGAAAACACAAATAAGGGGGACTTATTTTTTATAATGTAGTACTGTACTGTATAGTTTTCTAATCAGGTCAACAAATTATGGGAAGAAGGTTATATTGAACACAGTCAAGGTCACAGAGTTGATAGTGACAAAGAGTACCCGTAGGTTGGATTGAATTTGATTAAATAAGAACAGTCAAAGGAAGATCAAACTATGGAAAAGATGAGATGATTTTGTATAGACTTTTAGAAGAATTAATGGAATATTGTGGAACATAAATGGTTGGGCGTAGGTGATGAATGATAAAGAAAAGAAGTTAATGGATAGAATTGCAAAGACAACATGAAAATATTTATTGGTGTAAAGTGAAGTTTGAACACTGTCATTTATGTTGGTTTGTTCAGACCCCAAAACACTAAATAATGCAGTTGTTATACAGTACTGAGATGCTATACTAAGGTTACTACCCAACACATTTACTTTTTATAGCAACTTGTAAGGGAAATTGAATCATGCCGTGCGTACATCGTGGGCACCGCTCCAGAGGTTAAACAGCCAACCACCCCACTAACTCCAGTCCTTCCTAGACACTTCAGGTAACACACGTCTCTGGTAGTAACTCATATATATGGTTCTCACTCGTAGTTGTGGTTTTTTTTTCATTTACATCATTTGTTTAATATAAAAACTAAATCTCTTAAAAAGGTAAAATGAAGAACTAAATTTTGTGATGGATTAATTTATTCTTTCATGTGTTCAGAGTCTCCTAAAATTTACCAAGATGTGTGCATGGCATTTGATTGCATTTTTCGAGTATAAATGTAATAGATATTTTTGATCGTGACCCTTAAAGTTCAATACTGTGTGCATCCATTACCTATATCTCCCTATGTAGAATTAATATTGTAGTTGTCTTCTTAAAAATATGTAATAGTTATTGTGGTTATCTCTTAAATAAAATGTAGTAGTTCTCAATGCTTTATTCCTGATTATTGTGTTTCCCCTAGAACTCCAATAACTGTTTCAAGTAGCCCATAACCTGTAAAAAAAAACTTGAATAAGTAGTGCATTGAGTTGAAGTGTTGCATGGTACAGTGTTTGTCCTCTTGTGTTGCCCGAGTTGTAATATCCCGGACGCGTGTTTTTCACCTTGAAGTACATTTATTGAGCTTTTAATTTTTGGTTTCCTTGGAGTGATACATGAAGAACTAATTACATTTTTTAATTTTCCTTTGCATACAGAGGTAACAAGATTAGTGTGCAGGGTATTTAAATTTTTTAATTATTTTTATTCTAGAACGGTAAATGATTATTATATTTTAGGACGTGCAATAAAAGTTTGATTATTGTGAAGAACATTTATATTCTGTTTACTGTACGTCGTAAAATATGGTAATCAATTAGGGTTCTCGAATAAAATAATGACCTTGTTTCCACATTAATGATTAGGAACATTTGCTTAGGGATTTATTTTTCTCATTCCTGTCTCCGTGAATTTTTCCAAATGTTAATAATATGCCGTGTGACCTTTTTGACAGGTCATCATCCTCGTCATCCACAATCCATTTGCCGCCAGAGAGATCCTTATCCACACAGTCCTCCCAGAGTGATTATTCCCCCGTAGTAAATCCAACGGAGAGTCCATTTTTAAGGTGCGCTGAGGAGAGTTAACCTGACCTACCCTAATCTGACCTGTCCTATCCTAATCTAACCTAACCTATTCTAACTTAACCTAACCTAACTTTATCTTGCCTGACTTGGCCTAATCTCACCAGACTTAACCTAACCTGATCTGGCCTGACCTGACTTGACTTAACCTAATCTGATCTGGCCTGACCTAACCTAACCTGACCTGGCCTAATCTAATTTATCTATCCAAAATAATAGTCATGAACATCTCTTTTATTAAGTTCATGTTAATATTGTGGTAATGTAGCAGTAGTAAAGAACAGAGGGTTGTTTATTTTCACCTATGTCATAGATAGAAGATTACCGAAAGACGTTGGGGCTGTGGCTATGGCTCCCAGTACCGTATGATCAGACTCGGTATCAACAAAGAATCTGTACCATGTTTAGTTAGGCATGAGGCATGTTGTCTTCAGACTATGAGCGGTGGCCTTGCATGCATTAAGTCTTATTCTGGGGTATTAAGTGAATGTGAATCTTGTTAGCATGTTTAGATTTAAAACATACTGTACTAGACTTTTTCCTAACAAGACTGAACTGTAGTTAAAAATAATCCTGTCTACAATGCAGTGAAAATTGTGAGATTATGGCACATCTTACACAAAATATTGGCTTACATAATAATGCAAGATTATCCCTTGTACAGTTAACTTATCAATGAGGAATTGTATAGGCATGTGACCAGACTGCATGTGACAAGAACCATGATAATAGTAATGTGGTGTCTGGTGGTACAGGAGTAGGTGTAAGGGAGGAAGTGGGTGAGAGAATTGGGAGTTTGTAAATGGTTTCAGAATTACTGTATTAGGGTTTACATTGGGTTTGGACTTTACATTAGTTTAGATGGAGAGAGAGCAAACATTATCTTTTTTAATGTTAAGTATTTTCTGCAAGCTATTAACCATTGTAAATGTTATCCTGCAGAAGAAATCACACGAGACGCAGCCATTCCAGCATGGAAAAACCAGTTGACCAGAGTGACTGCCCTAGTCAAAACACTCCAGGTATGCATGGTCTTCATTGGTCAATGAGAACACTGCTAAGATCACCATGCAGTGTTTTTATTTTAATTTGCTGCTGCCCAAAATTAACATGTTCATTGCTATTTTGGGCTGTTTAAAATTTTCCATGGAATAAATTTTTCAGATAGTGTATGTAATACCCTGTACTGTATTAGACAAACTTGGCTGATTTAAACCTTAGCTTGCTTTTCGGCACTTGGGGTCATACTGTGGATTTTGTTCAAATTTCATACAAAGGTTCTACTTTACATGCTGATTAAAGATCTGGGTTCACATTTTAAAAATTCAAGTAATTAGTATTAATTAATACCCTTTGTGATTATTAAAGATATTTAGTATATATTTAAAAAAACAATTTCTGAGCTTCTTGTTATACATTTAATTCTGGCTTTATCATTACAGAAAAGCCAATAGAAAGGGTGCGGAAAAAAATTGTGTCAATGGACCTTGAAATCGATGATTCTCTCAGAGAGGATAAAGTGATAGGAAGAGTATCCAATACTCAGAGGGACAGGATTCACTTCAAGCCTCGCAGTGTTAGTTTCTCGTGGCAGAGAGGCTTCAAAATTGGTGAGTATCCATTGTTCTTTCTGTAGGTAGTTTTGGTGTTATCTCATTTAAGCTTCTGAGAGGATTACATAAAGATGGCAAACTGTTCCATCTTTTTCTCCTTATCTTTACTGTTGGGTTTCTGTTATTTTCTTTCTTTGATCTGAAGAATGTGTACGTATGAGGTCAGGCATATCAGGCACTGTTCACCTCACGTTCATGTTTAAATAATGAAGGAACAGATACATTTACATAAGAAATTTATGTATTTGTTTGGCCGTAACTGTAATAAAGAAAATAAAAATTGCTGTACTGGATTCTTCTCTATCTTGGACACAGTTTATGCTTCTCCTCAATTATCACTGCAACTGATTGATCCTTCTCGTGATAAAAATGCTGGGAATGGTCAGGTGGCTGGAGCTCTTACAGGTGTGGTTAACTCATACATTCTTTCTGAGGTTTAGTGAAGCAAGAATCACTGGTTTTTCACACAGGTAAAAAAAAAGTTTTATCTTGACAGTAGATCAGGAAAGGATAGTAAGACACATTTAACAGTATAAAATTAGTATATTGCTGAAGCTTTACATTTTCTTGCCATAAAATATAGCTAAAAGCAAAATTAAGATTAAAGTTTAAGAGTTGGCCAACATTTTTAAATCTAATTATTATCATTATAATACCATATATTAGAAGTAAACTAACTTGATCTACTCTATGGTGGTGAATATCTCACCTGTAAGTTTACCTTAACCCAACATCTCACAGTTGTGGATGAAGTGATCTTTATACAGTACCAGTTATGATTTATTATACAACACTTTGTAATTTATAAATCTGTTAATGACGGTTTTGTGATTGAACTTTTGTCCATCAAACTTATTGTGTATTTGTCTGGCATTCACACATTTATCACTTAACTCATCCAGAACCTTAATTATGTGGTGAGAGTTATGTTTGGGTCTATGCGTAAGTTGGATATTCGTAGACAGCGTAAGGGTCGTGATCAGGGTTGAAGTTGTCTGGAGGAGTCGTAGTTGTTTTCTGCTGCCGGGCTTCAACTGTGAGCCTGGAAAGGAAGCGTGCGGTTTTTTAGTTTTTTGATCGCTTGAATTTTTCTTTGTTACGATATTTGAATGAGGATTAATGAAGGTGCTGAAACTAAACCACTTCATCAATTTCCTCCCAAATTATGTCACTTATGCTGAACTGAATGATTTATTGGTAATGTTATGTGCAATTTGTCCAGCAATATTTTTTTACCCACTTACAAACCTTCTACCACAGAGTATCCCTCATTCACTGTCATTCTTCCTAGCTGCCAAAATTAGACACAGGTGCAATAGATAACAGGGATCCCTACCTTGGTGTTTCTCCTTTTCTTTGCACTTCATTGAAATCTTTGAAAATGGGGTCTCCAACGCTGCCTCCCCGACGAATCATCATACGTGACCTCCAGAGCGAGTACTGGGGTCCCCGGAAGTCATACCAGTAAAGGCCGGTGTACTGATGATCCCCTGGCAGTGGTCCATGTAGATACCTTCCATTTAGGTTGCTGAGGAATTGCTCAAAGATCTTTACTGATGAAATAAACTTTACAGTATTTGACATATAATATTGAAACCGAAGATCTGATCAATATTGACTGTATGTACTTGACAACTCTATTGATATGTGACAAACTCTACTTTACTGGAGCTAATGACATATTTTAGTGAATTAATAATAAAGTGGACCCTCAGTTTGTGTGGTCTTATAATTGGGGATGTCATCAGCAGTGGTGACTCAGTTTAGACAATAGTTTTCATTCCTCTGGTGGCCTGTCACTTCTCTGTACTGCTGATGGTACCAGGAATTACGAGCAGTTAACTTAATAAAAGACAAATCATTTAATTTCTGATCAATTTCTTCTCTACCTAACCTAACCAAAATCATTACACTACCTGTAGTTGAAATTTTTCTCAAGAATGAAGTTTTTGTTAGGTTTTATGAATCCAATTAAAAAAAAAGTAAATCATGATGCAAAATTGACTTGTAAAAGATGGTCAATTTATTACTGAATGTGTTTAGAACCCAGAGCTTTAGATGAAAAGGACTCAACCATAATAGTTCTCATAACTGTATATCTTAAATAAAAAAAAGAAGGATTATTTGTGTCAAAACCAGAGTAAATTTAGTTTGATAAAATCTGTTTGTAGACAAGAGCAGCATGTTCATTAGTTACCTTGTTTCACACGCCCTGTACCACCAAGCACCATGATGATCCCTTGCACAGCTTCTCTCAGGCCATGCATCATTATCAACATCAATAGTGCTGAAGTGACGGCCCACGTGATATCTCAGTGAGTCTCCTGAAAAGACAGACGATTAATACAGTATTTAGTCTTATACTTACACAAATATCACTTGATTATTAAGGGTGTGACAGCTACTTGCTATCTGTCGTAAGGTGTGCATGCCCAGTCTTGGAACACTCTTGGTACTGTACTTAGTTTTACAAATTAGGGAAGTAAAAGGCAGTCAGAAACAGTGCCGGCTGCATGTGTACTGAAGTCCTATGCAGTGTGTTATATCCACACTGTCCACAACTGTTACAGCAGCTAATGTGAATGAATGAAAGACAGTGAATGAATGAAAGACAGTGAATGATAGCTAGTCTGTGTTGGCCTGACTCTCACCTTCCTACACCAGAGTGGAAAAGGATATAAAACAAAAAGAGTGAAAGTATAGGCTATTGTACTTACAAGAAATTCAAATACAGGACTTAATTATTGTACAACTATAGAAGCTTAGTGTTTTATTATTTTAGTCACCATACCTGCGTCTCCACTGTACTCCCCAAGCAACTTCAGTGAATAGCCTTCCAATTCTGAACCGATTGCAAAGGCAGAATAAATTGCATGTCCATTTTGTTGGTCGAAGTCTGCCATGTCAATTCGCAACTTTGATACCTGTTCATTAAAGTGACCATAAGTACAGGTAATGATTATGTTCTCTACAGTATTACTATAATCAGGTTTATATTGTACTATAGTTTGTATTAAGGTTATTTTATACATGTTGCCATAATGGACTGGAAATTTTAATCATTTTCACATCCAGTATTGCACAGTAGCATCTTACATGTTGGTTTGTCAGCAGATGGATGTTTTCATTCCCGAGCCAAAATTCGCCGGCTAGGTTTCCAAATCCGTACTTATAATCCATCCACTCACGCAGGAATTCAACAGAGCCGTCTTCTCTCCTCTGGATTACCTAAAGAATTTTATATACGTATTATAGTGTGATCAGTACAATACTGTACTTGGCTTCTTTTTTATCTACTGCAGCCAAACTCTTTTTTTCAACAGTGTTGTGTGGCTGGGATTGATCAATTCTCATTTGTTGTCATTCTAGCTGTTGTCTGCTGAAACAGATGTGTTTTGCTATGGTGTTCCGCTTCCATAATACGGCTCCAATTTTTCCTTCAGTTTTATCTGTCACCTCATTCAACCTGGTAATACGTATCATCAGAACGGCCATCCCCATTAATGATTTAAAAACAATGCTTCCTAATCTTACACACAGACGTACAGACACACATTGTTAAAGCCAAGGACAGTAGATGAGACAGAGTCAGTGGGGCTGTATAATTCTGGCTGTCCTCTCTCATAACAGGAAACTACCTACAACTTACATCATTTTAAATGTAAGACAAAGACCCACTTATTAGCCCACAACAAAACATGTAATTTCATCAGTATTATCAATGTTGTACGAGACAAATCTAGCTTGAATACAGATAAAGTTTCTTGTCAGTAGTACTGCCTTACAAAAGGTTCACTGTTACATATTCTGTACCTCTCTAAGTACATCACAATGTTAAATACAGTTGTGTTAAGACAGTACTGTTTGGTTGTTACTTACTGTCCACCCTCCACCTTCAGTCTCCATGTCGCAATAGACAAAGAAAGGAGCCGGGGAGAAGCGGGGCCAGATGCTGTACACTCCAGACTTGTTTTTGCCTTTCTGCCGGAGCTTCCAGCAATCCTCTGGCTCTGCATGAAGCAAAGTATTCACATGAAGTTTGAGAATATTTACATTTTGGTTTTGATATTAGTTTGTTTTATTTGCATAATAAACTTATGGAGTTAGTTTGGGAATACAAAAGATCCCTCCTCCCCCAGTCTCTACAGTACTGTACCACATAGTGTTTGGTAAACTTTATAAGCTTCCAAATTTAACCAGATTATAATTGGGAATTAAACCATTCTGTGAGTATAAGAAAGTTGTTTGTTTATCATCTGTGGAGGAAATTGGTGTCATGTGTTTAATAAATGTTGTCGTGTTTCTTTGTTCTGTAGACAGATCATTGGTAACTGCTGACCTGATACTTTGCATTAATTTTACAAAAGATTACTTCTTAAAAAGTGTACTGTATTGCCATGTTACAGAAATAAAGCTGTGCATGTAGGCTTATGGGAAATGAAAGAATAATTCATATATCTATAATAGTTTGGCTTAATTGTGGGGAAGAACTCCTTTACTGCATGAAATGAATGGTTTTGGGTCACAAAGAAATTGAGGCTAACATATTTCATGGAACTGTGTGTGTACGGAGTCACACCTAGGAGCGTGGGAGTGGTGTTGGGGAACCAAGAGGCTTGTGGGACACAGTCTATAAATATTTAATTTTGTGCACAATTTTGAAAATTTATGCAAAAATTATGGCAGTCTGCTGGGATATCACAGCCTTCAATATGGACCACCCCACTGGCAAGTCACAGCCTGCTAGTGGATCCCTAACATTGATTAAAACTGTCTCTTCAGAGGAATACCAGGGCTTCCATAATGTTCTATTTCTGGCTCTCAAGAATGCCAATGCCAGTGAGTATAAGTACTGGATACAGAGTGAATTTGAAAGCGTTGTATGACATACCTGTGGCGGCCATACTTTGACTGCCTGGCCCTCGTCTGGGGCCTCTTGACTGAATCATGTGCGCGTACATGGACATCGGTGATGGATTCTTGTTCTTGATCTCATTTAGATTTTGTTGTAGATATTGTTTTGTGACCATGTTCTGACTCATCTGGTCCAGGTTCCTGTAAGTCATGTCAAAGAGGAAATGATGTGTTTTTTGCAATTTAAACTCAGATTTGCATTAGCATAAAATGTTCTACATCAAAAGTGAAGAGTGTTACTTTTAAGTGATTACCTACATATGGAGTCAATTACATTATCTTTTGTTGTATTGTGTAACTCACTTGCTGACATTGGTGAGTACAGTTAAGTTTTGCCCAACTTCTGAAATGTTGTCTTTAACTGCCTGTGTGGCGGTGCGGAGTCCATGGATTGTTGCCATCACTGCTTGTAGTCTTGATCCGAGGTTTTGTCCATCATCATCTGTCCGGGTACTTTTATATAGAACTTAAAAGGTAATTTTTCAACTTTCATCTTTGTGATGTTTCTTTGCCTTTTCATGTTTCTGCTGTCTAAATGTGTATAGTTTTAAGGAAGAACTGTACAGTAACTGCAATTGTTATTAAATTTACCATAAATAATTCTATGAACCAGAAAGACAAATAAGAATGTGCTAAGGATATCTTTATCTACTAAGTAACGTAGATATTTCCTTATAGATCTCGAGTATCTTGTGTTACCTTGATTCCTTGGGATTTCGTTGAATGTGGCCTTAAGCTCAGCTTGCTGTTGGTTAATACCAGTGATGCCACTATTGATGTTATCCAGGATTGTGACGATTGTATCTAGTTCATTGTCAGTGGTCTCCATACGATGGCGTAGGGCATTACTCAGTTCATTTATTACACTCTTACGTTCCTCTGCCTGAAGTTCTATTCGTGTAAGTCTTAAATAGAAATAAAGAAAGAGAGTCACTTAAAGAACCTGATAAATATCTAATATAGCATTGGCCTATTACAAAGGTTTTCCTCAAGTTTTTACATTTTTCCAATCAAATTTGTCTCACTCAGTCTGTAGTTTTCATGTGGTTGATTTCGGTCTGTATTATGGAAATCACACAGTTTTAAAGGTTATTATCGATGAATATTTTATATCCTTTGTGACACTTATCGCTGGTGTTGTCTCGTGTAGTGTTGTCTTGTGTCATATTCAGATTATGGTCGATTGTGTCACACCTTGAGTCTCATTCATGGCCAGCAGTGTCTTGTTCTCCATCTGGTTGCTGGTGTCTTGTCTGTACCATGTGTTGTTGTGTGTGATAGTTGAGTCGTACTGTATTTGTTAATGATACCTATCTTTTTTTTTTATTTGTAGTTAATTATATATATATAGTACAGTATATATATATATATATATATATATATATATATATATATATATATATATATATATATATATATATATATATATATATATATATATATATATATATATATATACTGTATATATATATATATATATATTGTATCTCTGCAGGTAAAACGGTTTTTATTCTGTGTCTTGTTTGTCATAAGTGGTGCTTCTCCTCTGGCTGGTGTGGAGTGGACCTTGTAATGTTTATCGCCGTCTTTGTCTGCAGCAGATACCTATTACCCCTTGCCTGCTAATAAGGCATAACCTTTTGTCACCTGAAATGGAAACTTGGCCTACCTGTAGTTAATGGTGTCAATCCTCTCTGCCCGTTGGCTCTGAAGAGTGTCGATAGAAGTTAGCCTGTCACTGAGGCGTTGGAGCAGAAGGATTGTGGTGTCCATTTGCCTTCGGGAGATCTCAGTATCAGGCAACCTTCTTGTGTCACCACCATCACCTGCTCCAGTACTGCTGGAGTCGCTCTCATACTGTCTTCCTGAGCTGGCACCGCCACCCTCATGCTGTCTTGCAGTACCACCACCGCCGCCCTCATACTGTCTTCCTGAGCTGGCACCGCCACCCTCATGCTGTCTTGCAGTACCACCACCGTCGCCCTCATACTGTCTTGCTGAGCTGCCACCGCCGCCCTCATATTGTCTTGGTGAGCTGCCACCGCCTCTCCCATACTGTCTTGCAGTGCCACCACTGTCGCCCTCATACTGTCTTGCCGAGCCGCCACCCTCATACTGTCTTGCCGAGCCGCCACCCTTATACTGTCTTACACTGTTGCCACCCCCATACTGCCGAGTACCTCCGCCACCAAACTGCCGAGCACCACCTCCACTGGCATGCTGTCGTGGTCCACCAGCATGCTGTCTTGCTCCACCATACTGCCTTCTGCCACCACCATACTGCCTACCACCACCTCCATGCTGCCGACCAGTGCCAGTGGCACCAGCACCACTATCAACAGGACTGGTGGTGCTATTGCTAACTATGCTGTTGTCATCTTCATCATCAGTGGTGTCATTACTACTGAGCTGATGAACATAATGAGAAAAAAATTCAAGATGAGTTGAAGAAGTCAAATCAAAGGATGGTGCTGCATTTAGCTGTATACTGTACTGGGTGTATTAATGGGCTGAAGATGGACTAACCTGGTTAGGTGTAAAGTTGCGTTCAACGGTGAAGCCATTTCTTCCAGTGTTCCCGGGTTCACTCTCTGTTGTTGCAGTCACCACTTCCTGTCAGTGATGAAAAGAATTTTGATTTTTCAACAACCAGAGAAAGTTTGCATGAAAGCCTTTCTAAGGGATTATAGAAACTACAGTACAGTATAAGAACCAACAAATGTAACATATAATTTCTCCTCTTTAACTTTATGGGACGACACTGAGATTGTAACTGTATATTTCAATCCACATTAAAAGACCCCCAACTGTATATGAGCACCCAGCCTACAAGTATTAGAATATAGACTTAAATGATAGTTAGTAGTAATGGAATAGAGTTGAAGAATTACTGTGTTATCCCTCCCTCAGTGAACACACACACACATACTCACACACACACACACTCTTATGAAAATGCATGCACAGAAACACTAAGTCTTTTTCTCTCCAATGAAGACAGACAGCGGACCAATAAACACTCTCACGTGTAGAGACAGACGTGTAGGGCCTTGACGTCAGTGAGCACCAACTTGAGGCAATAATGTGGCCAAATTGAGTGTGGGTGGGGATGGTGTTATTGTACCAAGGTCACCAGGGTTGGGCTCATTTGTTGGTAATAGGGAATAATATACGACATGTGCTGCTGCTGTTGATGATGATGATGATGTTTTAGCCCATAGATTGTACAGTATATAATTATGGGAACAGCCAGTAGGACAATGGTACAGTATGCAGTACAGTATATGCTGTACCCACATTAACACACTTTGGGGGGTTCCAGAGTGATGGGGCAATTGGTAGGGGATTTAATTTGGATAATTTTGGGGGATTTTATTTGTTTATTTCCGGTGATTTAAGTGGTTTTTTCAACCTATTGTTTACCATTGTTTGTATACCTTCACTGTCTGTATACATTGTATACCTACACTGTATACATTGTATACCTACACTGTCAGTATACATTGTATACCTGCAGTCTGTATACATTGTATACCTACACTGTCTGTATACATTGTATACCTGTACTGTCTGTATACATTGTTTGTTTACCTGCATTGTCTATATACTGTACATTGTATACCTCCATTGTCCATATATATTGTTTGTATACCTGTCCAGTGGAACATCTTGTCTACGGTCCAGTGATCATTATTTTATGGGTTTTGTCTTGTGGATAATTATCATAGGATTTTATTTAGTGGGGGAATTGTCAGGTGAGACTTGCTGTTGAAGGATAATGTCTGGTAGGAAATGGTCTGTTAGCTCACCTGGCGGGGCCTGATGAGGGGGCGGCGTTCACGGTCTCTGGCCTGAGCCTCTATCCTCGTCACCAGCAGGAGCGACCACACTGCAGCAGCCGCCGCCCATACTACCTTCATGCTGCCTCCCTCACGCCACCACCGCCCTTCTGGAAACCAACACGCACATACCATCACTTATTCTTTGTCACAGTTCACTAACATGGTTATGTTTTATAACACATATGCACTCTTAAGGTACACGGTTGGCTCTTACACACACACTATTATGTCAGAACTGTTTGTAAATTAATCTAGCCCTTTCTATCTTCGTGGAATGAGTTACTACATGTTAAACTGTAAAAAAATTATATATCCTATCCTTAATTAGTTATAATATGTAAAACACACGTTCAATGAAAATTCATTAAATGTGATTTCGAAGACATAATATCCACGAATAACATAGGGAATAAAACTGAACTGTAAGGCACGGTTAAGTGGGCATCGTAGCAGTGGGCAGCAGCTCGTGTGTTGTTGACTCTCCAGAGGATGATGGGAGACTAAAGGGGGGAGGGCTCAGGGCCACACACCCCTACCTTATCCTTAACTCATGCTCAAAATTTCCAACCTCTCGGCTAACATATTATCTCATACAGCCCTTCTTTGTTAAGTTTAATATTCCCTTGAATAATATAATGTTAGTAAATGAATATGGGATGTCCAGTAAGACTTGTGGAGGTGAGCGAGTCAGCTGGTGGGGGTGAGGGGAGGGCGGAGGGTTAAGCAAGGGTGACTGGTGCTGGTGTCAGTGGTCTGGGAAAGTCATCAAGCCCACCAGCTCCCCAGACACATACACAGACTCGCATACACCCATCACCCGGATATCAGGAAACACAGGATCATTCTTGACGATGTGGACAAATACTGTATCTACATATAACTACAGACACACACACACATTGTTACATACAGACAAACTTAACACAAACCTGTCATATGCGCACACACACACACACAGTAATAGAAACACAGATACCCACACACTAACCCACATGTGTATGAGAATGAGTTTACATGTGGGTAAGTGTGTGGATATCTGAGTGTGTGGGATGTCTGGGTGTGTGGATGTCTGGGTGTGTGGATGTCTGGGTGTGTGGATGTCTGGGTGTGTGGATGTCTGGGTGTGTGGATGTCTGGGTGTGTGGATGTCTGGGTGTGTCGATGTCTGGGTGTGTGGATGTCTTGGTGTGTGGATGTCTAGGTGTGTGGATATCTGGGTGTGTGGATGTCTGGGTGTGTCGATGTCTGGGTGTGTGGATGTCTTGGTGTGTGGATGTCATGTCTGATGTCTGGGTGTGTGGATGTCTGGGTGTGGATGTCTGGGTGTGTGGATGTCCGGTGTGTGGATGTGGATGTGTGGATGTCTGGGTGTGTGGATGTCTGGGTGTGTGGATGTCTGGGTGTGTGGTGTGTGGATGGTCTGGGTGTGTGGATGTCTGGGTGTGTGGATGTCTGGGTGTGTGGATGTCTGGATGTGTGTCGATGTCTGGGTGTGTCGATGTCTGTGTGTGGATGTCTGGGTGTGTGGATGTCTGTGTGTCTGGGTGTGTGGATGTCTGGGTGTGTGGATGTCTGTGTGTGGATGTCTGTGTGTGGATGTCTGGGTGTGTGGATGTCGTGTGTGGTGTGTGTATACAATATATTATTATTTGTTTGTGTACCCTAAAGTTCAACACATATACCCCTCACACACACACACTCACACACCCCTCAACACACACACCCCCAACACACACTCACACCCCCCTCAACACACAAACACCCCTCAACACACACACACACACACAGGCTGAGTAGTCTTCTGCAAATTTATCATCTATCATTCAAAATGGACTTACCTGTATTATGGGTGTACCTCTGTCCATCTAGCCATTAGTCAGTGATTTATATTTGTGCCCTAACAAGAGTGTCCAAGTACAAATTAATATGATACTATGTAGGTACCTTCCTCATTATTAAGGAGACGAAGATCCTCATTGGATCAGGGGATAATTGGGTCAAAGGTGAAGGTCTTTTATTGTACCTAGACTTGTGAACCATAACCAGAGTCTCCACAGCACCAGTGAACATAATATTGCTCAGAAACATTAAGGAGAAGAAGATTTTTAATTGATATTTGGGTAACTTGGTCATTGAACAAGTCTATCAATTATGCTCCAGTTGAATTGTAAAAGATCATCAGCCACACATACTGTATACCTGTATGTAATTGAGATGTTTTCCTCTTCTCTACAGGTGCTGGAAGGTTTGGCAAAGTGTACACAGCCGTGAACAATAACACTGGGGAGCTGATGGCCATGAAGGTCCTCCCGCTGCAGCCCAATGACCACCGCTCCATCCGACGTGTTGCTGATGAGCTGCGCATCTTTGAGGGCATTAGTCACCCACACCTTGTCCAATGCTACGGTGTGGAGATACACAATGTGAGTCTGAGGGTTGGAGTGCAGGACTGAATTTCATCATTGTACACTATCCTATGCATACTTAACTTCAGAATGAGTACAGGTACACCATCAGATGCATTTGCTGATAGTGGAACAACCCTTAAATGAATATGTTTGAGTTAACTGAGGCATTAAGATCTGTAAAGTGTTCTTCTGGCTTGAGAACACATGTTGAATAATCCTTTATCGGTTGGAAGATAAGATGTTCAGAACAAACTCAATATATTATGTTGGATAAATTTACTGTTCTTGCTTTCAGGACGAGATGTTAATGTTCATGGAGTACTGTGAGGAAGGCACACTTGAGAGTTTAGCTACCAGCACAGAAACTGGGCTTCCTGAAGAGCTCGTACGCAAGTATACAAGGCAGCTATTGGAGGCAGTGAATGTACTGCACGAGCAGGGTGTGGTTCATAGGGATATCAAGGGTAAGAAATCCTGCTCCTTCATCACCGCTCCCATTGTGTCTGTCTCAGTTTTTAGTTGTTGTCCTCATAAGATACATTGTAGGTGCATCATTTGTATTATATTCTAGAGACAAGTGATGTGTCTCATAGTTTAAATGATAATGCAGGTGTGTGTTGATGTGTGTACAGGTATTTCATAAGTGATAATAGTTAATATGGGTTGGTACTTATTTTTAATATTCCTCTTTCAAGGTGCAAATATCTTCCTCTCTGATGAGGCTAACACACTGAAACTGGGAGACTTTGGGTGTGCGGTCAGGCTGCGTGGTCATCAGACAGAAATAGGAGAATTGGCTGGTATCGTTGGTACTCACGGTAAGGACTGGGTTATTTCTCTGGGTGTTTTTCGTCTATCAAGATATTTAATGTTTGTCCTCATTTTTGTCCCTTACTTGTAAATAGTGGAGGCCATAGCATAGCTGATGCACTTTACAAACAAGAGTGGGGGCTAAACTCATTTGAATTGACTTTATTTTTTATCTCCAGCTTATATGTTTTAAACAAATTATTCAGAATTTTATGGCCAAATCATTCCAAAACTCACTGGATAGGCTCAGCTGAATTATTATCTTGTTGAAGGTCACCAATAGATTTGGGATGATGTATTTATTTAAGATGATACAGTTTTTATTTATTTTTTTCAGCATATATGGCACCCGAGATATTCCAGTCTAGTGAAGGTCATGGTCGAGCTGCTGATGTTTGGTCTGTGGGATGTGTCGTCATAGAGATGGCCACAGGCAAAGTATGGATTGTTATAGTTACAAACCTATTTATTTATATTCATACAAACATCTGTCTCACTCACTTGCTGATGTGCTAGTTCACTGAGGTGGGTTTAGTTGTGTAGGTGGACAGATGGTTCAGTGTCAGGACAGTATTTTCAGCAGTGACCAATGTCTCATCATGACCTGTCAGATGTTGACATTTAAGTGTTTAATTAAAGATAATATTTGTGTTTGAAATACTTTAATTTTGATAGATGCTGTCACTGAGCTAATGAAGTAGTTAACTAACTGTATTAAAAATTAAATATACATGTTGACCTATAGCAGTTGGCCTTGATGTGGATAGAATTAATAAGGCTACTTTTCCCCACAGAGACCATGGCCCCAGTATGACAGCAGCGTTCAGATAATGTTCCGTGTAGGGATGGGAGAATCTCCATCCATTCCCAAACAGCTTTCAGAAGAGGGTCACGAATTCTTAGGTGGATGTTTTGTCCACGACCCCAAATCTCGGTCAACAGTAGCCCAGCTGTTAGACCAAACGTTTGTGAAGGTTACTATCATTTTGTCATTAAACTCTAGCCTGCTCCCAACCCTCTTTTGTGTGTGGGTGGGTGGGTTAATAATTCAGGAATATAGAAGGGGTAGAGATGTTAAAGTGTCTACCTCTCCTTAACTTCCTTAACTTTGATTCTGTTATATATCCCCCCAAAACAAAAGAGAATTTAGGGGGAAATGTTACCTTGCATTAAAACCGTTTGTGTAATAATTTAATAATGGTATAATTTTTTGATATTACAGTGAAAGGTAAAAGGGTTAGATGGGTCCTTCACTACTCATGAATCACATCTTGGTATTTAAAATAATGAATAACTATTACACAATTTCTTATAAAGTTATATAAATATATTTTTAAGTATGTGTTTACTTGATGAGGTAATAAAATACCATAAAACCTTTACTTTAGAATGTTGACTAATTTTTTTTATAGGTTGACACTGGTGAAGACTGCACATCACTGCCTCTCTTCTCTCACACACCGTTTGTGCCTTATATGAAGCTTCTGTCAAGTACGTGATTCAGCTACAGCTCATAGGTAGACGTGGTATTTAAAATCTTGAGATGGTACAGTCAGCTCAAGGGGAATTCGCAGCATATCTTACTACTTACCTGTGTGTATATGTGTGTGTGTGCGTGCAGTTTTCTTTACGTGTATGTAAATTTTATTCAGAATGCCTGTACAGTATACAATCCTCCTCTTTACTTTCACATAACACACACAGTCACCTGACGGGAATAGAGTGCATCATGCGAGAAAATTTAGTTCCTACTGCAGTCTAGTTCATGAGGGGCTTTTAGTACAGGAGTTGACGAGTTAATTTAAAACACGTGGGTTTGATTGTAATGCAAGTCTATATTTGATGCTGTCCACAAGTAAAATATACTACTTAGACTTTATTTTTTCATGTTGTTAAAGTTTATGAGCAGCTCTTCTGCCGATATATGTGTGCAGTTGAATATACAGAGTGCAGCTTTTGACTCTTATGAGTGTCTTTTCCTCTTATAAGACTGTTCTATGGGTTTATTTATTTATTCAAGTTTAATATAATCAGAAACAGATGTAGTCAGTCATTCCTCCATGCATCTTAAATCCTTTATGCTCTTGCTACCTTACAGTTGTGTACTGAAGGACTCCATTACAATTTTAAAGAGAAATATTTACTTTGGAATGTGTACATGTACGAGTAGTTTAAAAGGGTTCATGGTAGCTGCATTTGCCTTAGTCCGGTAAACTACATCAGTTTATATATAATAATAATTTTACTCAATGCTTCCATACATTGACAATTATACTCCAGAACGAGGTACACTGTCATGAATTAATTGTTAGTTAAGCATGATCAGTTATGGTGCAGTTGTTGTATAGTATTTGAGTCTGTTATGAAGTGTACATAGTGGTGGTATACACAGCCTGACATGCCATACAGATACGGCAACATTTATAGAGGACTGTTAATATAAAACAAAGTAATATACAGTACTACAAGTTTTAGGAATTATTCAAAATACATTAAAAGGTACTACAAAAGTTGTAGTTTTTATTTTAGTGTTTGGTGGCAGTCATTTGTCACAGTCAGGAGCATTACTGATGTTTGAGGGTGCAGTATTAATCACTTGCATATTTTAAGTTTCTAACAAATTCTTTAAATTTAAAGAATTATTTTATTTCAATATATTTTTTCTAATTGTTTGTAAATTCAACTCTGGTGTATACATACGGAGCAGTTTATTTATGTTGATCTTGTATATGTACACTAAATAGTTTGTATGTACAGTAAACAGCTTATGCATGTACATTGAGCGACAAATTATCTTCCCAGTTTTGGATGAATGTATCACAGAATACTCTAGCCTTCCAACACTCTCTGGGAAACTTTTGAACAGTTGGTGGGTCTGGAGAGGACTGATTATGAGTTAACAGGTGCATAATTTAATTACACTCAGTACCGTGAAGTACATACAGTATGTCATTTACCACTTAGGGATGTTATGAACCATATCTCAGGGCTTCTCGTGCCAACTGTTCACATGTAGTTGAGATAAATCTTTTGTTTTATTTTGCTGTTTAAAAATTCGTAAGACAAAACTGGGAAGATAGTTTTGTCACTCACTGTACAGCTTATATAGTGTGTCTCAGAAAAATGTCTGTGCCTCCCTCCCTGCCTGCCTGCTCCCTGAGACACTGAGTTGGAGGAAGGCAGAGAGCAGGCAGGGAGGGAGGGATGCAGGTACATTTTTCTGGGACATCCTATACTGTATATGCACTAAATGAGTGAAAAAACAAATTGATGACATTAATCTAGAAACACCAACATAAGCCAGTAGCCAGAGAGAGTTTGTGAGATTCTTGGGAAGCTTATTGGGTTGTAGAAGACAGTTGAGGCATTGTCAGCTTGCAGTTCCTTTCTGTTTTATAATGATTTCAGTGAAGTTTGCTCATTCGGGAAAGAGTTAGTACAGTACAGTATAGGTGTGCCTAATGACACGTAGGAGGTCCGGGTCTCTCCTCGAATCCATAGAATATAATCTGGTGAATTATTGAACATTTCTTTCTTCTTATTTTTTGTGTGTATGTTTACTATGTGTTGAGTATGTGTCTGTCTGTCTTTTTATGGCCATTTTCCACCCTTACACGATTCTCTCCTCTATTATTTCCTTCCATTCTTTAGGGTTGTGTTTCTCTTGATCTTTCACACACAGAAATAGGAGAGGAGTACAGATAATAATTAGACATATAATGAGTTGTTTGGTATGTGCAAGAGCATTAACGATGAGCTTCAGTATTGTAGTTATGTAGGTGATAATGTCGTAAGTGCTGCAGGTATGTCTGATTCTTCAATATTTTTCATATAACAGAGAATTTGAAGAACTACTACTATGATAAGGGCGTTCACAAGGTATGAATTATTATAATACAGTATATTCATTAGTAGTACGGTATCTATCTATACATACATATATTTACACTGTGTATATATACTATTTCTCTTAATGTTTATATATACTGTAGTACACTTTTATATAGTAATTTGATAGCATTTCTATATTAGCCTAAAAAATAAGGAAATTACTGAGCTTCAGATACAACAATATGGGGTATCTCTTTTCCTCTGATACATATAGTACAGTACATGTTTATATTCTTCCAATGCAATGATAGTAGTAGATATAAAGAACTATTGTTTAGGAAATATCAATTAAACTATTTCTAAGCAGGGAAAGACTTCACCTGACTGAGATATTGTTAGTGTGTGTGTGTGTGTGTGGCATTTATCTCACACGTGTACAGTACAGTTGGCTGGTAAATGATATAGGATGTTCAGTTCAGTACAAGTTTTTTATAAGTATTGTACAGTGTCCATAAATTACTGACCTACTTTCAAACATCACAGCCTCAAAAATATTATAGGTGGAACACGTCAGTTTACTACACGTGAAGAACAACCTCTTTTATTCTCGACTTAGAAGACTTCCACGTGTCCTCTGTGTTCTGTTTGTGATTTTTTTTTTTAGGTTAATACGTTTTAAAATGGGTCAGATAATTTATGGACACCTTGTATAATGATCACTGAGTTGAGAAGAAACAGGGAGATATAATTAGTTTAGTATGTAGAGTGTACAAGGAGGCAAGTGCTTGGAAAGAGGGAAGAGATAGAGAGAGAAATATGTATGTAGAAGTTAGAGGGAAGAGATGTAGTTGTGATATAATCTCAGATGGTTAGTTAGAGTTTGTTAAAATATAGATCTGCTGAGGCTAAAATATTATAAAAACAAGAGTAAGAGAGCAAGAATAATATGCTGTAGTAAATGGCAAAATAAGTCACTTACATGAAGCCCCACTAAACATCATAAATACATCAGGAAACAACATGAAATGTTTTTTATTTTCTGGATAATTTTAATGAAGAATGTATATAGGTAAGAGTAGAGTGTATTGGGGTCATTAATCAGTCTCATGCAGCTGGAAAGAAATCACGGGTGTCCAGGATATCAGTGTATTACAGTGTTTGTTACCCCAAGTACTGTACAGAGCAGTATTGGGCTACCATCAGTATTGACCTCAACACTGTCAGGATATACTACCAAAGAATTAGAGGTACAGGAGTTTTTCATTATCTGAGATTAGTAGGGACCAGAAAATTGCCACTTAAAGCAAATGAACTTATACTCGGGAATCTGAAGAGAACGGAGTTGTCTATCACGCACTCGCCACTTTTCTTCTTATGAATATCGTCTAATTTCAATTCCAATCCATAGCTGCTATGCTTTCTTTTAGGGATTGTACCTATTTTAGCTCTAGCACTATACTTTGAACTCATGGCTAAGTATAGTTCAACAATAATTTGGCCACTTAAATGCGAATCCACGGATATTGATGACTCCGATAACAAGGAACCCATTTACAGTACAGCGTATGTGGTATTTAAAAATTATCATACAAAGGAAATAGATAGGTTTACTGTTATTTGTTGGGATAGAGAATATTAGACACTTGTAAACTGAGTCTTGTGTTAGATATAAAAAACCTGTTTATTACTTCCATAGGTTATATTTAAGTTAATAGTTGAAACTTCTCTTCACAAGTATTTTATTTTAACACATTTTATGAATATGTGATGGGTGAAATTATTATGTGATAGGATACAAATGTTAAAAATTTTGACTTTGGCAGCTGTATATTGTACTTGTAATTGTATTACCTTTAAAGAAGACATGGTCATGTCATATTAGCAAGAAATAATATACAGGGTGGTACATAACTTGCTATACCAAGAATAATTATAATGAAAATATTCTTATGTAATGCAACTCATGAACCATCCTGTATTATGATGGTATCTTAATCCAGTCATGTTTACTGTGTATGTGTTTGGTCATTGTAGAGTGAATTCATATATGTACTGTATTTGTTTTGTCCTGTACCATCATGACAACATACCCACATACCTGTGATTATAATTTTAAATTTTCTCATTGTTCAGTAAAGTAACTCAGCCACTTTTGTGTCCTCGGCATAACCCAATCATAAATAAAAGGAAAAATCACTTGCTTCAGTTTTCTTTTTATGGGGTATCAAGTCTTGTGAGAAATGCCCAAATTGATGTTCATGGTCTCACTGTTTAGTCTGTAAGTTGAGAGTATCTGTCTACCCGCTTGGAATAGGTTTAATGTGAGGGACTGAGAGAGCTGGCATCTCCTATCCATAATCTTTACTTCCCAATAATGTAAAACTGTATCTGCAAAAGTTACAGTATATATTTTTTTTATAATTTTATCTTGGAAATAATGCTTACTGTATTCTATATACACATATATAATTACTAAAATCTGTCCACCGTCAATGTATATTATTTCTTGTCTGTCTTTATTTGTTGTCTTTCTTTCTTGTGATTGTGATGTCTTAAAGTATCCCACCAACTATATTACAGAGACTTGGTGTTATTTTAAGCAAATATGTGTTTGCCAGTTTATTATGTACTTTTGTGTATTCTGACTCACTTGTAAGACTTTGTGTCTCTTGTATAATAGCTGTGCAGCTTTCCTCTACTACCATCAACACCTCCACCACCACCTCCATCATCAACACCTCCACCTCAAGTATACAGTCCAGCTTATCCATATACATTGACAAATTACAGTACATCTCATGTTGGTTAAGTGTCACTTGGTAATACTCTACTATACCTATTTGATTTTTTATTGTATGTAAACAAAGATAAATACAATGTTTATATGATATTTATGTGTGCATTATTGATTGTATTTTATTCCTTGTATTCTTTCATCAGCTTATGTAAGATAATGATGTACATTATCTTATACAGTATTTACAATTGTTTTGTGATAGTTTGTCCAGAGTATATTGTTTCATCATTTTGTTGGTATTTGTTAATTACTCTCCAACTATGGTTTTCCAAGGTGGTTATTTTGGTGTTATTCTGCAAGTACTTGATCAGTCAAACCCGTTAAATTCCAATTCCGAGAAAAAAGTACCTGTATTGTTCAGTCCCCAAAATTACTAGGCATTAGGCTTACCTTTTTGGCTGTAATCTTGATCTCAGTACATGTACTCCTGAGCATGCTGATTCTGAATCTATGGTAAAAAATTTGATTGCGGGGTAATTAGTGGTTGTAATGATGTTTGGAAGATGTACATCATCTTATAATGTGCTTACATTTTTTTTTTTTTTAGATATCTTGTAGTGATATTTTATCCAACATAACCAGTTTATATTGTTTTATCATTTTGTTGTCATTTGCTAATGTATTAAGAATCCAGATATTTTGATAATTTTGGATCATATTTGAAAAGATATTCAGAGTATAAGATATACATCTTTACTTACAAGCAGTTGTCCAATACCGGTATGTATTTACCAGTTTATTTTGTACTTTGGTGTATTCACTCCCATTTGTAAGACACTGTGTCCCTTGGGTAACAGCTGTATATCTTATTTCCTCTTTCCAAGATGCTTTATGAAGTCAAATCAAATAACTATGTACACTACGGCAATATCAAACACATGCAATGTCAAATCACGAGTAGAAAGGATTTGTTGTACATCTCATGTAAGTCTTCATAACATGTTGAAGACTTTATCACGGAATACTTCATTACACCAAATATCTTGATGTTTAACACCATCACAGACAGTGTTGTGAGTCTTCAACAACAAGATAGATGTAATGAAGATCTTGTGATAAAGTCTTCAACATCTTGTTATGAAGACAGATGTACAGCAACTCTTTTCTACTTGTGCTTTGACAAGACCTCTCTGGTCTTGTCAAGCACTTTGTATTTTTATAAACAATTTCATCAAAATTAAAGATTGTGTCTCCTCAAAATCTGTTTAGTATTTCCTAATTATTTGCTGGACTACCAGCATAAAATAATGATATTATTAATAATAATAAAAATACGATCGTTTTCAATATTATAATAATACTAAAAGCTGTTAAGTAAAAAAGCACATTATATACACAATTAAACTCTTGTTAAAGAATCAATAGAACTGCCCGAGCGGTGAAAAAAAAAATAATAATAATAATGCATAGTAAATTATATTTATAATAAAAAATAAAAAAGTAGTAAAATAATAATAATAATAATAAAGAACCATAAAGAAATACAAAATGAAAAAAAAGAGCAAGTGAGAAACAATATACAAGTATGTATGTTTTTTTTTTACGGGGATTAGCCCACCCAGGCACAGGTCACTGACCCACATCGGGGCCTAGGGGGGCGAAAATGTAATAATAATAAAGAACAATAAAGAAATACAAAATGAAAATAAATCAAAAGTGAGAAACAATATATGTATGTCGTGTTGTCAATATTAAGAGAAACAATTGAGACCCTGCAATTGTGTGTAAATGAGGCAGAAAGTCAGATCTGCAATATTTAAGACCTGACCTCGTGGTGACCCCCCCCCCCTCTCTCACCATGAACGGTTACGAGTTTGATAACGTGGCGCGGATACGTCCGGATACGCAGACCTGCCCCAAGAAATTAAACCTCCTAGTTCTCAAGAAGTTCTTTGAAACGAATGAGATCATGGGGGTCACCAAGGTGGAACGACTGAAGCTCCATGGTGACATCAAGATCACCTTCGCCAAGAAGGGTATGCCCATACAGCTCGCGGAGATCCCAGACATCAATGGCATTCCATTTAAAATGATTGCCTACAAGTGGGACAACCTGAAGCTGGGTGTATCTCCCACGCCGAAATTGCCCACGTGGACCAAGCAGAGCTGAGTGAGCTCCTCAAGGGGCAACTCCAAGTTGTGAAGAAGCTGTCCGACACCACTGCCCTCATCGGACACCATACAACCTTACCCAAGGAGGCTCAACTGGCGTGGGTAACTGCCAGTCAAGCCCTACTGCAGACCGAAACGGTGTTACAAATGCCAGCACTACGGACACACTGTCAACAAGTGTGAGGCGCAGGAGGACACCTGCTCCCTGTGTGGCAGCCCCGGACACCGCTACACGGTCTGCCCCAACACAGTAAAAAAATGCGCAGCCTGTGGCGGCCCACATTCTTCCGCCGATCAGACCTGCCCGAAATGGAAGGATGAATGTAGGATAGCCAAGGCTCGACTCGACAAGAAACTGAGCTACAAAGAGGCTCTCCTTGCTGTACGCTCCCAAGACAAGAAAAAACCAGCAGAAAAGAAAAACCAAGAAAAGAAAACCCAAGAAAAGAAAACTCAAGAAAAGACACCCGCCACACAGAATCAAGAACACCACGAGGCCCGTGGAACTGAAGCCCACGTGGTCAACCTCACCGTCTCCGACTTCTTCCACACCTATGAGGACATAAGACACGAGGAAGACGAACAACAAGACCCAAACACGAATGAATGGACACTTCAAGAGAGCAAGAAGAGGAGGAGAGTTAGAAGAAAATCTATTATCAAGCTAAGAAGAATACCAAGAGAGAAGACCAAGACATTTCCTCCACACAGGAAAACAACACACACAATCTAGCCGACCAAGCACTGAGAATCCCTGGCCCAACCCAACACGCACCTGACGCTAGCCTGACTCTGTCCTGTCGCCTCCTGGCCGCGTCCGGGCGAGTCGCTGCTGCCTCCAACTTATACTCCCTCATGCAAGCGGTGTTTAGCCACCGCACCTATTCTCTCCTCCTAAAATTCACTTCAATCCTCCCTTTATTCTTCCCCTGAACCTCCTTCCCCCCTGTCACTAGCATTTCATGTCATGTCATGTGATCTCTCTCTTTCTACCTACACCAACCAGCCAGCAACACATCCTCCTCCGCCTGCCTGGCGGTCCTCGCTCCCGCCGGTGATGGCAACCCACAAGCTGTCCTCTGAGCACCCTCACCAACCACCTCTCTCTACATCACGCTTGTAACCATGCTGCCTTCCCAGCACCAAGCTGCATTGTACATCCAATACAACATGTATACAGAGAGCAGATTGTGAGTTTCCTTTCTCCATCCCATCCTGAGTGTGAACCCAAATAACCCATACCCCACAAGGATACACATCCACATTTTCATTTTCATCGGTTTCCAAAGGACGGAGATAGGTAACTTAAGTATTTAACCTCTTGTGAGTTACAGTGCAAATGTGCAATTATATACTGTATTGAAATACATTTCAAATCTGATGTAATATCACTCATGACATTCCATCAACGTCTATGACGTCACGATTAACTTTTGGACCCAGCCAATAGATGGCGCTATTATTAAGGTGTCTGGCAACAACACCGTACAACCATCTCACATAGTTTAGTTGAACCTTTCCTGTCTTGGGGGGAGCATCTACCGCAGCCACAGTGTTTGTAAACAACCTCTGGTAGGAGAGCACTTGTCACCTGTGCTTATAATTATGGCCAATTACCACGTTATTTGTGTATGGAAAATAATATATCCAGGTATGTAAGCTTATGATAACTCTAGTAACTCAATGTTTATAGTTAAATAACGCTAGTTAATTCTTTTATTGGGTATTTTATTCTCTGATATCTGGATCCCACACCACGATGTTTCGGTCATCCGGGGAATCTAAGGAATTAGGTTAGATATCCAAATTATATTTTCCCGATATGTTTTATGCATTTTAAACCATCTAGACCTCCATATCTGTCGAAAACCACATATTTTGGATATTTATAATTCAGGGATGACCAAAACTAATTTTACCTCTTCTAGAAATAAACGAAGCCATAATAGTAAAGTTAATACAAATATTCAGAAGTTTTATGCCTTCGGAACTGTTAATGGGCAGTTACTAGCAACTCATGTGTTGTCAACCTGTAGTAAGAGATTTTGAAGATAAGACTGTGGATAGATGTGGAACAGCCTGACAGCAGCAGTCTGGATATTGAGACTGCCTATGTACATAAAATTAGGGTAAATTTACAGTTTCAGCCACAAATACTGTTCGACCACAATGAAACCTACCTAACCTTACCAAACTTGCTAGACATCCCCGCTATATTAAACAGAAAGTACTTATTTTGATATCTGGTACCTACGAAAGTAACTTTGTTGAAGCATTATGGTGTAATTTTAGGTTTTTAGTGTATGTGAGAGTACAGTACAGTACAGTTTAGTACAGTACTGTACAGTAATCTCAGACTGAACGGGTCAGCTGTTAACAAACAGACGACACGCAGTGACTGCAGACCTACAATAATTTCTTACGTTAATTTACTTTCTTGGTTAATATCCATTTGTAACGGAAGTGGTATTAGACATAACTAATGGTAAACATAAAATTGCTCTAACCGAGTTGTGGCTGAAACAGTAATAATACCCAAATTAGTCCTATTATGCATGTTTAAAGATCTGTTAAAACTGTAATTTACTGGTTAAGACTGACGTTTTAGGATAATATTTTTAATTATGTTTAGAGAGTGACTGGTCAGCAATATAGCCTTGATGTTGAATTAAGCTAACCAAACCTAACCTGACCTAATGTAATTTCACTTCTCTGTAGTATTTTACTTCAAAATGTGGTAAAATTGCATTTTTGTACAATTACGGAATCTCAAGAACTTTATCTCTGCAATCAATCGTTTCCCTCACAAATGACCTAGGTAATCTACGACCTGTGGGCCGCATGTGGCCCGTGGAGTGGTTGACAAATTCTATTTAATGTGGCCTGCAGTTCAGGTATATGCAGCCAGTTTATGGTGAATAAAGCAATATTTATTAAAAGAATAATCTTCACACACAATTCATTACTGTTCCATCACCTAAGCATCATTCTGGCCACTAATTACCCCGTAATTGAATAATGGACCATAGATTCGGAATCATCATGCTCAGGAGTACCTATAGGCAATGTTAGGCCTATAGGTTGTTCCATTATAGTTCCTCATATGCCAAGATTAAGATTGGCATTATTCTGGTGGGTGTGTCTCATAAGTAAGACATATGCTGTAACTATAGGAAAAACCAACGTATTAACAGAATGCTTCACTCATCTTCTGTTAAATGCTAAGAAACATTAACATATTACTTAAAAGATTATTATGATGGATTTGTTTTATAAATGGGAAAAAGTCTATGATTGTAAACTGAAAATATCGTGAGGTAGACGTGACGATAAACTGCTTCACTGTCCGTGCTAATACAATACAGGGTATTAACATTACTTTTGAGTTAGGTAGTATATAAATTTTGGTGGGTAGGCCCGCAGACTACCCATGCCTGACCTAACCTAACCTCCTAGAATTGTCTGAACTACTGATTGCATGAACTACTGATTGCATAGCTAAAAGTTCTCAAGATTTCGTGGTTGTACAGAACTGCATTAATACACAAAATGTAAATTGACACAACCTTACACTGCCCTCTTGTTAGCTCTATTTTTGTCACTTGGCTAAATTGTTGCACTTGTGATGTTTGTAACCATATCCTTGACTGTTTCATTACTGGCCATAGTTAGGACCTCAGATGAAGGTTAGACTCACCAGCGTATTTCACCTTTTGATTAAACACTAATGCTTACCTAACCTAATCCCCCAAGTTCTTTATAGTCATATAATATTTTGTTTGTTACAGGAGATAAGTACTGTCGCCCCAAGTGGTCATCAAGAGATGCAAGAGACTCTTATTTGATTGAAAATGGCCAGACTGGTGCATGCTCTATGGCACCTCAGTTACCCAGAGAGATTAGAACACCTACAGCTTATATGGTACTTTAGGCAGGCAAGAGGTGACTTAATTGAGGTTTATAAACATCTCAGAGGACATTCTGGAACCAGTACTTGCCATCAGTGTGTAACAGAGATGTGACTGCCGGCCCAAGCGAAGAGGATAAAAGTAAAAGTTAAGAACAAGACTTTACAAAATTGAACTACACCATTACAGCTGAAAATGACCTCTACTACCACCACCACCACCACAGCATCACCATGGCACCACTACCACCACAACACCACTACCACCACCACTATTACCTATGGCAAGGTAAATTATAGGGCAGCTCTCATTCCCTATACCTATGGGAAATCTTGATTCCCTGCAAACTGTTGACAAGTTGTATTTGTCATAACTCTACTACTGTTAGCCATTTGTTTTATCTCTGTCTGTGTGTTTGTCTTCTTTTTATATAATTATATCTATCTGCTCATGTGTATTTCTGTTTGTCTGTATTTCTAATTGACTGTCATCATGTGTCTTTTTCCATGTCTATCCATATCTCAATTTATCTATAACAGGATATACCTCTGTCTATATACAGTATCTATCTATGTATTTACCTGTATATCTGTCTACCTGTATATCTGTGTGTCAAGCTTTCTCAGTCAATCTATCTGTCTACAGTATACTGTATATGACTTATCTATACAATATCTTTCAGTGCGTATCTGTTTGTGTACAGTATTTTCATCTCTTCCTATGTCTATCTATTAGTCAGTCTATCTACAGTATATCTATCTGCAAGTATCTATCTTAACTATTGTATTTCCCTCATATTAAAGGCATCCCAAATTTAGCTGAGAATATTTAAGAAAAAGTTACTGTGTTTGTCAAGCATGCAAGGTTTGTAGTCCCAAGAAGGTTCACATAAACTAAATTTTTATAAAACAAACAACTACTGTACTGGATGACTACAAATTCATGAACATATTTTAATCATAAACTGTGCTGTATATTAAATGTTGTTTCTTCGTTTGTTACAGGTGAATTAGAGACTAAACCTTAACTAACAACTCGTGCATGGAGAAACTGCAGTCACAGGTGTGTGTTTCTGTCTTTTTGTACACTGCATCTGTCCATTTCTCAGTTTGTCTATAACTGTCTATCTCTATGTTTCTATGTCTGTATATCTTTCTATCAATCTTTCAATACCTGTAGTCAGTCGGTCTATCTTATCTGACGTCTGTCTATCTTTAAGAGAGGTGTTGACAGTAATTCAGTAATGTGCAGTGAGTGTGGAAAGTGGGTACACAAGAGGTGCAGTGGACTAGATGGTAGACTGCAGGAAGCTGTTGACTTTAACTGTTCTGTATGTGCAGATAATCATGTGTCCTTAGCAAGGCTGTAGATACTCAACTTTGTGGATGTGTTCCTGGATGATGTGATCAGTGCTGGAGGAAGTTTAGGGAGTTGCTGCCCTTATTGTCAGTATGAAAGGAAGAATGTATACAGCAGTGAAACATGGGCACTTAAAGAGGATGACATATGTAGTCTTGAGTTAGCTGACAGGAAAATGTTATACTGAAAGATAAGAAACACCCTTTCAGAGCTGCTCTTGTTTAAGTGAATTACTACATACATAACTTATTTATAATTTGAGGTATTGTACCTTCCATAGTTTATGACAAAAATTGGGGCAAAATTAGTGTTAGTGGCTCTAACTTTTGAAATGATTAGCAACAGCGGCGCTTAAATTGATGGTAATTAGTTTTCGTATTTTCTGTCCTAACGTTAGGAGTTAGTGGACACAACACTGACCATCATCATACTGTATATGATTCAGGATGACTGCTGGAGACATTTGTTTGGTTAAAAGTACATCTTATATGGCAGAAACACAGTGTATCTCTCAGTCTCTCTACAGTATTTATTTATACTGTATTTCTGTCTATATCTCAGTCCATCTATCGATATATTTCAGTTCATCTATCTATATCTTTCAGTCCATCAGCCTATATCTGTCTTATATGCACTGTAGATAGCACTATTAACCAAAATTTTTATTAAAGAATTGAGCTCAATCACCAAGAATACCGCCAAATTATTGTCATTAGTTGAAGGTGTAATAGACCCCAGTCCTTAAAGGCCCCAACATAATTACCAGACCATTAGCATTATGGCCCAACAGGACTGAGCTACACTGAAGATGGTTTGGATAGGTTGGGACCTATTGGAACTGCAGCCTATTTACTTTAAGGCCAATTTGTTCAACTATTTGTGCCATATATGTGATTAAACTCAGTACTTTAATTGATGCCATTCACTGAGTTGACAGTGCATGTGATTAATACCAGGAATACAAATATTTTCAGGAAAATGTCTAATATATTCAACTACTAGACCACTTTAGTATTATAAAAGAACCAAGAAAACATTGTCTATTGTCTTTATACCAAAACACTGGTGATTGTCTCTCAGATATCAGGAGTTGAATATCTGTAGTGGTGCATCATTGTGTCCTGGGTTCATTCCCCAGCCTGGGGACAGATGTGAGAAAGGTGTTATCCAGTGTGACCTTCACTACCATACATGGCAGGTTTTCTCCAGTTACAATACTACAGTTTCTTCCCATACTGTACAATATTAACAATGGGCAATGAAGGTCATAATAGAGAACAGACCTTCTACCCAATAAATGGTGAATTGATCATTAAAAAATAAATTATATCTTTATTCTTGATAGACATTTACAGTGACTGTCCCACTTATGACCCTGGTAGTTATGATGTTGACTTGCACAAAGGTGAATCATAACTTCATGTTGACTCACCCATAGTGAGCCTCAATTTTTATGGTCCTGATGAATGAGTCTTGTCTCGTACAACTATAAGTCGGCCTTCTCTTGCCACTCTAACTTCCCTTTGTCAGTTAACAAAGAAATCTGCATATTACTGTACATTCCTTGGTCTTTATTATGGAAGGCAAAGAATTATTATTGTCTAAGGATATATTGGATCTCTGAGGTGACAAACATGACCAATGATAAATATTTTGGTGGCAAGTCTGTGGTGTGAGTCTGGTAGTTTATTGTGTAGAGCTGACCCACCTGATCATCCTGTTATAAACTACAGTACTGCAGGGAGTGAAGACCTTCCTCAAAAGGTTTAACTTGGCAGTATTCAGAAGTTCACAGCTCTGTATCAGCTGTCAACACAGATGTCCAAAGTTACCATAATACAGTACAGTATAGTAATAGTTGGATTTAATGGCATTTTATGGTTTTTAACAAAGCCATTTTTTGATTACTTACTTTTGTCCTTGATGATGTGGTCCATCCATTATCAGATGCAGGTCAGGTGGGTCTCTACACTAAGGACTGTTGCTCTATAATCCTCACTGTGTACTTGAGGATGTATTGCATTTTTAACTCTCAAATGGAGCCCATCATCTGCAGAAGTTAGCTGTAGGGATGGTAGCCACCATCTGTGGAAGTTATGGCCGAGGGGTGATCCTTAACCAGGGACTCGGTGATAAAGAAGGTATCTGTAGCTTCCTTTTTTGCAACGTGTTCTGATATCACATTGACCCAACTGTACCCAGACTGTGGCCTCACACATGTGCGCTACTGTTTGTCTCTAAATCCAAAGCTATTATATAGAAGCTAACCTGAGGTCTAACATAAATTGTTCTGTGATATTTTGTGTCTATTGTAAAGACTCATGTGTTGTTACATAATGTTGTTGTACATCACTTATCTGTACAGTATTTTCCATATACCTGCATTGCCTATATGCATGGTGAACTGTATATCTGCATTGTTTATATGCTGAACTGTTTACTGTACCTGCATTATCTATATAGTATGTGGTAAGTATTGCTTACACACACAATTATTAATTAATTTATTAAAGTAAAATGGAGGCTTACCTCCTTCTCCACCTATCTCACAATTCACAGTATTGTACTTGGCCTATTGGCTCCAGTGCTTGGCTTTGATCCTAAATTCCATAAATCAATCAATCAATCCTAACATTACTCTCAGATACTTAACTTATTGTAGGAAGGATTTATGAGTCTCTAATGAAGTTCTCTGAAGACTTCAACCAGCTGTTCCTTGAGGTACTGTACTGTACTTAGATGGAATGTATAAGTAAAAACACAATATCTTGAACCATGTTGGATGTGTTCTTCCTCTGGGTGTGTGTACTGTACATTTGTGACTGTTCCACTCCACAGGCCTACATTTCAACTAAAAAGCATTGGAACCAATCCTGTCTGACATGTCATGCTTAACGAACTTATTAGTTTAAGGTATATACTGTACAGTACTCTTATAACTCAGTGTTACTTCTTATTTATTGTTAAAATACAGTGATAATCAATTATTAGCTTATTTATATAAACTAATTATCTAAATTTAAAATAAATGACGAGAATAGTCGACTCACCTCAACCCGGTGAATTATTTGATGGCCAATTACTTTCATCAGTCTAATCATTTATAATACCATAGTAATAAACTATCACCACTATTTATATTTTTATACTCATGAATCATGGGGTTATACAAAGTATTATAAGAAATCCATGATTTACCCCCCGACAATGAGTCTATTTCACGTTAAATTCACACAAAACCACTACCCAATTATCCGTAGGTGCTTCAGGGCTCCACGGGGCAAGTTACTACGGGGTTTTATTTACAATTTACGATTAATATGTGGAATTATACAAAGTAATTTCCTCATTTGCTGATTTGTAAACTGTGCCTATATTGTGTATACAGTATGCTGAATTGTATACTGTATATGTACCTGCATTGTCTATGTACTGTATACAGTATATTGCATTACCCTATCTATATGCAGAACTGTATACTGTACGGGTACCTGCATTATCTATATGCTGAACTATATACTGTACCTGCATTATCTATATGCTGAACTGTGTACTGTACTTGCATTGTCTATATGCTGAACTGTATACCTGCATTGTCTCCATGCTGAACTGTAACCTGCATTGTCTCTATGCATGTTGAACCAATTGTAAACTTATATAACTTTACTGAATGAATATCTGTCTATATATCTAAAGTGGTCTAGTGTATGGAAATATTTTATCTCTTCCCTGGTAATTTTGTGTCATCACAGGTGTTACTCTGTTGCGGTGTGAGCCAGTGTGAGGTAAATACTGTATGAACTTATAAACTGAGGTGTTAAGCTGCAGCTCATGAAGAATGACAATTTGTTTTCTTTTTGTTGCAAATCATAATACAGAATATATTTTTTCTCACTTTCTATCCATGTATAGTTTGGCTAAATTTGTCTTTTAAATACACTTGGACTTAGAAAGCAATCACAACATGATTTGAATTAATTTTTTTACAATATTCAGCTTCCTTTTGTGTTTTTGAGGACTTAGAATTAGTATGATTTAGTGAGAGTTGATCTGTTCCAGTACTTTACATCTCTTTCCCATTTATGTTAAACTAAAACGTATGAAGGAATTCAATCTCATTGGTTCTGCTCCATAATCTATTGACTGACTTATGTGGCAATGTCCCTGTTATAGTCATGTAAGTTAATATTGTTTTTGGAGATGCAGTATACTGTAGTGATCTCCGTTAAAGCAAACCATTTTTTTTTAAATTTGTCAACTCCCTGAATAATGATTTAGCCCCATGAGTATGATGACTTAATCCATGGAGTACAATGACTTGGCCCCTGGAGTACAGTGATAGCCCCATGAGTATGATGATTAGCCCATTGAGTACAATAAATTTGTTTTTCAAGAATGATAACCTAACCCTCTGAGTAGTGTCATCATACTCAAGGGGCTAGTTCATTGTACTCAGCAAGCTAATTCGTGGTATTCAAAAGGTTAAAATTTACTCACTGGATTAATTCCCCAGTAATTTATTTTGATTGTGGCTTCAGGGCAAAATTCACGTTTGTTGGAATGGCAGATTTATTTTGATGTCTTAAATCCTATTATGCCAAATATTTTTGCCTTTCTAAAGTAAGGTCTAGATGTGCTTAACAGTAATATTTTTTAAGTCCAGAAGTCATTGCTTTAAAAAGTATTCTAAGTCCAAAAAGTCATTATTTTGAAAACTATATTCCAAGTCCAAAAAAATCAGTTTTAAAAAATATATTGCTTTAAAAATATTCTAAGTCCAAAAATTCAGTTTATATATATATATATTCTAAGTCCAAAAATTCATTGCTTTAAAAGCTATTCTAAGTCCAAAGTGGCCAAAAAATATTCATGGGCAGATTTTGAGTAGATTAAAAATTATTCTCTGGTTTTTATGGGTAAAAAAATTCATGCCATTCTTAGGAGTTCCAGCTTGGCATCTCCGTTTTCATGATTATTATAAACCACAATGGACTACCTGGAAGTGGGGAGAATATTCAGTGGGAGCTTCGTGTAGGTTCCAGCATTTTATAACCCTTACAGTGCCGTGCTCTTCATTTATTGGCTGGCCCAGCATTTGCCAAGGTTATAAAACTACCCTACTGTACCTACAAGGAGCTCCCCACGTCCAGGTAGTCCATTATATTTTATTTATTTTTTTTTGTTAATGATAGCTTAAAGGGTTAGTCTCCGGACACTCTTTGAATTATCATTAGCCAAATTTTCTTCGACGCTGAACCTGGATAAAAAAAAAAAATATTGACTTAGGTATATCATAAAAAGCAAATTTTTGGGATTTTTTTCCAAAAAATTGGAAAAAAACTACTAATTGCTTTTTTTTTTACCCAAAAATTGTTTATAAACTAAAAAAAAAATTTTTTTTTCCTAGATTTGTTTTCAGTTTTATATGTACTTTAGTTTTATTTATATTTTTTTGTTTGTATACATTTTTTTTATCCGTAATGTATTTATATATTTTGTGGTATATATTTTTTCCATATTTATTTATATTTTTTATCCATAATGTATTTATACATTTTTTGTATTTATTTTTATTTTTGTTGTATATATGTTTTATCCATAATGTATTTATATTTTTGTATTTATTGTTTTCCATAATTGCTTTTTTCATAATATATTTCTATATTAAATATGTATTTTTTATGCATAATGTTTTGGTATAGATTTTAAAATGGCTTACTGGTTAATCTTTTTGACTGAAGCCAAATACTGTGTATACTGTACTTTAATGAAAGTATTTACATTAGTTTTCTGTAAAATTGAAAAATGCAGGTAAAATTAAAAAAATACATGAAACGACATTTATACATTTATTACTGAATAATGTAATGGCTCAATACATTATTTTTTGTTAGTGCAGGGCAAAACGGGCGGCAGGCAGGGCAGCACAGCAAAACAGGCGCCAGAGCAGGGCAGCACGGCAGTCCTCTTCAGAATAAAACCTATAAAAAATAAAATTACCTTTTTAACCACTTAATATAGTACAGTAATGAAGAATTATTCTATTGTAGGCAAATTTCCATGAATACTTGACAAGGACCAAATGTAGTGGACAAAAAAGAAAAAAAATCAAGTTAAAATTCCAAGCCCTTGCCTAATGATCCTCAAATTGTCAAATATCCATGTTATATTGTTCGTAATTGAACAGCAACTGCAGTAACTTAAATTATATTTTGCCTCAAATATAGTTACTTGAGCACTTAATATAAACCCTGGTGCAGGGTAACCATGGTAATTTTGCAGGTTCATATTGAGAAATGGATGAAAACCAAAAATCTTTCATCACAACTTAAAACTGAACCAAAAGTAAGTTTAGCTCAACCATAATGAGGGCTATTGATGCAGGAGAACTACAATATGTAGGTATTCAGTCAGCCTGTATATTTGGTTTATATTTGTCAACATTTAAAATCTTTGTTTCAATGACCTTGTTTTAAGAATAATTAACTTGTGAGCAATGCATTTGCTGTAAACCAAATTTACATAAATTTCTTGTACAGGTTGACAATCCCTTACCCGAAATCCTTGGGACCAGAGGCATTAAGGATTTGGGAATTTTTCGGTTTTCAGAATGGTTATTTTTTTTATTAGCCCACCCAGGCACAAGTCACTGACCCACATTGAGGGCAAAAAATATAATAATTATAATACAGGTAATAATAATAATTCATAGGTCGTGTTACTCACTTTTTATCTTTTATTCAATCTTGTATTTCTTTATTATTATTATTACAGTATTATTGTTATTATTTTATTTTGGTGTATTTTTTAATTTAAATTTTTATTTACTATGAATTATTATTATTATTATTATTATTATTACATTTTCGCCCCCAGGCCCAGATGTGGGTCAGTGATCTATGCCTGGGTGGACTAATCCCTGTTAAAAAAAATTGCTCCACAAAAAACTTTCAGTTTTCAGAGCTTTTCAGTTTTCGGAATTTCAGATAAAGGGTTGTCATCCTGTAATATGCTGTGCTGTACTGTACTTAATACCTTCAGAAACCACAATGAGATATGCTGTACTAACTTCAGTTGTTCCTGGTGCAGCAAGTCAGTCATCACAAACTTTACTTTTAGCATCTGACTTGGCATTAAAAGTACAGTAGTTTGTTGTATGGAAGGTGACGTCTCCTCTTCCTCCTCCTCCATCCCATGAATTGGTAACCTAGGAAAAAATTTAATTATGAGAAGCCATTTATGATTAGAATTTAAATAAAACAAGGTATCAAGATGGATATTTACCGAATTGTGTAGTACTGTATTTTCATTTTAAAATACCGTAATGGAGACCTACACTTTGTAGCTTGTTTTACGAGGAATGAAAACAGTTAATGACAACCCGACTTGTCAGATTTTTCCAGAAACGGCCGTGATGAGCAAGGTTATGTTTGGCTCCCCCCATAGATTTTTATTTTTTTTAGACTGGAGTCAGGCCCAGTTAGTCCAGTTTATCAAAGTTCTACTGTATTTAAGTAATCATCCTGGAAGGAATATTATTGTAACTTGGTACTTCTAATAAATCAATGTTACTATTAGTTTCTGAACGGTTGGTTCTACTTCCACAATCTTCGAGCATAAATGCATACAGTATACTCCGTATACGTTTTTGAACAATGTGAATCCTGAGGCTTCAGATCATATAAAATACTGTATTACATAATCGAGTGGACGTCGTAAATGGATACCAACACCATGCCTATCTTATATACGAGGGTCACAAACTTACAACCACAAATGTTACGAAAAGTGGTGGATGGGATTTCTGATCGAAATAGATACCACTCTTGTGAGGCGAGCATGCCGACTATTACACCACAGGTCACCACTTGTACAGCATAACTAGTATGACTTACAAGGATTGGAGTTTTGTCCTTTTATGGAATACAGTATCTAGTATGGAGTACAATGACAACCCCCAATCCTACACCCATCTCTATCTCTTGCTGATATTGCAAACAGGAGTACCAAGTAAAAGTGAATCTTCTGTAGTGTTGGCAGTCTAACAGATGTACAGTATTGCTTAGCTGATCTTGGTAAAGTATAGGACTTTTTAAATAAAGAGAATATGATTAAGAATTACATTTTGATCTCTTTATATGAAGACATTTGCTGTAATGAATACCAAACACTGACTAAATTATGCAAAGTTCTAGCCGTTGTGCAGTCTCACAATCCAATTTTACTGCTGTTAAACTTCATACAGCAGAGTATTGTATATAAGAATACTTGGTGATTAAATAAAAAGGTTTGCCCTAATAACAATGTAATTAATATAAGGATAGCTATATGAACTTCAGGAATTCAGCAAATTAATCTTAGTTCTGAGGATTGTTCATCAATAACTTCATTGAAGTTGGATATAAACAACTCAACCTTGAACACCACTAAATTTTAAGAATGATCAGCCAATTATTTTAAAATGTAGGTGCACTAGTTCCTTCTACTGCCGGCCCTAAGAGTAACGCCCAAATCATTGAATTAAAAGGATTTGAGTTCTACAGTATTGTATTGTTAAAATACAGTGAAAACCGAAGCTGCTATGCATAGACATTTGGTACATAGATGGAACTGTAGACTAGTATTAACTTTGCACTTAATTACTGTATAGTAGTTAATAAAAAAAGGGAGGGGGGGGCTAACAACAGCACTCAATAGGTTGAAGTAAAAAATGCTAGGATAAAAGTTATGACCAATTGAATACCTCAACTCCTCACTGTACAGGTAGTTCTGCTATAACGCGATAATTGTGTTCTTGTAAAATATCGTGTTATAGAAAATCGCGTAATAGAAATAACAGGGCTTATGGAGAAAATAGGGTTAGGTGCAGATTACTCGAAATCGAAAAAATTTAGTAGTTAGCCTAACACAAAGGATAGCAGTCTAAATAAATGTTACATTCATTTCTAATAATGAAATCATACAGTAAATGTAACACTTTACTTGATGGGGGAGAAGGGTGATTTTGAGGTTGATAAAATGGAGCTTCTCTTCAAGTGTTGTATCCTTTCTTTTACGATCATCACCGGGAATTCTATCACCAGAACGCTTCTTGTTGATATTCTTCTTTACTATATTCACAGTTAATACAGTGGGGTATGCTATAACGAACGGATCCTACTACGAATATTCCTATAACGAACGATTTTACCTATAAAATAGAGAATGCTATAACGAACGAAACTACTCCAACGAACATTTAATTTTTTTTTTTTTCTAATTTATTGTTTTTTTATTACAATTATTAATGATATTCTTTATTTCAGGGGTTTAGATGCATATTTATGCACTTTTATACAATTTTTACAATTTTATATTATATTTTTCAGTGTTAAGTGGTTGTATTTGGGGGCCTGGAACGGATTAATCCTATAACGAACAAGGTTCTAGAACCAATTAGATTCTATATAGCATACCCCACTGTACCACAAAATTGGAGAAATAGTAGGAAAAAATCGTGTTATAGCAAACAAGCATTCGCGTTATACAAATATCGTTCCCAATTCATAAATCGCGTTAGAGCAAATTCGCATTATCAAAACACGGGTTATAGCAGAACTCACTGTACTGCACTTTAACCACAAACACCACTTCTTACCTCAAAATTTATGAAATGAGCTGAAGTAACACCAGGCATCAACAAGAGATCCTTATTGATCACCTGTAAGTAGTTCTCATATCTGGTACAGCAACATTCTCCCAGATCCCGTAGTTCCAGCAACATTCCCCCAGATCTTGTAGGTCCAGCAACATTCTCCCAGATCTTGTAGTTACAGGAACATACTCCCAGATCTACATAATTCAAGTAAACTAACCGGCAACTGGATTCTCCGTCAATCATTTGGAATGGAAAAAAATCGTTGAATGGCAATTACTTTAAGTAAACCTTGAAACATTTAAAAACTTTTGATTGTGAATAGAATTAAAATATTCACCTCCCAGCACGGGACACAAACTCTCCCACCTGCACGGGACACTTTAAACCAACCCGCCAGCACGGGACACTTGACTCTCCAGCCAGCACGGGACCAATGAGGATTCGAGAACGAGTGCAAGGCAAAAATAAAGGCCATATTTCTTGTAACCGATCGCCCAAGCGGCTAACGAGCCGATCAGTGGTAAAGAGAATAAGTTTGATTACGCGAACATTTTAGTAATCTCAAGCAACAGATGGGAGCACCATCGTTTATCTTATATAGCATATCCCTGAGAAAACTAAGTTAAATACAGAAATTGTACAGGTATTTTGTTTTTAGTAAATAGGAACTAAATACATGTTATCCAACAATAAAAAGTTAGTCGGGTGGAATAGTTGAATATATAAACATTTCGATATACGATACCTTTCATTCAGCCTTCCTAAAGAAGCAACAGAGCTGAATGAAATGAGGAAAATAAACGGTATAATTGCCTTTTGAACCACATTTTTATCTTGTGCATTCACCTGAGGTATGGTTAGGGCCTTACCCTACCTACCATTCGGACAATGTTAGGTTTAGTTTTGTTTAGTAAATTACGTGGTCGAGAAATAGTTCCTTAGCAGTTAGTCTGGTGTGGAGGCAGCCTCAGTAAGTTAGCTTATTTAGAAGGGTGTAGGATCATGATTTACGCCAGAAATGGGTATTCGAAAGTTTGCCCCTAATCAGACCATTTTGTGTTTTCATATTCTTGGCCCAAAATAGGGTGATTGGTATTGCAATTTTTCACAACCATAGCCCTCAAAGTGATTTGCACAACTGTAAACTAGTCCCTCTCAAAACTTCGAAGTTCTATGCAGAGAACACTTTCGATTCATTCAAACCACGCGAAGTTCTCCCCAAACATTTGAATATCTTTCATGTGTTAATAATTGTGTAAGCGAAAATTAAATAAAATATTAAGCAACTAAATTTCAGTATAAAAAGGGACAAGTTTTCAGATTATGTACTTTGAATGATAGTAAACAAGATGCATTAGTCATAACTGAAAAACAACCAATGTTGACCCACAAATACAGTATATACCATGCAAACAAATCACTTGTGTATGTATATAGGAATAACACTACAATATGTAAATAATTTCGGAGATTGTTTTACCCAGATTGATTTCCAGCATGCCATATGGTATAGCACAATCAATTGCAATATCCAATATCATTAACTGGGTAAGTATTAATAGTACTGTAAATGAAAAGTCTCATACTGAAGGCAGTTCAGGAATATTGGTAAGGAATAGGGTCACGAGTTTTAAGCAGTTACCCAGAGTCGTTTTCTAATTTAGTACCTTTATCACCAACTAGATGGTGGGGTTTCCCGGGTAAAAAATTATACTGATAAGGGAAAAGGTCACCCAACAGTTATTACTACTCTTGAAGAGCGCGCTTCCTATTCTTTAAACCTCATTGCAAGGGACGAATAAGTTATAGCACTTTTATAACTGTGGTGTTCTCCGACACCAGTAAAGTGACCTAAGAAAGCGTTAAGAACATTAAACACCAACGCACTGTACTGTAACCAACGTACTGTACTGTACTAACTGATTGTTCTAGTGCAGCGAATTCAGTCTATCACAAACTTTACTTTTATCACTCTGACGTAATAAAAGTACAGTATTGTAGTTGTTATGTCCGAAGGTGATGTCTCTTCCTCTCCTCCATCCATGACGTAACCTGGAAAAAATTTAATTATGAAGCCATTTATGATTAAATTAAAATAAAACTAGAGTAATAAGACAGTTATTTACTGTATTATACTTTGTCATTTAAAATACTGTAATGGAGAACTACACTTTGTAGCTTTAATTTTACGAGCATGACAACCCGACTTGTCAGATTTTTCAAAACAGCCGTGATCGCCAGGGTTATGTTTAGCTCCCCCATAGTTTTGTATTTTTTTGGACCGAATCTGGCCCAGTTAGTCAGTTTATCAAAGGATTCTACTGTATTTAAGTAATCATCCTGGAAGGAATACTACAATATTATGGCTAGTGCTTCTAATAAATCAATATTACTTCAAGTTTCTGAGCGGTTGGTTCCTTTTACAACCTTCGAAACATAAATGCATACAGTATATACATTTTTGGAGCTGTGAATCACAGGGCTTCAGATGCTTATAAATACTGTACTTGATCAGTGGATGTAGTAATGGATACCAACACCATGCCCTATCTTATATATGGGGGTCACAAACTTACAACCACAAATATGTTACAAAGGTGGTGGATGGGATTTCTGATCAGACTAAATTTTCACTCTTGGGGTGGCGTGCCAACTAATACACCACAGGTCACCACTTGTACAGCATATCTAGTATGACTTACAAAAGTTGGTTTTTGTCCTTTTATGGAAAAGCAATTATCTAGTATAGATTACAATGACAGCCCCCAATCCTACCCATCTCTAGCTCTTGCAAGCAGGAGTATCAAGTAAAGTGAATCTTCTGTAGTGTTGGCATCTAACAAGATGTACAGTATTACTTAGCTGATCTGGGTAAGTATAGGACTTTTTTAAATAAAAGAATATGATTAAGAGTACATTTTGACACTCTTTATATGAGGACATTTGCTGTAATGAATACCAAACACTGACTAAATTATGCAAAGTTCTAGCCGTTGTGCAGTCATGAAATCTACGCCAATCAATTTTACGTTAAACTTCACTTTTAGCAGAGTATTGTATGAAGAATACACCTTATTGATTAAATAAAAGGTTAGGCCTAATAAAATGTAATTAATATAAGGATAGCTAGGGCGGATTCAGGAGTGGGCAAAGTGGGCAGCTACTTGGGGCCCTCCATTACAATATTTTATTAATTTGTTTATTCATTTGGATTATTTTATTTTCATTCTTTAAAAGTCATGTTTATCAATTCCATCTAAACAAACTATGCTTCAGCAAGCGTGATAGAAATTAAGCTAGCTACTCCTTGAAATTCATGAATACCTGGTTTCCTATAGGGCCGTATATTTTTAATAGATGCTATTGTTTGTGTTGCTAATAATATATTTAGAATTAGGAACTCCCAGATGTTTCAGAGCTCGCTTCCTCGCCACCCCACCCTCTTGGGTAGTTTTACTAGTAAGGGAGGGCCTCCTAAAAAGCTGCCCCATGGGCCTCCACAGGTCTAAATCTGGCACTGAGGATAGCTAAGAACAAGATTCAGCAAATTAATTTTCCCCCGGATTCAGGAGGATTGTTCATCAATAACTTCATTGAGTTGGATGCAAGCAACTCAATCTTGAACACCACTAAATTTTAGAATGATCAGCCATTTAATTTAAAATCAGGTGCACTAGTTCAGCTACTACTTGGCCCTAGAGTAACGCCGGAAATCATTGGTGTAAAAGGATTCGGGGTTTCCTGCAACGTGTATTCTGTTAAAATACAGTGAAACCAGAAGCTGCTATGCACGGACATTTAATTTGCATAGATGGAACTGTAGGCTGTAGTAACTTTGCACTTAATTACTGTATAGTAGTTAATAAAAAAGGGAGGTGGGGGGGAGGGCTATAACAGCACTCAATAGGTTTGAAATTAAAAAATGCTGGGGTAAAAGTTATGACAATTGAATACCTCAACTACCCACTGTACTGCACTTTAACCTGACACCGCTGCACCTCAAAATTTATGAGGAAGCGAGCTGAAGTAACACCAGGCATCAACACGATATCATGTTGATCCTGGTAAAATGGATTTCATCGGTACGGCAACGATTCCTCCCAGATCTACAGAATTTAAGGAAACTAACCTGCAACTGATTCTCCATCATTCATCTGGAATGAAAAAAAACTTTGAATGGTAAATACTACTAAACACTTCAAGTTCGATAAATAAATAATATAACATTTACCCCCCCAACAGCACGGGCCACTTTAACCCCCACCCCCTCCCCAGCACGGGCCACTTTAAACCCCCGCCATAGGACAACCAAAATGCGTTAAAGTTGGTGAATTAAACGGGTGGAGAATCTTCAGTTAATCATTAAATAAACTAAACTTCTAAAACAACTCCTTAACATATTAACATTGGTCTAGGTTTCTTTCCTTAAAATAAAACCATTCTAGGATTTTGGCTCAAAAAGTACTGAAGGTTTGGAGGCCCGAGGTACTTGACGTTCACTCTACAGTACCTAACTGTACACGTATACTAAAGTAACAGTATGTTCCTCAAACTATCACAAATTCTCTTCTACTAGTTCCTTCGTATGTTAAAATAAAACTGAAGTAAATACATTTACCTGCAGTATAAACCAAATCCCAAATAAAAAAAAAGTAAAACATACCTTAAATATGAGGCGAGTGAGGACCGGCAACACTCATCCTCTGGGTCAGGGTTGAAATAACCTGACCTGCGCCAGGACACCGGTTTAAGTACCTCCTCGCCGTCAAAAATGTTACCAATTGGGGGAAAACGAACAATGATTTCCACCTTTGATCGTATATACAAATGTTATTACAAATTAAGGATAAATTAAACTATTCAGTAACAAAAATAATCCCCAAAATATAAATAAACGTCTACAAAAATAATATAAACGCTAATACTGGACTTAAAATTCGTCAACTTCCACAGTGTGACAAATCATAGTTGCCAACCCTGCCAATCTCACATGTCTACCAACTTTATTGGTCTCAATTATAAAAAAATACGTAATTTTGTCAACCAATATAGTTATTTATATTTAAGAATAATAGCATACTTCTCAAATCAATAAAACATCACTCAATAAACCTCACCTGGAAAAATATAGACGTATTTCTTCCCTATCTACAATAATGTGGTAATTACTGTAGTCACGGTTGTTACAGGTTGTTATAAATGATTCAGTAATAGGCAGATAGAGATGATATATAGAATGTGAGATGGATGGATCGTGAATATTTTAATCCTATTATTTCTTGGAGTTATATAAAAGACGTAGGAGTTGTAGTGGATTTCTCCCCTACAAACGCTGTTTGTCGCTGAGTAGCCGACCCCACGAATTCCCCAGTGTATGCCTCGTGGTCTAGGTCAACCAGCGCCGCCCACGGAGCGGGGGTCAATTACTAAGCCACGCCTACCCCCGCTATTTAAGACCTGACCTCGTGGTGATCTCTCTCTACCTACACCAACCAGCCAGCAACACCTCCTCCTCCTCCGCCTGCCTGGCGGTCCTCGCTCCCGCCGGCGAGCATGGCGACCCACAAGCTGGTCCTCCTCTGAGCATCCTCACCAACCAGCTCTCTCTACATCACGCTTGTAACCGTGCTGCCTTCCCAGCACCAAGCTGCATTGTACATCCAATACAACATGTATACAGAGAGCACATTGTGAGTTTCCTTTCTCCATTCCATCCTGAGTGTGAACCCAAAACATCCCGTACCCCACACTACCATTAGACAACACATTATTCTTCCAATATCTTCCCAGGTGGAAGTACTTCCTTGTTTGGTAGCTGCCTACAGTCATTCCACCTTAATGTCATGCTTAAAGCTCAAGAAACAGCATTAAAATTGATCTACACTTATTTGTATTTTTCTGGTTAAATAAACAGTTTCAATATAAAGTGTGGACGAGCTGCTCTAATCCTATGGCTCAGAGTTAGCAGAGGATATGACCTATAAGAGAATAATAAAATTCTTAAAACGTACATCATGGTCCAGTGGATAAGCCTCCTTCCGTACATTATAGAAGTACGAGTTCCTTAAAAGGCGCTTGTTTTATTTATTTTTTTTCTTTCGTTATGGAGAACTATTTACGCTATATCATTGCCTAAAAATTAATTGGACGATAAATTCAAGCTGTTTTAATATATATTCCAGCTGCCCCAACCCTTCAGCACAGTGGGGAGGACACCTACGGCATAAGAGAGAGATCAAAATTACAGTATTCCCAGGTCCGTCATGGTCCAGTGGATAAGAGTTTTACCTGCCACTCATCGAGGCCCGAGTTCGATTCCCGACATTTCTTTTAGTTTTTGTTTTTATTTTCCTTCTGGGTCACTATTTTCGTTGTATTATACCCTAAAAGTGAAATTGGACCATACATAGACGTTTTAACGTATATTAGTGTTCGAAGCTTCAAATGCTTCAATGAAGCTTCGTGACGTCACTCTCAACCTTCATATATAAAGTCTCGACTAACTCATTTTCGTCCCATTCTTCACCGACCACTCACCGCACTTCTAGTCTCCTTTAAATACGTGTAAATTTTTTGCCCGACTGTCTACAGTCAAAAGGCCAAGAGAAATGGTTATTCTTTTGGGTAGTGTTTAATATACTTAATTATGGCGTAATAAATGCTGATTTAAGTAATATAAAAACTTGCCAGCCGGTTACTGCAGTTCACTTGCCTCATAGGGTCGTATCCCCAAGTTTCACTGGGCTCTAAGGCCCATGGTACCTACTTTGCAGCTTAAACAAATACATCAATACGGTTTAGTATTACAGTAAGTGGCTCTCTAACGTCTAACCAGTAATTTCTTAATGTTTTAGGCAAATGTACCACCAAACGAGCCTAAACTATAAGCCAGTGGCGGGTAACGAGCGTAAACCGTACATCGGTATTTACGTAATAATTAACCAGTAAGCGAGTACAATGACCAGATAGGGTTAGATTACCGTTTTATTTATTTTTTAATTTCTTGCTTCGAAGCCCAACACACTTATGGCGGAGCCGGGTGGTCATAACTCAATAATTACGCATTTCCCCAAACGTTCATAAATACCTTGCATATAACATTACATATTGTCACAAGTACTTTACCTGTTTGGTGGGGTTCTTGTCCTGCCAGATGTTTGCTAAAGCCAGCCAGCCGTCCACCTAAGCCAGCCAGCCGTCCACCTCAGGCAGCCAGCCATTCACCTCAGCCAGCCACACAATCTGAAAGATTTAAAAAGACACTCAGGGTTTGTGGATGGACAGGAGGGTGTATGGATGGGAGGGAGGGTGTGTGGATATTTGAGATTTCTGACCATGAGTACCAGAGGGTTTATCTTTTCAACTGTCATCCTGTTTCTCAGGAAGCTCTAAATGTGCCTTAGTCCAGAGAGAGCCTTCAGCTTCAGAAGAACCTACTGGAGACACACAACCAATACACAGTACTGATACAGATTTAGAAACACTGTACATCTCTGTCACAATATATGAGAGATTCAATGAAGTTAGATGGTGACATTCCTCTCTTGGTATTCAGAGATTTTCAGCACCTTAACTCAAAAGGGAGAGATGAGGAAAAGTAAATTTTCCAAAATAATTTGTTCTTACAAACAATGCCATGGTTATTTTTATCTTATTTCTTTATTTGTATAGTTTTACCACTTATTAGCTTACAAGCCATTTGGAATGAGTTGGAAGAGAGCAGCACATATTCATGACTCGTGTCTTAAAGTGGGTTGCCATCTCATTTAAAAAGTGACCAGACGTGACCGATCGCCCAAGCGGCTAACGAGACGATCAGTGGTGAAGAGGATAAAAAAAGAGGAATAGCAAACCTACAAAGTCAGAACACACATACAGTATTTAACTTATAAAACAGCTGCAAAGTTTAGTAATACCTGTACCATTATTATAGTCCCCTTATGGTATTTAGTCTGTCATTTTTTCCTATCACACTATGTGGAAAAAGGTAATTATATAATCACTGGCATGTTAGGATTCTCCACAAGTCATTTTATAAATAAGGAATAACAGTCAGTTCTGTGTTCATGCGAGTAAGATAATATTTTAATATACTTTTACATTTCAGAAATGTGTGTTGGTTTTGCAAACATTACCAAAAACTTCACCCTAGTACAAGAGGTCATACTGTGTGAACAAGTGTTGCCATCATGCTCCCCGAAGGATCATGATTATATACCATTGAGTTGTATCAAGTCTGACCTAAGCTCTATCAATGGCCATTCATCTTGTGAGACTGGTGTTCCACGGATGCCAGTAACTAATCCTGACATAACTTACAGGCATAAGAAAACAAAGGTCTCAGCACTGAATGAGATACACAGTGACCACTCATCATCTTGGGCTGGTGTGCCACAGATGGTGGCAATTCAAGAAAGATTGGTAAATAAATCTCAGATACTAACTCAAATTAAAGACCAAAATATTATAAATTTACAGATAGCAATTCAAATTAAAGACCAAAATACAGTTATATCTCCATTAGCCGGAATCCCTCAAACCCGAAACTCTCCGATAGCCGGAATTGAAATTTTCTCGGAAAGACGTTCCCAAAGCCGGAATTTTCCATACAAAATTCCGGCTTTGGGAACGATTTTCCAAGGGGCAAATTCTCCGGAAAATTCAAAGAAAATTTTACTGATACCCGGAAAATTCCAGGAGTGGGGGATATTTTCTAGGTTCGAGAGATGATGTAATGGGTAATTTCTGGAACTTCCTAGAACATTTTCTGTTACTCGGAAAATTCTGGGGACAAGGGATTTTTCCGGCTTTGGGAGATTCGTCTCATTACCCGGCAATCTCTCATTCCCAGAAGTGCTCTGCACCAATTGTTCCTGCTAACAGGGATATCACTACTAATTCTCAGATATGCAGTGAAATAGGAGACCAAAATAAATGCACAAAAAATAAGATTGATAAAAAACAGAATTTAGAAATCTGAAGTCCAAATATGTAGGAACAATAGATAACATGTAAGATCTCTCTTATATCACTAACGTATTTATCACAAGGAAAAAAATACGGTTTAATTCATTTGTTATAATGTGATGTGCAATATTCAGGTTTAATTACTATTTTTAAATTTTCAGTGTAACTACTGCACTAATTCCTTCTACTTTACTTTTATCCTCTTCACCACTGATCGGCTTGTCAGCCACTTGGGAGATAGGTCACGTCTCTGTTATGCCTTAATAATGTGTAATATTAGATAAATACAGTAGTTATTTAAGATATATTACCTTATCCAGTATAAATATGGTGCATATTTATTTAGTATAATACTGTTGTCAGCATATACTATTCTAAAGATACATATTTATATCAAACATTTTCCGAGTTTCATTTCATCTTATCTTGACCTAAATTTAACCATAAAATTACCTGTTGTTTTAGCTGTTATCTGTACCTAGATAAGTTCTCAAGGATATGTCACTTACCCATGGATAACATATCAAGTGTTTTACCAGCACCAGATAAGTGTTAGAATACAGGGTACAATACTTTTATTAATTTTGATGGTAGCTATATCTGGCATCTACTTCTGAGTTATACATATATGATTGGGATATACTAATAACACTACTTGTCATCACATATTATGCCTGAACCACAAAATGGGATAAAAATTTCCTTAATACCTAAGATCTTCGGGTACTTACATGCCAAATACTGTTAAGTGTTCAAGACTTTTGACCTCAACTGTACATAGAAATGATGGCTGGAAATAAAGACACTATGATCTGTAAATAATATATGAAAAGTATAGAAAAACTGCAAAGCAATCAGTCTATAGAGTTTACCAGGAACATCTCAGTAGATTTCTGCAATAACCAAAAAGATGATAAATAGTGATATCCCTGTTAGCCGGAATAATTGGTGCAGAGCTTTTCCAGGGATGAGACATAACCGAGTAGTGGGATGCATCTCATTGCGATTGCATTTTTAGTGTTTATAAGGTGTGTTGGTGTGCGGATTAGTGGATGTTATGATCATCATAACATCCAAACACGCAGAGGAGCTTAAGAGAAAGGGCGACAAGACTAATCATGCTCAGTCAGGTCAAAAATATGGGACCCACTAATCATCTATCCTACATCTAGCTCCAAGGTTTTCAAAGCATTTTTAACCTTGGGCCACTGAGAAATAAATTTGTGTAACACATTATCAGCTTTGTACTGACCATCAGTAAGGTTTATAGAAATTAACAAGTGATCGCAGGCCCTTCGTGCCCTTGTGAAAGTTTTAACGCTCGTGACAGCGTACAGCGAATGAGGGTGCGCCAAATTCTTAGACTTGCATGGTTAATTAGGGTACGCCAAGTCCGTAGATTTGCATCGTTTACCATCGTAAATATAATTGTTAATTAATGCCTTCCTAAAGAAACCATCGACATGGGACCAGGTTTGTTCCACTACGAATTTTTTTCGATTTTTCCACGAAGTTTGATGAAAAACGATTGTGCCGTTTCGGCTGCCCAGAACAGACACACGCCTAGTCCTATAGTATATTAGATTCCCTAATCAAATTAGCTTCAACCAGAAGTCCTTCTGTGACACATGATGATTTGTACCGAAAATATAGACGTCATAGCAATCACCGAAACTTGGATGAATCTGTTGAGCAAGAACTTTTTATCAGAGTACCATACAGTATAGAAGGGTACAACCTTTTTCACAAGGACAGGGAAGGTAGAAAGTGGGAGGGGGGTGGGGGTGTTGCACTCTTTGTCAGGGATACATTAATGGTAATGGTAAAAAATCTGAAATACCTATTGGGACAAAAAACAGGTATTATTGCACTTCTGCACCCCACATTCCTCCCCTAATCTATTATCATATTCAAATAAAACGTCTAATTATAAGATATTTTTCTTCTATTACATTACCGTCGCAAATGTATAATAACGGAAATAGCGTATCCAAAATTTTCTCTATTTTCTTCCATTAATCTTCCGCCATTATCGCCTACCTCACCTCCCACACTGCGTGTCTCCTTCATAAATCATCACGCGCATGCGTTCCCGTACGTCACGCGGCCAATCAAAAGGTTTTTTTTGGCAACCAATTAAAATGAGTTGTGGTTTAATTTGCGGTATTTTTGGCCCAATCATATTCAATTTTTATTTTGGGTCTCATATTTAGAAATTCAAATTCATTTCTGACCATGGAAATCTGTAATGGGTGTCACTTCAATTATATGGAGTTGATTGCGAGTTTTTTGGGAAAAAAAACAAAGAAACTAAAGCATTTTTTCAATCACATGGTGTTCTTCCGACCTCAGTAAAGTGACATAAGTGCAAGAACGAATGTAAATAACGTCAAGACCAACATATGAGGCATTGTGGTAACTCCAACGACGAACGAGAACCAGGCCAATAAGGCAAGAAATAAGTGATTCCATCATATGGTAAGAGTCAGTTAGGTCAGGTCAGGTTTATGTTTTTCTCGTGTTTTTTTTTTGTATTTTGTATTCGCTTAGCCATAATTTTTGTCGGAAAATGTCCCACCAAAAAAGAAGAAAAAAAACGGCCAATTTCCGACGGAGATGAAGGTCATAGCCGATCTAAACACACAAATACACTAGAAAATCATATTTTTTAGTTTCTAACAGAGTTGTGTGCACTTATGCAAATTTACTCAAAAACAAATATTAACTCCATTGATTTTTGTCAATTCACCAAATCGTCGAAGGCAACGAATTATTTCTTACTACATACACCAATATAAACTACACTAATACCAAGGCAATATAAAATGACGGAGTTTATCTTAGTATAGTAGTAGTACCTTTTCATAAAACATCACGTAAATTTCCATTTGATGAAGGAATAAAATTCAGTAACTACTTTTTAGGTTGACTAACTACCATGGCAGGGGTTGATCAACTCTCTAACATCACATGTAACTTAATTATGAAAATAAAAATACCAACAATTTACTCACCACAGAGGACAGTAGCGGCATATGCTTGTGTTTAAATAACTTAATATAAAAATACTAAACATTTAATCACCACATTATGTAGCAGCCAGTCACAACACGTCCCTCCCTCACGGCTCACTCAGGCAAATGGTTTAGTGGTGACGTCACAATGTTTTGTTTCTACCTAGGAAGGAATGTATAAAGAAACTTGTACTACATTCAATTAACGTTGACGTCCCTGACAGCTGCGCCATCTCTCGATAAGCTTCTTTTTCATAGAAAACGTACATGGTGCTTTAAGAGAACGGATTTTATTTACCATAACGATTTTAACCAAGGAGGTTTATATTAAACCTTCTTGATTTTAACTATTTAAGGTCATCAAAGAAAACGAGCTTGTCTTTAGCGTAGACTCCTGTCATAAGCCATGTACATTTTAATTCTTAGCATCCATTGCATGAATATTATGGTTTAGATATAGACAGAAATAAGACCATTGTCTGCTTATATATTTATATATTTAATTATTCACGAACAATGATGTTCCTTAAATAAAAAGAGAAGACAATACCATGTTGTACAGTACATGAAATAACATAAGTAAGGGACTTAGGTGGTAGATAAATATAAGTTAAGAAAACATCAAAAGCAAGCTGGCAGGTAGACCTAATCTTCATGATATCCACAAAAAGTAGAAAACAGTATTAAAAAGACTTAGTTTCAGCTTTCAGTCTTGAAAATATATATAATTCAGGGTGGGTAAGGCCGAAATACATTACATGTTTGAATGCTCTGATAAGAATCACGCACACACAATAATTTGCTAACACTTCCTACTACGATTGGGAGGTAAATTTTAAACTTTGTGATAGTTGACAAATGCAATCAAGCTGGGTGAAAAGGTAAGTGGAACCAGTTAAATCAATATATTAGTCAGTTAGATTAAGTTACATAACACACGTTTAGAAATCAGTTTGGTGGGGATGTCCTAAAAGTGTGGCGCATTGCTTCTGGTTCCTTCTGATGTCAGGTAAAGGAGCTTCAAAACGTCCGGGAAGAGGTCGGGAGGGATCTGCAGTTGAGAGGGAGGGGGGAGAGAAGCTAGTCCTGCGTTTTTTTTTTTTTTTTAAAGGGTATTAGCCCACCCGGGCACAGGTCACTGACCCACATCGGGGCCTGGGAGGCGAAAATTTAATAATAAGAATAGTAATTCATAGTAAATAAAATTTATAATAAAAAGTAAAATAAAATAATAATAATAATAATAATAACAATAATAATAATAATAATAACAATACTGTAATAATGATAAAGAAAAAATAATAATAATCAATAGTGAGAAATGCTATATGTATAGTATGTTGTGTTGTCAATAGTAAGAGAAACAACTGAGATCCTGCAATTGTGTGTAAATGAGGCAGAAAGACAGATCAGCAACCTGGGACTTGGTCACAATATTCGTGATGCCATATGGCAGCAGGGTCTACCATTAGACAACACATTATGCTTCGAGGAGGTCTGGAAGAGGATTGAGGGATCTGGAAGAGGAGTCGGAGGAGGGGATGTAATCCTTTTCGAGGAGGTGCGTGGTGCCGAGGCTGAACACGTCACAACCGAGGGAGTTTCTTGCCGATAAAGCTCTGCGACGCAGCTCCCAAGTTGAAGGTTATCGGACCAAGGAGGTGGTGGGTGGAGAGAGATGTTACCAGTGGTGGAAATCAGATTGTTCTTCAAGGATACTCAAGGGTCACTATAATTTACTCATTATTATTCTACCCTCACAGCCTTGCCTTAGGGAAAAACGTTGTAGTAATGTTCTAATTGCATATACTATAACGTTTTAATAACGACGAATTGTTAGCTGGGCAAACGGGTTTTGGTGAGGAAATATAAGGTAAGAAGAACAGTAATGTAAATACAAGTACATTACGTTTAGACACCAAAAACCAAATGCAGTTCTTTACCTAACTTAACCTAACCAAACCTAGAGCCATCCTTAACAAGTAGCAGCTGTGATGTGGTCCTGTGGATAAACTAATCAATGTTCAAAATAACTTGAACATTTACGACACAAATTTAACGTAAATTCACGAAAACAAACTGTTTATACATGGTGTGTCCATAAAGCCATGTAACCAGAGAGGATCTAAATTTATCCAGGAACGCCATTCATTAGCCTGAACCATTTGCTTATTCTCGTCGCCAAAATTGTCATTGATTTACCTCTCACCTACAGTACATACACAAAATCCCACCATACATAAATCCAAGGAGAGAAAAATCACATCACACAGACTAGATAAAGTTAAAAATGTCTGGTTAGATTAAGTTAAATTAAGTTAAATTTTGTCGCTCAACTTCTCTCACACCCAAGGTCTAGCATTTAATCCTTGCCTCACACTCCAGCTGTCACAGTCAACGGATATTTTAAGCTATAATGTGAAGAGTAAAATATAAGAAAATAATACATAATTAATGCTAAAACAATCAGATAAATCAGTATTCAAAGAGGAACGACACAAATAAAATGCATTAAAATATAGTGTCAAACAAAAAATATTCCTTCAGAAATAAACTGATAACACGAAGTCGGTATATCAGTTCATATCAGGGGTTCACCATCAAAGGGTTCATATTAGAGGTTCACCATTAGAGGGTTCATATTAGGGGTTCACCATCAAAGGGTTCATATTAGAGGTTCACCATTAGAGGGTTCATATTAGGGGTTCACCATCAAAGGGTTCACATTAGAGGTTCACCATTAGAGGGTTCATATTAGGGGTTCACCATCAAAGGGTTCATATTAGAGGTTCACCATTAGAGGGTTCGTATTAGAGGTTCACCATTAGAGGGTTTATAACAGGGGTTCACCATTAGAAGGTTCACGTCAGGGGTTCACCATTAAAAGGTTCATATCAGGGGTTCACCATTTAAGGGTTCATATTAGGGGTTCACCATTAGAGGGTTCATATTAGGGGTTCACATCAGGGATTCACCATTAAAAGGTTCATATCAAGGGTTCACCATTTGAGGGTTCGTATTAGAGGTTCACCGTTAGAGGGCTCATATCATGGGTTCACCATTAGAGGGTTTATAACAGGGGTTCACCATTAGAGCGTTCACATCAGGGGTTCACCATTAAAAGGTTCATATCAGGGATTCACCATTAGAGGGTTCATATTAGGGGTTCACCATTAGAGGGTTCACATCAGGGGTTCACCATTAAAAGGTTCATATCAGGGATTCACCATTAGAGGGTTCATATTAGGAATGAGGGGTTAGTGTAGTGGAGTGTTTAGTAACTGAACCCCATAAAAAAATAAGCGCATTTCTATGAATGACATATATACAAAAATTCTCTAAAGGATTTTGTTCTTTCATGTCAAAACGATTTATATTTGAATAAGATCAAATTAAACAGTCATGCAGTGAGGACAATAATTGCAGCCAAGTACGTGTGGGGAAATCCATAAAAATGCAAAAACAAACATGTGAATCTACTTGACCTATGGCTATTAATCTTAACAAGGCCGGACCACACAAAAATCCGAGATAAAAATTCCTACTTCTGCCTGTACCGAGAGATAAAGCTGTCTATCTGATTTATGGTACAATAAATCAATCTATTAAAATGGTAACATTTGATACTTTTAAAGGTGAAATGTAGTTACTGGGTATTAAATGGCTCGTTATTTTATTTTATATAACTAACTATACCCATTATCGAATATGGATCTTGACATGTCCAGGAAAATTGGGGTTAAGTCAATCAAGTGGGTGGAAAGATGCGCATGATCTTAAAAAATACCAATTAGTAAAGAAAAACAGATGAGTTGATGTAAAAAGTGTTAGTGTGACACCGACTTAATGAAAAATATCAATAAATAGTATATATTATATTGTCATCATTGCACGCTCAGCAAAAATACCATGACTATCCCTCCCTCACACACACAAACTAACAAAACCTCCAGGCTCCCTAAAATAGCGAACAAAATACCAACCACCACTACACTCAAGATAAAAACATCCATCTTTCCCCGTAGCAACACACACACACTCACTCATTGTGTATCGCTGCTACCCTCACCTCCTCCACCCTAAGTTGTATAACCCTACTATTCTTTAACCCCTCACTGCTTTACCCTAACTCTCAACCTATTTATCTGATGGAAACCCAAACGAGAGGTCAACCTGTGTAGAATCCCTCCATTGTTCTTGAAAAATATTCTTTTGTATTATCGAGCCTTGGGCTGGTAGATGCCCTAAGCTGTAAATAATTTAAGATATTGTGCAGACTGCATGCTTGCTAATGTGTGTTTCTCCTTTATAATATACACACACACACACACACACACTCGCTAGTAGATAAAGCATGCCTACTATTGTATTTATTTGTATACATATACAGTATATACAGTACATCCTGGCTTGTACATTATTCTAAATCGGAAGTAAGTTTGAGCAAGGATGTCCAGGTTAACGTGCCTCCATTATCACATATAAGCATAGATTTTTATTATGTTTTGCATTATTACTGTCTTTATATCCGCACATATCTCTCGCGTTGCTGTATATAGAACACAATAAAAATAGACATTAGTGTATACTTTTATTTTATAATTTTTTCCTCTTCGCCACTCATCGACTCGTTTATTAATTACTTTGGATTCTGTCATTTAATATTGAGCTTATTAATGATCTTATCAGTCATCTTAAGTGAGAGAGAAAAAGTTGCCAAACATACACTGTCCATTTAAAAATATTTGCCAAGCAGACGATGGCTCCAAGGACGTGAGAACTCCACAAGTGACATGATATTGACTACAAAGGAGTTCATGTGATCAAAAAAGGAATTTTCTGCATATATCTATTTAAATATTACAATGAAAAACATTTAATTTTCATTAAGTTGTTTGGGTTAGACTGTATTTATATTATAAGATTGTTGTAAAAAGAACAGATGGTGAATATATGGGCATATTTAGTTAAAATATATATTAAATCTACTGATAAACGATGGTATTTTGTTCAGCATCTGCTCGAGGATAAGGGAGTTGAGTCACTTATAACGGATGTGGGCCAGCGGCCCAGCACTCAGCAGCCGGCACTTGTGATTAGTGTCCACCCAGGTGCGGTACAGCTCGTCCGGCTCCTCCACCTCCTCCTCGTCATGGCAACCAGTCGATTTGCAGAGGTCCAGCAGGGGCCTCCCATCGAGGTGTTCGCCATCAATAAAGCCTTCGCTGACTGCACAGCCGAGAAGAAGGTCAACATCAGTGTGGGAGGTAAGGTGTTGTGCGGAATTGAAAGTTATGTCGACCTTTAGTCACCAATAATTGCAAATTATAACCCTTTTTCACCTGAGGAATCTTAACAATGTATTGTTAGTAAACAAATAAGTTGTTATGGAGGAGGTTAGCCCCAGTGTTATATTAATTTTATATTGTCTGGGTATGACCACTGGCACGACGTCCACTGATGATAGATTAAGGTAAATTTGCACTGTCACATTTTTCTAGTGTATTTGTGCGTGTCATTAGACCGGATATGACCCTCATTTCTGGCGGAAATTAGCCGGGTTTTTTATCGAATTTTTTTCGTTGGACGTTTTCCGAAAAAAAAAATCATGGCAAAATGCACCAGAAAACCTAGAAAAACAAAAAACAAACAAACAAACCTAACCTAACTGACTCTCACCATATGATGGAATCACTTATTTCTTACCTTATTGGCCTGGTTCTTGTTCGTCGTTGCATTCTGAGATTCTTACACGCCACATATGTTGGTCTTTGCGATATTTACATTCCGTCTTGCTCTTAGTACACTTTACTGAGGTTGGAAGAATGCTATAGTTTTTTCGTTTTTTTCCCAAATCTCGCAATCAGCTCCATAGTAGGTAGGTAGGCAGCTACCAAACAGGGAGGTACTACCGCCTGGGAAGATATTGGAAGCATAATGTGTTGTCTAATGGTAGATCCTGCTGCTATATGGCATTGCAAAAATTGTGACCAAGTCCCAGGTTGCTGATCTGACTTTCTGCCTCATTTACACACAATTGTGGGGGTCTCAATTGTTTCACTTGCTATTGACAACACAACATACATATATCGTTTCTCACTAATGATCTTTTTTTAATTTCTTTATGGTTCCTTATTATAATTATTATTATTATTATTATTATTATTATTGCAGTTTTCATTATTATTATTATTATTATTATTTTATTTTTATTTTTGTATTTTTTATTATAAATTTTACTTATCTGAATTATTATTATTATTATTATTATTATTATTGTTATTACGTTTTCGCCCCCCGGGCCCTGATGTGGGTCGGTGACCTGTGTCCGGGTGGGCTAATACCCGTAAAAAAAAAATACATATATAATTTAAGTGACACCCGTCGCAGACTTCCATGGTCGGAACTGAACTTGAATTTCAAAATATGAGACCCAAAATAAAACTCGAATTTGATTGGGCCAAATATACCGCAAATTAAACCCCAAATCATTTTAATTGGTTGCAAAAACAAAAACACTCTTGATTGGCCGCGTGACGTGTACGGGAACGCATGTGCATGATGATTTATGAAGGAGACGCAGGAGACACGCAGTGTTGGAGGTGAGGCAGGCGATAATGGCGGAAGATTAATGGAAGAAAATAGAGAAAATTTTGGATACGCTATCTCCGTTATTATACATTTCTGCCGGTAATGTAATAGATGAAAGTTATCTTATACCTGTACAGTACTGTAATTAGACGTCTTATTAGAATATGATAATTGATTAGTGGTAGGAATGTGCTGTGTGTAAATGCAAAAATACCCAGATTAATGATGATTAATTAATTAGTAATAAATTATTCAGTGTAGTCTATAAGTTGGCTTTATCAGAGGCTGTCTGTGGTATTTAACTGATATTTAATTGGTATTTAGCTCTAATAGGTCAGGTTAAGACGGATGCTTCTATTTCCTAGAGTATTTTAATGTTCACTAATATATTTACTAAAAGATAAATGATAAGGACTGCAGCTGTAGTAAACCTGCAGTGTTAGGGGCCAGGCATTAAGTGAATGGACTTTTAGTGGTAATAATGGACAGGGCTTTAAAGGTGAGGGAAATTGTGGGGTTAAAACAAATTGCCAATCAAACAAACCATTGAGAACCTGACCTAATCTTTTTCTAATCTACAAAAGTCTGGTTGTGTACGAAACTATGCACAAAGAATCACAATAAGCATTCATTTTGTTTATGGTTAGCTGTTAAAAAAGGAATGTTTACCTAATAATGGCAGTTAATTGATGTTCTTATTCTTCCCTAGCTTATCGTACTGACGAGGGTAAGCCATGGGTGTTGCCAGTGGTGAGGAAGGTGGAAGCAGAGTTGGCATCAGACATGAGCCTCAACCATGAATATTTACCCATTTTGGGCATGGAGGCATTCACGACGGCTGCTGCAAAAATGTTATTGGGGGCATCTCACCCAGCCATCACTGAAGGAAGGGTGAGCAATTTTTACAGCTCACGCTCCTCTGTACTGTAGGCTACTTGCTTATTGCTCACATATTCCTGTACCTTCCCTCAGTTGAATAATTCTTGTCACGGAACAATATTCATATACTGTACTGTACTGTTAACGTTCTCCTGCCCTCTCCCTCGTGTTCCCAGATCTCTATGCCACGATGCACCTTATAAAACACCCCTCTGTAGTTCCTCACATTTCTTGAACATTATTATCCTTCACTGCTGCATACTGTGGCTGTCTCATTAGCTAAATCAGATTGTTTATCAGGTAACCTTATCTCTTCCTCTTATATTCAATATTGATAACACAGTGGATGAGTGCTTGGTCCAGTAGTTCCTCTTACCTGCCTCACCATTTAGGGCCAATGAGCACTTTTCATTCACAGATGAGACCATGTTTACATATATTGTACATTGTGTTCTTTCATTTGTTGAGGCTACGTGTATAAATTTTCTCGGAGCAGGAGCATTGAAGACATCCCAACATAGATCAGTGCAAAACTCCTTTTCCTTTTTGTAGTTTCACATTTCATTAATAACAATTAAGAAATGATGTTGGAATGAATTGAGTGATGATGGTCATGTTAAACGTGAATTTACTTGAATCTGTTGTGCATAGCTGCCTTATACTGAACTGACTCTGGTATAACTCAACAGGTAACTTCAGTACAATCACTGTCTGGAACCGGAGGTCTTCGTGTAGCGGCTGATTTCTTGTGTCGGGTCCTCAAGTACAACACCGCCTATTATTCTTCACCAACCTGGGGTCAGAATCCACTACAGTACTGTAATATGGGGGACTTGCTGTATATAGATGTGTGAGGGTCAGGGTGAATTACAGATTTACAAATACATTGTGTGTAGTGCAGCTGGTTATGTAATCGGAATGAGATGATTGTTCAGTGTCTGCACCTATTTAAGAAACCTCTATTATTATCATCTGCCAGTTGATGACCTGCTCCCAAGTTTGCCAGAGGGTTAGGAGGAAGGACAGTGTAAATTACTGAAGGCCTAAAAGAAAAAAAGAAACTTGAAGTGCTTCTCTGTAATGATGTACAAACTTTTATCTCCCCTCTTATTGGTACTTATCACTTGTTTATAACAGGACCCAAGTTGACTTGTGAAAGTGGTATAATTTCTCTTCAGTTTGTCAGACTTTATTATTTGTCAGGGTCATTAGTGTTTTTACTTATCAGAGGTATTTGATATGTAATATACACTGTATATATACAGTATGCACATATCCACTCTCTCTCTCATATGCTGGTGAGTGAAAATTTGTATAGTTTGATTTCTATTTTTGAGTATTTTTCATTGCAGGGAACCACCGCCTCATTTTCTCAGATGCTGGGTTTACTGAACTTCGTCAGTACAGGTACTGGGATGCAGCTACCCGTGGCCTCAACTTTGATGGCATGATTGAAGACCTCACTAATGCCCCAGAAAACTCCGTTATAATCTTCCATGCCTGTGCTCACAACCCAACTGGTGTTGACCCCACACAAGTAAGAGCATATTTCGTCACTGGTCAAATGGGGCCTAACCAGAATTGTTTTTTTTTAATCTAAGGATTTTCATTTTAAATCTTAACAGTTCTTTCCTTACTGTGATGCTTAATGGCTAGAGTCAGTTCCAACACAGAATTACCCTTTACGCTATTGCTATTATTCAGGCAGGTAACAATTGATTGTATATCGTGTCTCGTGGAATTTAATTGTTTTCTCCGTATTGTACTTTTTTAATGTTTATAGGACCAGTGGAAGAAGATTGCAGATTTGGTTGAAGAAAAGAAACTGTTCCCCCTGTTTGACTCGGCCTACCAAGGGTTTGCCTCGGGAGACCTCGACAATGATGCCTGGGCAGTACGTTATTTCGCCGAGCGTGGCTTTGAAATGATGGGCACTCAGTCATTCTCCAAGAACTTCGGCTTGTATAGTGAGTTGTTTTTATTGATTTTCTTCTTTTCATCAAAAAATTTGTTCCATCCAAATTTGTGAGCACAATTAAAGAAAACTGTCCGGTGTTAAGGAATTTTGTAGATTCTGTATTATTCATCCTGGGAGTACATACTTAGAAATTTTCAAGCTGTTTACCATTTACTGTATTCTTAAACATAGTTAGCACAATTTACAAATAGAAGGTATTGCAGTCCTCTCATGTGAGCTGTGTTCCTGGCAGATGAGCGCATTGGTAACCTGATGATCGTGGTGAAGGACCCTGCCTGTATTACTCCCATGAGGTCCCAGCTGACACTGCTGGTGCGAGGGTCCTACTCCAACCCTCCCTGTCATGGTGCTCGTGTGGTGTCCCGGGTCCTCAATGATCCAGCACTCTTTGAAGAATGGTGAGTTGTATTTTGCAGCCCTACAGTGTTGCCAGATACATTAGTTTACACGCTGATACAGTTGTCAGATTAAAAAATTTCTTGGTTTTGCTATATAGAATGGCAAACTGTTATATATTATGAATGAAAAAAGTAAAGGCTAAGTAGTTTCAGTACAGCTCTTTACATTTTATGTAGATGAGGTATTCTCCAGAGTAAGTCATAACAATGGGGTGAAGACTGTGATGATGGATAATAGGAAGTTCCTTTTTTCGGCCATTTATCATGATTTATTTTCATCACTCGGATTACTGTAATGATCTTGTTTCACTCTTGACAAGTACTTGTGTGATCTCTATAACAAGCAAGCCAGCATGTTGCCTTAAAGGCTGACAACACTTGAGTGGTGCTAAGCAGTGGGTGGCTGGAGGCTTATGGCATGTACAGCCCAAGTAGCCTTTAGATCCATTAATTAATTAGCTTAAATTCAACAGGAAGGACTGCATCAGGACCATGAGCGGTCGCATCATAGAAATGCGTAAGGGCCTGAGGGAACGTTTGGAGAAGTTGGGCACACCTGGCAAGTGGGACCACATCACTGCTCAGATTGGAATGTTCTCCTTCACTGGGCTCTCAGGTGTGTAGATGTGTTTCTGGTTTCTTTAATTTTTTTCTAAAGGGTGTTAAGGGAATTATTAACTTTTGTGGGTTGATTTTTATTATGTATTAATAAAATGTTGGATGAAGAGAAAACACAAATAATAATTTAAATCATAAGATGAGTTTCAGGTCCCATACTGTACAGGGTGTCTTTCAAACTTGTCTTATTTTGAGTAAAAAAGGTCAAGTCAACATGGTTCCAATTACAAGGTGGCTGAACGCACACTAACTGACGAATGGTGGGGGAGGTCAGGTGGAACGGGCAGTAGCTCTGTAATGGTTGAGAATTGAACTGTACTGATATAACTTTTTTCACTCAAAATAAACCAAATAATAACTTCCAGAAGTTTGGCAGACAATACGAGTTAGCCCTCAGTTAGTACAACTTATTTGCCATAAATAGTTAGGATTTAAAGGGATAAATTAGTTCACTAGATGGGGTACTTAGTTATATTGTTTTTATATTTTTCTGCTGGCATATGAAAGTTAGAATCTGCCAGGTTGAAACTTGAGATTTTACCATCCAGTGTAACAAAAACTAATATTTAATTATCTTCATGTGCAAACTTTCTTTGCAGCCGAACAAGCCAAATTCCTGTGTGATAAGTACCACGTCTTCATTCTGTCAAATGGCCGGATAAACATGTGTGGCATCACAACAGGGAACATTGACCATGTGGCAGAAGCAATTAATGATGCAGTGTGCAATGTTTCCAAGGCCTAGTAGTGAAGCAGTGTGTCAGTGTCATTACCTAAGACAGGAGGAAAAGGTTTATACAGGAATGCCTGTTAAGACACCATTTGTTGTGAATAGTAGTTATCCATGTCCCAGTCCTTGATTGTTAAGAAATTAGCAGTGTTGTTTAGGATGCAAATTGGCCAGTACAGGTACTGTATAAAATAATTGACACTGTGTAAAGAGGGAACTTAAATATTGTTTGAGGTTTTATAACCTTATTGTAAATTGAACCTCCAAATGAAATGAATTGGTAAGACTTTGCCTATGATATAGCCAGATAGTTATAGCATAAGTAAAACTATAACAAGAAATATCCAAAGATTTTTAACACTTCATGAAATACTGAGGATAATGTTAAGATATTATACCCACATTATTGAAATACAGTTTCCATTGGGGTGTCGAGGCCTTGTTGGATAGTAATGTAGTCTGCAACAGGTCTCAAGAATGCAGTGCTTCATTGGCACTTCTGTATAATCATCACTGAAAGCTTTATGCACTCAAGGTATCTGCTCACTTATTAACAGTGGTTGTCAGTCTTTACCTATGCAGCCAAGAGCCTCGGTGTCAACACGATGAAATTGTACACTTCCACGGATCCTCACACCAGACGGACATGTGGTCATTATTGTGATATTAGTGGCATCTACAAAATTGTTACATTGTTAATGTTGATTTGTATTTGTCATAACTTAGTGTTGTGAACAGAGTATTTATTAACAGATAAGATCCGGTTAGAAACTTAACATACTATTTATCACAGCAGAATTTTAGCAATGCCAATTAATAAAGTATAGCATAGAATTATTTAACTTGCTATTTTTATTTATTTATCTGTCACTAAGAGTAATTTTAAATTGTCTAGCATTAGGTAAATAAAATATTAAAGGTTGCGTCCCGTAGTAAAGGGGTGTTTAAAATTAGTACCTTAATTTCTGACGTTGGTATCGGTGGTAACAGAGTAAAAAAAATTTTTATTTTGTGACAAAAACATCAAAGTAGCCAATTATTGACTAGTGTACATCCCGTGTTGCTAAGGCCGTCGTCACATGTACACATGACAGTCGGGATATACTGCACTGTACTCTGTATTATAATGCATCAGACACCTATTTGGAAGTTGGGTACAGTACAGTATTTAAAATTGATAGTCAGTATTTTTGGACCAATGTGAAGTACAGTTTTCATAATTACAAATCTTAATGATATTTGCAAGCATGAACACATTGTCCCTCACTTGCTTTAAAATAAAAAAATAATACAAAAATGTTAAATTATCAAGCATTTGTTAATTTTAATCTTTATTACAAAAGTAACTGAAAACAGTTACATTTGTTTACTAAGTAATAATAGTTGCAGTTGGAAAATAATATACATCTTATTAAATCACCCGAGCGTTCCAATGCTAGTAAGAGTTCACCATCACATAATTTGCATCAGTAGCACAGCAAGAAATTAATTTTGTGATATAGATGTATATAATGCATTTACAGGGTGGCTACAGCTCTCTTCTGTTCCTACAAAGCAGACTGCTGCTTGTTCTTACAATAAGGGTTAGATTGTGCCTGAAGGGAATAGTCTTTAAGTCAACAGGGATCATGTTGTAAAACCAGGATCAAGAAGGTGGTTGAAGACTTGATGTAATCATGGTAAGGTAGTCTAATTTATTGTAAGAAAATGAAGAAGGTTGGAGACAGCAGTTGAGTCTAGTGCATGTACATAGTAAGTTTGTTGTCCACATCAGTGATGTTAAATATTGTTAAAACAATAAATTATTAAAGAACTTTTCTTTTGTATTTCTCTTATTTTTACCCATTTACTGCTGGTAGGAAAATTGTGGTTGAACATACTGTACTCTTGGAGTAACATCATCTGCATCTTATTACACTAAATTTTGATTGATGAATGATATTTACCGGACAACCTACCGGTAATCTTATGTCAAAATAAAAATTTCCAAAACTGTTTCAATATAAGTACACGTACTGTACTGTACATACTTGTTGATATGCTCATATTCAGCATGTCAAGGACTAACTACTCTAAGATTTTGAGAACATTATTTTTTTGGCCCTTGGGTTCCTTTGTCTAAAATGATTAATTATCTCAAAATTGGAGATAAAGAATATTTGGTAATGACTTGGAAAAAGCTAATTAGTTCTGGAGTGCTAATTATTCAGCACTTGTAATTTTTTAATGGCAATTTTGGGGTTCTTGTGTTAACCTGATGAACTGAACTAAAGTAGCAAACTACTTGTGTGTGAGGTGTCTATCTGATGAATAAAATTGTCTTGTGTTAGCTAAATAAAATAATAAAACATGTCCAGTAGTCAATGGATGAAACACATTAATTATCAATCGAGTGTGAGTATTGACCAAAAGAACACTTTTTTTTTTTCGAAATTTAAAAGTAATGTGTTTATTTGTACAGGCAGAATTACATAAAAAGTGCCATCAGAAAGTTATAGGTGGGAAGTAATTAACACTGCAAAACTATGGTTGTTTCAGCCATAATCTTGATCACTAAAACTTTGTTCAAAATTGCAACACTGTGTAGGTACTCCTGAACATGCTGACTAAGGATCTGGGTCAAAAAATTGCTACAGTATTTGGATAATAACTCACTCAGTGCCGTCACAACAACCTATGGCAGAGTGTTCCATTAGTGTACAGCCCTCACTCCAAAAAGCTTATGCTGACAATTTCCTGAACTTGTGGCTTCTTCAACCTTAAGTTATGGATATCTGCCAGTTGGTTTTGAACACCAGATTGAGTACTAGTGCCCTATTACATATTATAAACTAATATCAAGTCACCCCTTTCCTGCCTATAAGCTAGCCAACAGCAAGCATTCTAATCTCTCGGTAATTAGGTACAGTAATTGGTGTTCTTGAAATCCTCCTCCATTGAAACAAAACAAACAAATCAAACTCATTCTTATATAAGAGAACTCAATGAATGAACATTTATGTAACTTAAAAATTTTAGGCTGAAAAAAACTTCAAAGGGTTAGGGTTTCAAGCAATACTGAATAACAATATACAGGTATATTCAGTGGCGGCTCGTGAAAAATAAAATGGAGGGACTGCAAGCCTCACACAACAGTAGGTGACCTACCTCAGGTATGAGTTGTAGTTGATGTTCACGAATTCCCAGGGCATGGTAGTAGTGGTGATGGACCAGTATTAATTGAAAATAAAGTCCGCGTGTCTGCTCTTCGATGTAGCAAAATTGTTTATTACTATTTCATTAAAATCCTTTATTTCTGTTATCATTTTATTTTCAATGGATATCACTGCTAAAGCAGACAGTCTGTCATTCACTGATGTTAAACTGGCGTGTATATTCTTTGTTCCTGCTTGTACTGTTCTGTTGAATGGATAAAACTGGTGTAGGTCTTCCTCTTGCTTTGATTTCAGTCTTTTCATTTAATGTCAGCTGGGAAAAGTTGATGTTTTGCAAATACTTCACTCGACTTTCCATCGTCAAAGGGTAATTAAAGAAAGCATGATTTAACCACACCGTCCACACGCAATGTAAACACGAGACTGAGCGGCGCCAATTAATAACACACATGAATCGTACAGCATTGACACCAACTATGAAAGTAACTTAAATTTTGGTCTGATTTTAATGAAAATTCACTTAGCAACGTATTGAAAATAATTAAATAACATATAAAATGATATATTTGTTGGTAGTGTATTATTGAGCTGTCTCTTTAGAGGAATCATACGCCTGGCAGTGAGTGTCTGGGGGGGGACTGCACGAGCCGCCACTGGGTATATAGTCTGTATATAGTCTTTTATTTTGGGTTACAGTATGGGAAGGAATAATCGAAATGATATTGACTATCTATACAGTATCTCTCTCTCTCATCTATCTACCTTTCTATTCACCTATTTATTTATCTATCATTTATCCATCTATTTATCTACATATAAACATTGTGTCCGTATCTGTGGTCACTGACTTGCGTATGATATATCTCAACATCCAATAACTGTATTTTAAAGTATGTCATAGAGCTTTAAATTAAAAATACATTATTATTTTATTTATGGTTACAGATATTTGTATATTTTCCAGTAATAATATAAGGCGAATTTAAATGAGTATTGTCTGTTAGGAGAATAGTTTCGGACGCCTACCTGAGTTAAAGCCTTGAGGTGAATTTAAAGGTCCTGTTTGTGGGTGTTATTTTGGTGTTATTTATTACTCCTACGTCTGTTATTAAGTCTGTCTGTGTCTCTGTTTATCTCTTGTTATTGTAAGTCAGTACAAGGACGCTGGACAACTGTTAAAACGCTTGAAAGTGAAGAAAACCAGGAAGACGGCTGACCCCAACGTGTGTTTGTGTGTGAGCTTATTTTTAATGTGTTTGCCGGTCCTACTAATTACCCAAATGTAGCCAAATGAAGTCAAATAATGGTCCTACATGAATAAATCGGACTGCTAATCACTTCTCGACTAGTATTTGGTGTCATAAAGTCACCAAAAATTGATAAACTTAATTTAATCCGAGTTGTGTTGTGTTAGGTTAGGTTAGGTACATGCACTCGATCTATTAACTCAGATTAAATTAAGTTTACCAATTTTTTTTTACTTCGTGACACCAAATACCAGTCGAGAAGTGATTAGCAGTCCGATTTATTCATGTAGGACCATTATTTGACTTCATTGCGGCTACATTTGGGTAATTAGTCGGACTCCGTGTTTGCTATTTAAGTAGCATCTTTGACTAGTAAAATAAGGTGATGGAGGTGTGATTTATTCCCCATCCTGCCTCATCATGGTATAAGAGGACAATGAGCCACTCCACAATATCCTTTCCCTGTAACACAAAGACAGACAAAGAGATTCTGTATTGATTTAGTAATATCATCTGTAATACTTGACGATGTGGGACCGCCCTTAGCACTAACTTTAGGAAATTTATCCATTGAAGAAAATAGCTTCCTTGCATCATGAAACTGACAAAAGTACTGGAGGAAAAAATTTGTATTACAGTATTACATTAACCAATTCTTACATATTAATTCTACCACGTTTACCATGTTCATTGTACGGCTCAGCATTGGTTCTTTTCATAGTTATTTTTACAGACTATAGAAATACAATAAAACGCTTAGTTTTCTTTTTCTTTGTGTAAGTTAGAATTTCCCTTTATAGGTTAGGTTAGCATTTGGGTTTTTTATCGTCAGGTGACATAGCTGGTGCGGGCTAACCTTCATGTGACCAGAACCATATTACTCATTGCCATTATACAGCTTAGGTTTAATATATACCTGAAGACCCAATTAATTGCCTTTGTTTTCTTTTACAGGGTTTAAGTGTCTCTGTAGTGACATAAAGACCATCTACCATAGAAATCACAAGTACAATATCATCGTATAAGTGACCGAGAGCTGGATACAAGATGATGGGGCACTTATTTTGTATGAACCATCTCAGAGGTACAGACAGACAAGTGCATAGGAAATGTCTCTCCCTGTTAAACTGGAACTGCAAATCAAAAGCAAAATTAAGTGAACGAACTCCTACGTCAATACAAAACTTCTGTACTCACAAAACGTTGACTCCTAGTATATATTTAAACGTTTTAACCATTAATAAACCACTATTCAGAAATACATGGAAATCAGATATTAGAAATTTACTAAGAAGAAAAGATTACACGAGCAAAGATCTTATTTGTAATAGGTATTCAACAAGTGCTCCTGACGACCTATCACTTGCAAATGAAAAAGTCCAGGAGTATTTGACTGTGCTCAGAGCCAGGTATAAGGCAGCCATGGAGCACACAGACGACACCAACGTGAAGACAGCGAGGACCTTACAGCCAGTGATGCATATACTGGAGGCGGTGAGTTGCAGTCAGTCTGTCATCTCTTTTTTTGTGATATTTATGTTAATCCTCTCGTGGTCTTTTGACGCAAATTGCATCGCTAAGAGCTTCCATGCTGGCGCAACCCCTCCCGCTCAGCAGTATCTCGCACCGAGAGCACTAATCCCATGAGCAAAAATACTGGAACAGTGGACCAGCTCTATCAACCATCTAAGTTCCTCCCACTAGCCTCATGGGTTGGCAGAAGCATCTTTAAGGGTGCAATTTGGGTCTGGGTAACTCTACCCAATGCTTTGTAAAAAACGTTCCTATTACCAACACGACCAGTGTCGAAAGACTGCGATGGGGTGAGATTCCCAACTATGGAGGAGTACCAGAGGGTTAAGTGTTCTTTTGCTGTAGTTTTGTCTTTGTTGTTGCCAATTTCTCAATTTTTTTCCCTCCAATAAACTCATTGTGTAGTCTGAATCTTTACTGAAGGAAATTACCAACATGTACGATACCATATTGCATAGATATTTAGGCAGTGTGTGATTGAGTATACTGTATGTATATTTGTTTAATATCCAGTTGATGTAAAAAATGATAAGATCGACTTTTCCAGATAGAGAAGACACAATCAGACATTAAGGAGCTGCAGTCTCTAGCAAAAGATTCCAAGGGGGATGAGGAGTTATGGAAGCTGGCCAACCTTGACCTACAGGAAGCAGAATCTACCTTGCAGGACCTAGAGGAGGAGGTGAGTGGCATAGAGGAATTGAAAGAATACATGCCAGAGGTCTTGAGAGTTTACTGATAACATACTGGACACTAGCCTGATGGACAAGGTTAGGCGATGTGTTATTAAGACTCAATCAGTCAATCAATATCCCATAGCCAAAGGAGGAACCTGTACTCATTCATGTGCTTCCTCAAACAGTTCTCACCTTACCACCAAACTGAAGAAACTGTGGGTTGATCTATATGAGTAAAAGAGTCTTAGAGTACTGTATAAAAACATTTAGTAATGGCTGTAGTATTTTCAGTCAAATTTACTCTGTGTTTACCTGTGTCAGTACCCCAATGTCTTTGATTTTATATTCAGTATAAACAGTTTTTATATCACTTACTAAGACATTTTCCATTGCAGTTTTTCAGCTCTTTAGTTCCGGAGGAGCCAGTTGACAATACTGACGTCATTTTAGAAGTGAGCGCCGGAGTGGGAGGTCAGGAGGCAATGCTCTTTAGCCAAGAAATATTTGAGATGTACCAAGGTTATGCTGCCTTTATGGGGTGGCAGAGTGAGACAACTGACTATGAGACCACAGATATTGGTAATTACTATAACTGTACAGCACCTGGGTCAACTTTATCTTGTGTGCAATTATACTATTTCTCAGTAAGTCAAGTGGGATTTATTTTAGCCTGAAGGACACAGAGTACAATAGTCTCAAAGATAACATTTTACATGATGATTTAGACATTAGACACCATCAGACAAGAATATAGAAAATGCATAAACCTTAAACAGCAGCCATCACCTGTGGAAGTTAGCTGTAGGGATGGTATCTGTCATCTGTTCAGGTTTCATGTACTTATGTTCCATTATTATGCATATAGGGAGGGGAGATAGGGAGCCCTTAGCCACTAATTAAAGTTTAAGAACACACTGGGGTGGAATATTATGTCATGATTGTTATAACGGTGATAAATTCTGTGGAATGTTATTATATGGGTTGTGTCTTACAGTACAGCATGTAACTATGATTTTACCAGTTTGTGTGACCGTCCTCAGGTGGTCTGCGACGAGGTATAGCAAACATCAGCGGGGAGTCGGTCTACCAGCTCCTAAAATATGAAGGAGGTATTCACCGCGTCCAGAGGGTACCCAAGACTGAGAAGGCGGGCCGTATCCACACCTCCACCGTCTCAGTAGCTGTCATGGCTCAGCCGTCGGAAGTAAGCCACCTTGTGTTTGTTACATTAAATGTTAAATCTAAAGAAGTAACTTTAACCTTTCACCTTCAGTAGACACTCAAACATATATGCAGGTCATGATTCTCTCTCTTCATTGGTCAGTCTGTGTCATCTTTATCTGCAGCTGTGTTATATGACCTAAAATGCCTTTGTTATGCTCCTAGTTTTAACCAAAATTCCTCACATATTCACTCTTAGAAACAGCTATGATCGACTGGCAAACAAATCTTCATACAATGATCCCTGTTAAGACTGGCCAGTTAGGTTAAGTTAGGGTGTATGGGGACAGGGGTCTATTTGTCCTGTTACCAGACAGAAACAACTTAGACAATTGGCTCTGTATCTCAGGATAGTTTTTGTATTAATCTCTGTAACCATCAACAGTAGAAGGATAAAACTTATTCTGAATGTTCATTAGTGTGAAAATGTAATATCTGTCCACTTAAGAGGTTATTGAGTATACCATACATGACTAATTCCCCCAGAGCTCCCAGAAAAAAGTGCACACACACACTCACACACATTGCCTTTCTGATTTTCATGCAGATCCCTTAAATGCTTAGATTATAACAGGAATATTGTCCTCGGTTCTTGATGTGCGAGGTCTCCCAACAAGCGAGGACAATATTGAAGTTATAATACTGTACAAAAATCTGGAAGGCAGTGTGTATAATTTTTTTTAGAACTATATTTTTTTGTAAGTGGGGTACTGTATATGATGGTATACTAACCACTTCTTTTTTGTTACATGTAGATCGACATACAAATATTAGACAAGGACGTGAAGATTGAGACCAAACGGGCAAGTGGTGCCGGGGGACAACATGTCAACACCACCGACAGTGCTGTTAGAATGATTCACCTTCCTACAGGTAACATTATTCTTGGTCCTGTTCAACACTGGAGCATGAATGTGTTCCCTGACTCTGTCCATCTCTCTCTTTATCTTGACTTCACTTGGAATGCTAAACAAAACAGCTATGTTCTGCAATTAATTATCCAAAGTGAGTCTTAAGTAATTCCTGGATCGAGCGGGTAAATTCCCATCCATTTACCGCCTGTGAGCTGTATATTATGTTATTTTGTAAGAATTTTTCATATGCTTACTTGTACAATTGTACGTAGATATGTTAGAATTTTGAACAAGGTTATAGTGTTCAATGAAATTCTATTGAACAACAGATATTTATAGTGTTGTAATATCTACCGTACATATTGTATAGTTATAAAGTATTTCAGGAATATCTGTGGAGAGCCAGAAAGAACGTTCTCAACACCTAAATAAGGATCAGTGTTTGAAGAAGCTGAGAGCCTTACTGTATCAGCAGGAGCTTGACCACAACATCAACCAGTACACCTCTAACAGGAGACTCCAGGTGTGGTGCATGTTTCAACTCTCTCAATAATAACACAATAATACAAAAAATTTCATTCACGGTGTTTTACTATTTGTCTACCTCACCATGAAGACAGGTCAGAATATTTACCCCGGAAAAAATATCAGCTCGGGGTCTTTCAGTCCTTGTTGGAATAGTTCAAATATATTGTCAGTCTTTGCTTCTATAGGTTCCGTCCTATACTCTTTTAGGGAAATAATTGGATGGTTTTAATTATTTTCTCCCTCAAGTTGAAATTGCCTGAAAAACTCACAGCCTCAATTTTCCTTCGGAGTCTTCCTGTAAAATGCTGTGTAACCAGTTAGGAGGCTGTTGTGTTTACTTTTTTTTATTATTCGACAGGTTGGGACCAGAAGCCGCTCGGAAAAAATTCGTACATATAATTACCCTCAGGACAGAGTTACCGATCACAGGTAAGACTTTTCCTGTTATTCACATTCCTGAGAATAATTTTTGGGTTAGTTCAGGTATTTCATGATATCTCTCGAGACTTATTATCTCGTCTGGACACACTGCAAAAACACTTGAGTCATGTCTCAAGTGTCAGTGGTCATGGTCACAACTGTAGGCGAACAAGACTCAAAGTAACTGGATCTCATTTTCTATCGTGGATCCATTCTGTATGTGTAGTATGTTCCTTCCTGCTATAGTTGTTGGAGAGGAAAGTAAAGAGTGTTATACTTTTGTCTTTACTGGAGAGGAGTGTCAGTGATAAATGTTCCTTTCTTCCATATCTCAACAGGGTAGGAGTGTCAGTACATAATCTGTCGTCATTCCTCGATGGAATGGAGAGCCTCCACTCCCTCATTTGTCAACTTGTGGAGGAAGGGAAAAAGGAAACTCTTCAGGAGATAATCAGTGGTGCTAGAGGCTGACGATTCTCATCACCAGCATCCAGGACATAAGGTACTAGTAGAAGACTGTTGACCTTTGTCTCTATATACTGTACTGCAAAATGCCATTAATTGACCTTTGTAATTCACCACCAACTCAAAAACTTTTTGTCCGAGCCCAAAAAGTTTGTATTTCCCTAAAAAAAATTCCATAAGAACTTAAATGGTGTGTCTGCTTTTTCAGTCTAGCTGGCATCCTCCTACACAACAAGCAGCCAGACTAATGAGAGATTTTCTTTCTACAGCTTCATGAGAGGTGACCTGAGCCGGCTTATTCTCTCTGTCTCATTACTTCACCCGAGGACATCATCATCCCCTGCGTATCTCCAACACGGTTGCTTTTTCTTGTGAGCAAAATAAACTCATGTTAACTATAAGGTTTGTTTACTATCTGTCCTTCATATAATGTATCTGTGCTTCACCTGTGCCTGTTCTGCCTACAGACAAATTTACACTATTGACAGGGGGACAGCACCTATTCAGTATTTTATAGGTAAAAAGATATTAATGTCGTTTTTATCATCATCAACTTGGAAATTAAGCTGTTTCACTTGTTTAGTTGATTAATTCTGATAAATAAATGTGAACAAACAAATAAAAAACTTTAAATGATTGAGATAATGTTGAATTTACTTAAAGGAATACAGTATTACTAACACTAATTAATCTGAGTGACAGCGGATCTCTTCCATTTGGCGACAGAAACTCAGACGTACAACAGCCAAATTTATTCTTGCGGTGATGCTGTATACACCTGTGACAAGTACACAAGTAGTCCCCAAATATATCCACACTATATGTTATGTATAGGGGGGTAACAGGTGTGGTCTAGCAGAGATAGAATTAGTCACATACATGATATTCATGATGAAGGAACGTGCGGTCAATAAGATAATGACTTAACAACAAGGTGGCGCGTGCCTATAGGAGACAGACATAATACTGTACAATACTGACACATGTATTTAGCACCCAGACCCTCTTCTATCAGACCTGGGTTTATACTTCCAGAATAACACAAAAACACCAAAAAATGACCTCGGAAACCCAAACTTGATGAGTTTTTAAGATTGAAAAATGTCATTAATATTTTCCAAGTGTTATTAAGACCACACACACACATTCTCTTATAAATTGTACAGTATTTTGAAAGTTAATTTACAGTGTATAAACACCGTTGTGTATGAGTGATTCCTATCCCTCACTCTCTCTACCCCCTTCTCTCTTTCTCTTTTCTATTCTTCCTCTCACTCGCCCCTCTAACCCATGCATCCCTTTCATTCCTCCCCTCTCTCTCTCTCTCTCTCTCTCTCTCTCTCTCTCTCTCTCCCCCAATATCTTCCTTCCTCTGACTTTCCTTACCCATGCTCTCACTCACTCATTCTCTTTAATCCTACTCTCCTTTTTTTCACTCCTCTCTCTCTCTCCCTCACCCACTCTCACTATCCTTCCCACTCTCTCACTCTCCTTCCCGCTCTCTCACTCTCCTTCCCACTCACTCTCCCTCTCGTTCACTAATGTTCACTTCCTACGGTACATAGATATTTCTAGTTAATTGTCCCTTCACCCAGCCCATAAAATATTCCTGCTGAAGGGTCTCTCTCTCTCTCTCTCTCTCTCTCTCTCTCTCTCTCTCTCTCTCTCTCTCTCAGCAGGGGGACAGCAGGGGGAGGCAGCAGAGAAAAACAGCAGGTAAGGGCAGCAGGGGAAAATAATTACTATCATCCCACCAAAAAATGTAAGGAAGTGTTGAGAGTCAGGCAAGAGTATGTGGGAGGAGGAGGAGGATGATAAGGTAGAGATGGAGGAGGAGGAGGAGGAGGAGTTAAGTAATAATAATAATAAAGAGGAATAAAAACACCATGAAGAGAGAGACGAGAACAAGAAAATTGGTGCTATTGGTTCGTATCGTCAACCAATCACGAGGCAGATTATGGCATAATAGCCAATAGCGAGGGAAGGATTATAGGGAGGTAGAATGTAAGATTAATCCCTCATTGTTTACAATTGGGATTACCAAGGATTTAGAAGGATTTTATGCCACTATAAGCTATGTGTTTTAGGATTAAAGATTAAGCTATCTAACACTCTGGAGCCGTGAGGATTTAATGTGTGTGTTTAAGGATTAGGGATTAATCTATATTTTACACTCAGGATGCCACAAGGATTTAATCTCCGTGTTGTAAAATGAAGGGTTACTTTGCACTTATTTATAATCGGGGTTCCCATCTCAGGATTTAAAGGGATTCACTGAAGGGCCGCTTGGAAACCTCGGAACCCCCATGTAACGCCCAGGAAAACGTTCGGAAACCCTGAAGCCTCCCTGAGAAGAAGTAAACCCTGACACACACCTAAATTACTTGATCTAACACCGTGAAACCCTCTTAAAACATCAGAGAGAGAGAGAGAGAGAGAGAGAGAGAGAGCAAACTGACCAATCAACAATAAGAAAGAAGCGAGGGAGAAAAAAACAACCAACAAAGAGAGAGAGAATGAGAGACAGAGAGGGTGAATAAGAGAGAGAGAGAGAGAGAGAGAGAGAGGCCATAATGGTAAGACTCTCACAAACACAAGCTGTAATCTGGTAAAGTGAGACGGTGACGGGAAGGAGCGCTGTGGGGGTCAGGAGAGGAGGATAGGTGGTCTTCTTCTTCCTCCTCCTCCTCCTGCTGCTGAGTGAGGTTGAGGGTGGTCTTCCTCTTCCTCCTCCTATCCGAAGCACCGTCTCTCACCCTCCTCCACACACACACAATAACCACTATCCCTTAAGAAAGATAATTCACACAGGTGTTTTTTAATCTCAAAGGCTCGTTCATTAGAGTATTTCTCACTGAGTCAGTCATCCACTAACACCCGCCCCCTCCCCTTCCTCTCTCCACCATCCATGTCTTCATCCTCCAACACAACACCCTCCCCTATCTTTCCCTCTTACCCCCTCCCCTTTCCTCTCCACCCCCCCTATCTTTCCCTCTTACCCCCTCCCTCTCCACCCCCCTTCCTCCTTTCATCCTCCAACACAACTCCCTCCCTTCCCCACCATCCCTAGCCTCATTCTCCAACACAACACCCTCCCCCGTTCCTCCCCCATCACCCACCAACACAGACGTCAGAGTGAGATATCTATATATACGCTGTTGTCAGAATTGGGTGGAGGTAGTTGGTGTGTATAGTGACGGAAATGTACTGTTGTCTAGCTACTAATTGGAGGGCGTTTGACTGACTCTAGTGTGTGTTCATTAATTCACTGATATACCGGATATAGTTCACTGGATTATAGTCATTTGTTGCTGCTACGGGAATTGACTGACTGACTGACTGACTGAAGAGAGAGAGAGAGAGAGAGAGAGAGAGAGCCTACACCGTGTGCATCAGTGTGGAATCATCCATTAATATTCACTGTAGTATACCTTGCTAAACATACTGTGTGTGTGTGTGTGTGTGTGTGTGTGTGTGTGTGTGTGTGTGTGTGTGTGTTGCTGGAATATGGATAAGTCGTTCCCCGTGAATCTTTTGTAGGGAAATGACAAACCCACAACCATATGACGTCATTACTCCACACACACACTTCTGACGTCACCATCCCACTTATATGACGTCATCACTCCCAAATCCATATGACGTCATCACCCCACCTATATGACATCATCACCCTCACCCCCTCCAACCCATGCAAGACTAAATTGTGACGAATGGGGTGATGGGGGGGACATGAACCAACCAAGAAGCAGGTAATAACTCCTCCCCCCTCTTACACACCTGAGAAAGAGAACCTCCCCCCCTCATTATGGAGAGATGGGGGGTGGGTGGGTGGGTGGGTGGGTGGGTGGGTATAGACATTCCTCACGTTATACTCCTCATATATCCAGCCATAAAGAAGTGTTTTATTACTGTATATTTTACCTGGGAGAAGCATCATTTATACACAGACACACACACATACATACATGCACATACACACAGGGTAGGAGACATTCATACATACACGGGATAGGAAACCAACAGAGGGATACACACACACACACACACACACACACACACAGGTAGAACATTAATAACTCAGGTAGGTTAAAACAGTAAGATTAAATACAGTACAAACTTTCACCTTTCTTAACATACATCAACTTTCTATCTCCATTCTCTGTTTCTCTCCTCACTTTCAAAACTTTCTAATTTGAGAGGAGAAGAAAGTAATCCCGTTCCAGAAGATAGATAGACAGACATATGGCTGTCATTTTTTCCCGAGAGACAGATAAAGAGACATACAAATACAAACAAACACAAAAACACAAACAATTCACACAAACAACAAAACTCTCTTCTACTTTCTTTTATCTCTCTCCTTTCCCCTTCCCAAAAAATGAAAATAAAACTTTCATTTTTATCCCCAAAAGAAAGTTGAGAGTGAAAGCATACAGAGTGGCTCACAGGGGCAATAAAACAGTGGAATGTCTTCATGATACGACCCGCCCAAGTGTTGTACTGGGGGGATACAGAAGGTAGAGGGGGGTACAGGTAGGGGGGATACAGGTGGGGGGGCAGAGGGTACAGGGTGGGGGGTACAGGTAGAGGGGGATACAGGTGAGGGGGGTACAGGTAGGGGGGATACAGGTAGAGGGGATACAGGTGAGGGGGATAGAGGTAGAGGGGGAGGAGGGGGGATACAGGTAGAGGGATACAGGGGGTGGGGGGATACAGGTGGGGGGGGATACAGGTGGGGGGGATACAGGAGTACAGGGGAGTGGGGTACAGGTAGAGGGGGATACAGGTGAGGGGATACAGGTAGAGGGGGTACAGGTAGAGGGATACAGGTGGGGGGATACAGGTAGGGGGGATGAGGTAGAGGGGGATACAGGTATACAGGTAGAGGGGGGATACAGGTAGAGGGGGGATACAGGTAGAGGGGGATACAGGTGGGGGGATACAGGGGGGGGATACAGGTAGAGGGGGACAGGTAGAGGGGGGGATGGGTGGGGGGATACAGGTAGAGGGGATACAGGTGGGGGGGGACAGGTAGAGGGGATACAGGTGGGGGGGATACAGGCAGGGGGGATACAGGTGGGGGAGGTATGTAGGGGGGGGATACAGGGAGGGGGATACAGGTAGAGGGGGTACAGGTAGAGGGGGATACAGGTAGAGGGGGATACAGGTAGAGGGATGGGTAGAGGGGGGTACAGGTAGAGGGGTTACAGGTAGAGGGGGATACAGGGAGTGGGGGGTACAGGTAGAGGGGGATACAGGTAGAGGGGGATACAGGTAGAGTAGGATACAGTGTTTGGTGATATGAGAGAGAGAGAGAGAGAGAGAGCATAAATCCTACATCACACACACACACACACACACACACCCCGTCCCCAGACCATCAATAATCGACCACCTG